TGTATCAGCCACTTGGCCAGTAATAGTAACACCACCGTGAGATCGGCAGACGAGTTCCTCAATAAGATTAGAGCCCTGAGGGTGAAGGAAGACGAACTCATGGTGTCTTTTGATGTGGTCTCCTTATTCACTTCTATTCCGCAAAATCTTGCGATCTCAGTATTAAGAGATCAGTTGAATCAGGGAGAACAGGAACAACATCAGGACTCCCTCCAGACGGAAGACCTCATAAAACTGGTGGGAGTCTGTTTAAAGACCTACTTCACCTTCCAGGGCACTATATTTGAGCAGATCAAGGGAACACCAATGGGGTCTCCGATCTCAAGTGTAATTGCAGAGGTGGTGCTCCAACGTTTGGAACACATAGCGATGGCCCAGTACCAACCAAAATTTTGGGCCCGCTATGTGGACGATACGTTTGTAGTCATCAAGAAGCAACACAAGACTGACTTTATGGGCATTTTGAATTCGGTATACCCGGACATCCAGTTCACCATGGAAGAGGAAAATCAGGGCGCATTAGCATTTCTGGATGTATTGGTGCAACGCCAACTGGATGGATCCTTGACCACCAGGGTATACCGAAAAGCAACTTGTACGGATAGGATCCTCCATTTTGAGAGCAATCATCCGATAGTCCATAAAGTCAGTTGCGTTAAGACTTTATTCAAACGGGTGGAGTCACATTGCAGCACTGTCAAAGCTAAGAGGGAGGAAAGAAACCACCTCTTCCAAGTGTGTAAGCGTAATGGGTACCCGGTAAGATTCATTAATCAGTTTAGTACACCATCTGAACCCCGGAGTAACCCCATACCTAATGAACTGACACCACAGACAACACGTATTACCCTCCCCTATATCTGTAATGTATCAGAGGCTACAGTGAGAATTTTGGCGCCATATAATATACAGGTAGCACATAGACCCAGTCAAACGCTACGAGCAGCCATCATGCGCCCCAAGGACCCACTCCCCAACATGGAGAGATCGGCAGCCATATATAAGATCGACTGCATGGACTGCCCGTGCAACTATGTTGGGGAGACTTCCAAACGAGTGAAGACTAGGGTCCACGAACACAGACTAGCTGTGAAAAGGGGCGAACAGCACTCCCAGATATGGATTCATATGGCGGAATTGGGCCACCGCTTTAATTTTAATGAGGTAGACGTCTTGGCTAGTGACAGTACAAAGGGAGGCCGACTGCTAAAGGAAGCATGGCTATCCAATAGCAGCTCTATCAAACGGCATATTGACCTCTGTCCGGCACACTTGGCACTTAGATCATGGAGTGCGACCAACCACCCATCTCGCTATTACCGGCCCGACAACAAACCTAGCGAGAAAGCCACAGGTGATATGCCAACCCCCCAGGTGCAATCCAGAAGAGGAGGGACAGCGACTAAGAATCCCCACTACCCCCGCAATGTTAACACACTTGCAAAAAGCTAAGAGAGCGATAGAAACTAAAGCCCAGAACCCCTGCATTATGAACATCGGAGATATCCCACTTAGCGTGCAAGGAGACACGATAGACAAAGATGGGGAGAGATCGTTAAATAGGACACCTCACCGACGCTCAGAAAGAAACAGGATGACGGACTTAAGGGAGAAGAAGCGATCCCCCTACTCCGCATCGTCAGCCGGCCCAAAAACATATGGAGTGCGGGATGGTGCCGAGCATAACAGCAAGCCTGCGGACACTCCGGAAAGTAAGGAGAAAAACGAGCCCAGACGGAGAGGTGCGAGAGAGGGCGGAGCCAATGAGATCAGCTTACCGCGCCTCATACCGGCAGCACCCATAGACTCCAAAGACTCCTGTCATACACACGCAGGAGCGAGAACGTCGGAATGAAGAGGAGGGTAAAGAAGGAGCGTTATCACGCTCAGGAAGATCGCAAGTCCACCCCCCCCCCCAGTCCAAGACCTCGAATTATAGCATGCGCGACAAGAGCGCAGAGGACAAAAAGGAGGGGAAGGGTGTGGTAGTCAAAGATAATTATAACTATGAGATCACCCCCATTAAAAAAAACCTATTGAGCCATCCCAACCGATTTGGAACACTGCGTATGACTATCTTGATGACAGTTGGGCACGAGGGAGGGGCGTTAAGGACGAAAAGAAAGATACTCATAGAGAAAGTGACTGGGTAAAGCGTGATTTGGGAAAAGGACAAATGCAAATTACCACTCGAACCCGAAAGGGAGAATGGATTGAGGGATAGAGACAGTCGGAAAGACAAGGAGTTTATGCCACCTGCCTCAGAAGCCAAAGAAAAGAAGGTAGATGAAGATACACACGTAGCTAGGAAGGACAGGAAGAAACGAACCACCGGAGCACAATTTAACCAATTGGGCCCGATGACGAGATCAAGGAGCCGGGTGCAGACTCCGGCTTGCCTATAAAATGACTCTCTCACACCCTGGCGGCCCAGCCCTGATGATGCCGGCAGGTGATGGCGAAAGCTTGGCGTTTTTAAATTAAACTTTTATAGTTTTAATTAGTACCTTGGTGTTCATTTTATTTTAGATATGTGTGAGTATATATATATGTGTGTGTGTGTGTATATATATATATGTATATATGTGTGTATATATATGTGTGTGTATATATACACACACAAACATATATACACACAAACAAGAAAAGAAAAAGAAAAAGAAAAAAAAGAAAAAAGAAAAAGAAAGATTTCTTTTTCCCATATTTAGGCCGACAGAGTTCATCAAGAAACACTCAAGGTGTGTGTGTGTGTGTGTGTGTGTGTGTGTGTGTGTGTGTGTGTGTGTGTATTACCAGAGTGGGTAATACCTGAGTTCTGGGATTTATTTTACCTATTCACAAATTGTTTTATGTGTTAGAGTCTGAACTTCAATACTGACTGGCAAAGCTTCCTGCCTCACCTTTTAAAATAGTTTTAAATTTTTAAAAAGGAAATGGGAAGCTATATATTCATCATACAAATGTATTTTAAAATTATTTTATTTCAACAAAATAAAGATAAGAAGCACAGTTAATAAAATAAGGAAAGCAAAACATGAACCAAAAGCCTAACTTATGCTTCCAAGAACGCCTATCAACAATATATTAGGAATATCATGTACAGGCTGTAAAATTAATTCAAATACAAAAAAAACCTGCTTTTCATCTCTCTTCTCCTTTTTCTCTCTGCAGTCTGTTTCCAGAGTATATTTCCACAATTTCTGCTCACTCTCTCTAGCAACTTTCTAATAGCAAGACTAATCTTGATATTAAACATACTCCAGACTCTTCAATTAATTGCTGACACAAATAACAAATGTTAGCTATCTATAATGTTATAGCCACATAAACATTGCAGCCTCTGTCTAAGAGCTATTATGCCTTGCGCTCTTTTTTTCTTTTTGTGTTGACAGTTAACATAATACAAACCTCTGGGACTTTATTTTTAAGTGGTTAGGTTAACTTCAGCTGTCTGCAATCATGCTAAGACCATTAATCTCTTATTGTATAAATACATAAATAAACAGTAATGGCAAAGCTGTGATAATAATAAATAGAAGTTAAATGCACTTATTGGACAAGATATATTACATCAATCTCCCATCTGCATTTATGATTATAAATGGAAAAATTGACATTCATGATTACATATGGGGAAATGGTCAGAACAGAGTCAGTTCAGAACATTTTGCTGCCTGACTTAGAGTAGCAAGTAGCATCTACAGATTCTGGCATCCAACCACCTGACATTTAACTGCATTGTACCCAAAATAGTCTGCACTAAAGCAGACAATTCTAAAAGTGCCTCTTTCTTTCTGTGACAATAAGAATATTGATAAATGAAATAATTAACAATCTGCTAGCCTTTTGTGCAAGATTGTTATCTAAATTAGCCAAAAATGAGTTCTGATATCATGTTGGCACTTCAACTGGTTGGAAGAAAATTGTGCATACAAAAAAATTCCCTTTGAGTTAAGATAGCATTTCTTGATGATAAGGGATTAGAGGAACATTTTCAACAAAAATAGCTTGGAGAAGGGAAGGCAACTTATGTTAAAAAAAAAAAAGGTCGGGAAACAATGAAGCAATCAAATGGAAAGCAACTGTTGTGGTGGACAAAGGTTAGTGACCAGAGAGGGATCTCCCAAGGCTCTCAAAACGTATATCTGGTTACACCCAGGGCAGATCACCCACAACCTCATCTCCAAAATAAAGCTTTACTGATTTTGCACATCTTAATAATATTGGCTTCAGGGGAAAATATTCTTCTTTATTGTAATCTAATGATGATCTATGACTAAATCACGTATTGGGTATGGATGAAATAAAGACGAAACTGTGAAGATAAGAAGGGAATTTGTATTGTCAGAAATGACTCTATTGCAGTCAACCATAAGCAGGGACAGAGTCTAGCAATCTTTTTATTTGTATGCAGTTTCTCCTATAGGAATCTGCTATAGATTCTGTAGAACAAATGTTCACAACTTCTTCCAGTTGAAGGCTGAATTTTGTTTTTAATTAGCTTTCCAGAGAGAGAAGTTGTACCACAAAAAGTGGCACGATGTAGTAGATTTCCAGTGACCAAATGTCACAACTGAGAACATAAATATAATTGGTTCCAATGGGAATAGCTAAACAATGTTGTTTACAAACACACAGACACAGACACAGATCAAAATTCATTCTTGACCAAATATTATTTAGAAAACCAGAGAATATTCAATTTCTTAACTGAATAGTCTGAGGCAGCTGAAGGACAGAATTCCTTCCTTCTGCTTATGAGTCATTCTAGTTCAGATGCAGAGTGTTTCATTTTTTCCAAAGATTTTCCTACTTTTTTTCCACAAAAAGCAACAGAACGAAGCAAGCCTCTTTTTTCCTCTCCTTCTCTATGTGCATAATCTCCACCCTGGCTGAAATCTTTCTCCTCCCCTCTCAAATGAAAAAAGGCCTTTTGCGAGCAAAAGGAAACTGCTAGAAATCAACACACCCGCTCTTTTTTAACCCATCTTCTGACAGCTGCAATTTTTGCCTCTGATCCTAATGCCCAGCTCAAGTTCCGGACAGCCAGATAAACCTGGAATAAATCCAGAATCCACATGGTCACTAGAGAAGGCCTGGACATTGCTTTAGCCTCCTCCTGAAGTAAGTGATAAAAATTATTTTCCTCATGTTTCATTTCAGTTTTAGAAAAACCAAAACTTTTTACAATTACAGTAAAACATAAGAAGCAACAGAGAAATAAGTGTACCAGTTTATAATAGAAGACCATCTCCATGTCCTAAAGAGAAAGTATTGCACCCTAATAAGATATTAGCTTTATTTTTAGGCAGAAATTAATTTGAGGAGCTATCTGATCCCAGAATAGAATACATCAGATTCTCTTGTGTGTTTTTTTCAAACCACAAAGAGTTACCAAAGCTTTTTTTTTAAGCAATAATAGATTGTCAAGTCCATTTAGTGTTGATGTTGTTCAGGTTAAAAATGATGAACTTGAAATACTTACAAATCTGCAAATTAGAACACTGGCAGATAGAATTTTTGTTTGGATTTGTTTTGGCTTTAATTTTAGCTAGTTTGTAACTTTTAGGCATCAGTCTAAGGGTGGGGCTCTGTTGCACTAGGATGACACGTGAGATGTCTGGCATGTGCTTTTCTTGGCATTTATATCCTACATGACATTACTTATTATAGTGATTCCACTACAATGAACAAAGAACAAATATGGATGTGAAGATTACAGAGCAAATGGGTGGGTGGAGACAGGGACAACAGATCGACTTTTTTCACTCCCCCAACCTACAGCTTTCACATTTATTGGAGATTTATGGCAACAAAAGTTGAAACTATTGCCTAAAAGTGAACTGATCTGGGTTCAGCCCTTGAGCCTCAAGAGAATGTGACTCAGGCATATATATTAATCTGTAGAAGAGTTTGTCTATATAAATGATTATGATTGTGTACTGTGAATTTCAAGTACAAGAATTGCAGGTACATAAACAGGTAAATAGATTACAGCCATTAAGAGTTAGATAATAAGTGAAGATGTTATCTAGCTAACACTGGTGGAACAATTTCAACCAATGATAACAAATTCAATGGAGCAATATTAGAGCTACCCACATCTGAAAAAAGCCAGATTTATCTGGCTGTCCAGAACTTGATTGAGCTGACCATCCTTCCCAAACCCCTCCAGATCTCCTAAGACTTCAATCTCCAGAATTCCTAGTCAGCATACACTCTTGCAGGTTTGCTACGTTGGAGTCCTAATTCATGCAGAAAAGATGCTCCAGGCGCTAGTAATAGGATGAGTTGGGAAACCAAACCCTTTTATCACCATAAATTGCATAGCTAAAGAGGATAATTCTTTGCTAATGGAAGCTTCTACATTGCTTCACCATAATTCCTCAATATACTATACACATCCTTTCCATTCATACTAAATCGTCTGTCCTAGCTAAGCCTGCCTGATCAGACTGAAAGTTTATTTTGAGGCTAGTTTGATTCTGCTCCATTACATTTGTAATGAAAATAAAACAGCTTTTCTTTCTATATCAGGGAGTCTTAAGCTTGGCAACTTTAAGACTTGTGGATTTCAATTCCTAGAATTCCTCAGCCAGCTTTGCTTTTGCTGGCTGAGGAATTCTGGGAGTTGAAGTCCACAAGTCTTAAAGTTGCCAAGGTTGAGAACCTCTGATATAGATAGATAATAATCTTAAACGTTCTTGTTTTATCTTTGGTTTACAACTTATATATTATTTCATTGTTCCCTCTCTTTAGCAAGAGTGCACTTTTAAGTGTCTGTAATATACACATTTACATATGTTGAATCACTTAAACATTCACTAAAATATTTAAATGGAAAAGCAAGCCTTGTAAATAGTATATGTTTTGAATATAAGCACTACTCCAGATGGCTTTTACTGAGCTTTCTGATCATGGATTTGCAGTGGTGTGTGGAAGACTTCCCAGAGTCCAAAGAAACCATGTATGTATCAAACTTTTCTTCTGGCAATTTCAGCTAATGCTAAGCAGGCACTCTTGAGCTGATGCAAGTCACAATTTTAGTTAGGCGCTTGGAGACAGTGAGCATAATTCTTTCCAATACATACAAGTCTAAAATGGGAAAGTGGTGTTTTAAAATCAATTTAATTTCCTTGCTGCTTCCAGAAGAAAGATAATATTTTATGGGCTAAATTCCTTCAAGTGTACTATACTGTAGTTGTTTCAAAATAAAAGAATGTAATAGACTCCAGCTAGAAAAGGCAGGAACTTGCCCTAAAACTGTTTAAAATAACATGCTAAAAAAAAAAAAGCAAAAAAAGACTCACTTGAAAAAAGCAGAAAGCTTGCCAATGGAGAAGGAAAGGGTAGAAACTCTAGCAAGTCTTATATCCTGTAGTGTAGATAACAGCAAGCAAATAGTTAGGAATATGTTGCTGAAAATATATAAACCAAATGAATATAAGAACTTGCAATTCAGTATCTTGCAGTGCTTTTGTATAAAATAACCATAAAACAAACTAGCTAAAAATTAGGGAGCAGAAAAGAGGAATACATGGAACATTTTTACAAATTTGGGATAAGAAATAAAAGTTAAACTATACAATAGAAGCATTTATATTAAACTTACTTAAAATACGGTTTTTGGAGGATTGGATTTGGCGGGTTACATCAAATTATTCAAGATGCAGTAATCCTAGCCAGAGCTAAAAAAAAAAAAAAATCCCTCCCATGTTGAAGAACACATTAACAACAGAACAGTCAAATTTATCAATGTTTATATAGGCATCTCTGTTCTCTAGGATGAATTCCTTTGGAAAGTATTTGTCATTTTGTAGCATATCATTTTTCAAAGGGGCAGGTTGGTCATTTTTCAAAGGGGCAGGTTGGTCATACAACTTAAGTATATGTGTAGTTTACTACACTGAAAAAAATTGGAAGTCACCACTCCCCCCCCCCTTTCTTTGCATTTTCCCTTTCTTTCTTAGTTTTCTAACTTTCGGGTTTTTTTGTATTTTATTTTAAAATGAAACTTAATTTTTTAAAAAATTAAAACCACTGAAACTATCTGTCCAACAAACATCTCAGAATCATTGTTCCCCAAGAACATTTTTCAGAGCTCCAAAAATCTCCATTCTTTCCTCTGAGTCTGCCTTTTTCATTCACAAACCTGGTTGACCTTATTTTCTAGGAAAGAGGACAGATGTTGGGAGAAGAAAGATGTATATGGAAAGACAGCCAACCTGCTGGAACAGTTGCTGATCACTGGTGACAAGGAAAGTTTATTGGGCCCTTTGACCAATTTAAATTCATCATACTTAACCTCTAGCTGCCCTACCAGTTTGGAGGACTTGCTGACACACACAAAGCCCTTTAATACCCAAGGGCTTTTCTTCAGACAGTCTTAAGCTGCTCGATTTAAATGAAGTCAGCCCAGGAAACCTCTTTCTGGGATTCATTTTTTCTCCACATTAGCATTGGGGATGGCCTGGTTTTCTGTCCATACTACACCTATTGGGGCTTCCATTGATGGCTACCCTGCTTCTTACCCTTTCCCTCTGCAGAGCGAAAGAAAACATCCATTTCTTTATTTCTTTTCCCTTGGATCCATCTTTGAGGGCTTGTGATTTCTATGAACTCCTCTCTATTGACTCCTCCTTGTACTTGATACCTTCCTATCTGGTACATCCCAGAGTAAAAAAAGAAAACACCACCCCCATGGTCGTGCTATCATTCTTCCTGTCACTTGGAGTAGAGGGAAAAGTATTGAAAATCTTATCAATTACACTTAGTTAAAAATTAATATAACAACTCTACTCTTCTGCCGCAAAAGTTCCATCTGTGCACAGGAAGGAAGGAAGGAAGGAAGGAAGGAAGGAAGAAAGGAAGGAAGGAAGGAAAGGGTATTTTCCCTGAGCTAAGATATAATTAAATGGCCCATTCTAAGCAATTACTTTTTACCAGTTTGCAATTTTAAGATCTGCAATGGAAGGAATAAATGTTGTGTTATACATAGAAGTCATTAGCTATGATTCCTTGACTTTTTTTGTGCCATAAAAATACCTCATTACTCATGCTGTCCATAAAGGACATTTAGTGATATCTTATACACATTACAAGAAAGAAAAAAACAGTGACTGTAGACATTAGCCATTGAGCCATGTTACCAAAGGTGATAAATTCAAGTTGTCCTTGTTACTTCCCTTGATTCAACTTAGAGTAACTATTTACTTCCTGTAATTCATCAAATGTTATAAACTCAGCCCAGATTATTCACACTAATACAGAAAATTCACGTTAACAACTTAATGCTGATAATATCATAGTTGTAGGGTCATGAAAAAATGTGTCTCAGCCTTATATAGCAGAACAGTCAGAATCCAAGATTAAAAGCACTGCTTCTTCAACCCACAAAAATGGTATTTCTTCATTGAAAATTCAGATTAATTCCAGGATCATTAAATAAATAGCAGCAAATTCATGGGAAAGGTAAGGCACACTCACTGTTCTTTTATAAAATGGAAACTGAGGTTAGACCAGCAGCCAGCTGAGAGATAGCAGGAGAGAATGGAAAAGCAGATGAAAGTTGCATCTATTATTATTATTACTACACATTCTCCGAGTATGAATGAGAAATACTTTTTAGTGGGGCTATATAATGTGATAAAATGTATAACCATTTAGTCATATTGTATATTGAAGTTGCATAAATTCTTATGTAATTAATATTTATAAGGTTTTTTTCCTTAAATTTTAGCTGTTTTAAGGATATTTAACATGTGAGAACTGTGCTTAAAGATATTACCTGCAGGAATTATAAACTGGATGCATTATTTTATAATACAAGGTTCATAAGCTGTTTAATTTACTTATTAAAATATATATAGTTAAAATATATGTGAATGCCTAGTGATCTTCGACAAGCATATTCTTTTAAATGCACAATTGTTAGTGATGGTTCTATTTTTACAGTAAATGAAGAGGTGAGAAGACCAACAATTATTATTTCTGTAGACATCTCTTCACTGCATCAAAATACTAAAAGTTCCAATTGAACCGAAATAAAATGGCTGCTCTTATTACTGAAAATTTCCGCTTTCTTTCACTCTTCTTTAAAAGTAAAGATGTGATGATTTTCAACGGTTTGGTGGCTCTGGGTACTGTTGGAAGCCAGGAACTGTTCTCGGTGCTTGCATTCCACTGTCCCTGTTCTCCAATTCGGAATTACATCTACGGTCTGGCTGCCATAGGAGTGCCTGCTCTGGCCTTGTTTGTGATTGGTATAATCTGGAACAACCACACTTGGAATTTAGTGGCTGAGTGTCACAAGCGAGGAACCAAGAACTTTTCTGCAGCAGCCAACTTCTTGATCTTTGGATCTGTCATGGGAAGAGCTGCAGTGGCTCCGGTCACGTGGTCAGTGATCTCATTGCTTCGCGGAGAAGCCTATGTCTGTGCCTTAAGTGAATTCATGGATCCCACTTCCCTGGATCAGTTTCCACCTGGCTACGGACCAGATATCCTAGCTAGGTTTCCTTGTGACGATCACCCAGCCAACATGACACATTTTAAGGATGAAGTTATAAGACGATTAAGATACGAGTCACAGGTACTGTATTTATTCATTCAAAATATTAATTTATTTACATATATATATATAATATACGTATATTATACATATACAGTAGTACCTCGGTCTTCATTGGTAATTCATTCTAGAAGACATGCCGAATACTAAAACCACATGACTTACCACATAACCTGCTATTTCTGCCAGAAGAAATAGGGAGTCATGAGGCAGCCGACATCAGCAAGTTCTTCCTTGCATGTCGACTACTGGGAGAAAGACGAATAGTAATAGTAATAGTAGTAAAGTTGGAAGGGACCTTGGAGGTCATCTAGTCCAACCCCCTGCTCAGGCAGGAAACCCTACACCATTTCGGACAAATGGCTGTCCAGTCTCTTCTTAAAAACTTCCAGTGTTGGAGCATTTACTGCTTCTGGAGGCAGGCTGTTCCACTGATTAATTGTTCTCTCTGTCAGGAAGTTTGGGACAAGATTTCTGCTTCAAAAAGCAGAATACTAAATATGACAAGTTTTGAAGCAGTTGAGTACCGAGGTATGACTGTAGTATAAATAATCAGAAAGCAAAATCCAAATATGAACTCCAATACTAATTCAGATTAAGAACATGACATGCTAGAAACAAGTCATCAAAATGCAAGAAGTAACAAAAACTGTCTGTTTGCCCAGCCCACAATAAAAACCAAAGTATAACAATAAAAATCCTCAGTAGCATATCCCTTGCAAAAGCCTACTTAAACAGGATCATTTGGTAGATCCTATTCTTCATTGCAATACAAATATAGCTTATCTATTTGATCATCTTTATTTTACTAAATGTTTTTAATGCCGTTTGTAAGAATATTTCCTAAATCTTAGTAGCCTTCAGAGCAAGTGTGAGAGTGCTCAGGGAACTGTGGAATTAATTGGTTGCACGGAAGTCCACTCAAACAAAACTGATTGTTTCCAGATATTTAATCCATAAAAATCCTCAAGATGGAAAAAAATGAAGTTCTACTATAATTAATGGTTTTACTATTATTCACTTACAAATGTAACTGAACTTTGCTGTATCAGAGTTTCAATTATATTTTAGAGTCCAATTTTTTACTTCAAAGAAATAAAATAAAGGTAGGCTTTTTTTTTAAATCAAAAATCAAACCAAGCCAAGCCGTGTTCTGCCTATATTTTCTCTCTCCCTTCAGCTCTTTGGATGGCTGCTCATTGGTGTGGTTGCAGTTCTCGTGTTCATCACCAAGTGCCTAAAGCATTGCTGCTCACCACTCAGCTACCGCCAAGAGGCCTACTGGAACCAGTACCGCTCTAGTGAAGCTAGGCTGTTTGAAAGGACCGCTGAGGTACATTCCAAAGTTGTGGCTGCCAACAACGTCAAAAACTTCTTTGGCTTTGTACATTTAGCTAAAGAGGAACAGGAACTGATCCAAGCATATGATGTGCAAAATGTTCAGCCCAGGTCACAGTGGGATGCCATCACTGGAGTCTACATCTATCGAGAGAATAATGGCTTCCCTCTCTATAGCCGCCTCCATAAGTGGGCCAAAAATGTAATGGGAAACAGCTCTAATCCTGATAGCCAGGAAACAGCCTTTCTAGCTACCTAATACAGGTAGTCCTCAACTTACAATTATTTGTTTAGTGACTGTTCACATTTACAATGGCACTGAAAAAAGTGATTTATGACCGTTTTTTGCACTTATGACTGTTGCAGCCTCCCCATGATCATATGATCAAAATTCAGATGCTTAGCAATTGGCGTGAATTTATGATGGTTGCAGTGTCATATGATCATCTTTTGCGATATTCTGACAAGCAAAGTCAATGAGGAAGCCAGACTCACTTAACAACTGTGTTACTCACTTAACAATTGTGGCAAGAAATGTTGTAAAATGGGATAAAACTCACTTAATTACTCTCTTACTTAGCAACAGAAATGTTGGATTCAATTGGGGTCATATGTCAAGGACTACCTGCATCTACTCAATAGCTGTTCTACAAGCTTAGCAAAAATCATTTTGAGCACTTAGACAGCTATGCTGGAAAGCATCCAAGAATTGATTTTATACTTTGACTAAACTCTCAGAAAATATATAGCTGATAAGATTTCAAATAAATTATGTCACAGGTGATACAAACCTATTGGTGCTGTCCCATCAAAAATAAGGCCTATGAAGCCCAGTAGTATATATTCTTATATAAGATTACAGTTTAACAGTCTGGTGCCAAGTAATATTGGGGGGGGGGGAGATAATTTTTTTCCAAGTATCTGTCCAATTGAACAGAAAGTTATTCATCAATGTATAATTTCAGGAAATATGCCAATTGACAAGCACATATGGTCCTTGATTTATGACTTGGCAACTATTCAAGGTTACAACAGACCTCCCCAGGGTTACTTATGATTTCAGTTAGAAGTTTTGATGGCTGAGCCCTCTCTGTGGTAATAGATCTTATTTTGGATGTTCGGCAATCAGCCCACATCTACAACTGTTTGTAGTATCCTGCAATCATGCAACTATGTTTTACCCATATATATATTTTTTTTGCCAGAAACTGGTATTTATTTCTGGTTTCCAGCAAAAGAGATGCTTATTGGCTAAAATGGGTTTGCTTAATGATCACCATGTTTACTTAATGACCACATTTGCTTAGTTATTGCGGCATTTGCTTAACCACTGACACAAAAAGGTTGTAAAATTGGGCACTATCACATGGTGAGTCACTTAACAACCAACACGACTTAGCATCATAATTCTCAATTATAGTTGTAAGTCGAGGAGTAACTGTAACTTTCAAATCAGCCTGAAATACTGCTAAAATATATACATTATGTCCTTTTTAGGTAAAAGAGAAAAAATTATCCTAATTCTTTTGTGTTTCATTTGTAAGTGTGGTTGCTAAAGACAAAAGTGTGGTTGCTAAAGACAAAAGCTACACTAAGTTGGCAAAAGTTAGTTACTCTGACTTCTCTTGGTCTTTAAGATCTTTCTTTTCTGCATACATTTGATCAATTTGTTAATGAAGGTAAAATTTTAAACACTGAAAACACTGATTTGTTGTTTTAATACTTAATACTGCTAGATGCTAGAAATCATAATTGTTACTAATTACTTTGGCTTTAAAATATTCACAAGATATATGTGGGATTATCAGTGACTAAAATATGAAAAACTACAGAACTGGATGGCAAGACAGAACCAATAGTGGTATATTGGTCAAATATTGGGTTAGAATTGGGGAGACCCCAACCTCAGGATACAAATTCAATGGATAGTTTTGAGCCAGTAACTCTGCACCAAACCAACTTTATAGAGTTGTTGATGTAGGCAAAACTGGAAGAAGACCATGCTATGTACACAGCCTTCAATTCCTGAAGAAAAAGCAGGACATAAAATAAATGAATAAGAATCTATTCAAATATCACATAACAAAATACACATGCCCTGCTGTTTTCCTCCAAGATGCATGACTGTCACTTAATGGCATAAGTGCAAAAGAATAAATTATGGTTATTTTCCCGGCAGTGCGTGGCATCTGCACTGTTACTATGCAAATCCCATGACACTGCGAATATTTTGGCCAGGATTATAGTCTTCTGTAGGAGAATGGATCAGGAACACTGGATTGTAAAATAACAGATGGAAAATGTATAGAAACTGCTAATTATTACAAACTATTTGTATATTGCTCTAACATTGATATAAAAAATATTTTAGCATAGTTATAAAAGTTCAGAATTTTGTGAATTGCAGATATAGAACAGGACAGGGCTTATAAAATAAAAACTGGAATTGCAGAACTTTGCTCCTGCAGACAACAGCCTTTTAATTTAGTCCTTAAGCCTTGAAAATATTTTATACAATGCTTAGAAAACAGTGCTGTTATTATCTTCTAAGACTATGCCTAAATAAAATACAAAACATTTTAGGGAGGGAAGAACTATTGACTACCGTAACCAAGCAGTTGGTTGCTTTCTCCCAATTATTAATTGTATACTTTAAAAAGAATCAAAGTCAAATAAGGCTACAAGTATAATTATTTTATTTAAATTTGGGACGATATAAAAGATGTAAAACATTTACATCACTTACACTGTTAATCTCTGGTCCTGGCTAGCCCAATCTGTTATTGAGCTCATTGGGAAATGCAAAAAAGCAGGATGGCTTTTCTTACTACAGATGAGTTATATCCGCTTCCCTTCTCATCATACTGGGTTTGAAAGCAAGACCCCAAAGTCTGTCTACCACAAAGGTTAGCTCTCAGCAAGATTGTTCTTGGATTGCACATACTCCAATGCTGCTGCCTTCACAGCCTGGATTGTTTCCACAGTGCCATACTTCTTCTCATACTCCAGATAGCGTTTAAAGAAAAACTTCATCTTCTTTGCTGTTAAGTTTAGGTGAATCACTCTTTCAAAAATATCCCTGTGAAAAACCCAAAATAAAAAAAAACAGTTTTAGTCTGATATTTTATGAACCTTTTCTATTTAAAATAACTAAAATTGTTAGCTGATTTTCTCCTATACAAAATATATCCTATATGAGATATTGGAGCAAATCCTTTAAGTTTCTCAATTATAAATCTTATAACATCTCTTTGCCGAAATCAAGCCACCCTGTTTGTTTTAGTTTTAAGCTTTTGTTTCCCAAGCTTGCATTTGCAAAATTGCTGGAAATTAACACTCTTAACCTCCCTGCACATGCTAGTTACTCACCGGACTTCTTTTTGGCTGCCATGTTTTATCATTACATCTATGTACACTGACCAGATGTCTGTACGTTTGTGGTATGTGCTCAGGATGTTTTCAAACAGGGCCTTGCCATGTTCTGCATCACCAAACTGAAACTCTAACTGTGCCAACTTTGAAATCACATCCACATCTGCCCAAAAAAAAAGCAGTTTAAAGGATACGTTCCACCAGTCATTATTACTTCTGCCTAAAATTTGAAGATGTATCTATTATTTAGAAATATATTGTTAGCTACATCCTCATTAAAAGAATTTTCAGAGCAGATTAGCAAACAAGACACAAAAGTCTAATCTGTTGTAAAATGTGCATTGTTCCTTGTAATACTGAATTTGTTTCTGTGTATTGGGGTGAAAGATAAAAGAATATATTTATTAAGCTCATGATGGAGGAAAATGACTGAAAGAGACGAATATATGAATTGTTACAATACAGATATTAATCTGCTCTAGTCTAAAGGAAAATCCAATGAGAAAGAAATAGACATCATTATTTAAGAAAAGAGGAAACCAAATAACTCTTACGCTCTTTGTCTGGCAAGCATTTCAGTGCCCGTGGCATAAGTCTGTGAGCTGCCTCCACCAAACCACGCTTCAGAAGAAAAGTGGTATACTTTACCCAAACAGATCTTTCTTGACGGAAGCGTTTCAGCATTGTGTTGTATACGTCATCAGCTTCCTGAATAGATCAGGAGACAGGTTAAAAAAATCATCCTAAATATGCAAAACATTTTTATTTATATTGCTCCTAAATTACAAAGGACATTTTAGTTCTTTCTTTCACAAATATCAATACCCTAAATTTCTTACCCTATTTTCCAATAGTTATAGAAATGAGTAGGAGCTATTTTTATGCTAGATTTAGATATTTATGTAGGGATGAAGCTAAACAGACATGGTCTGAAAACAGCTGTCTTCTGTTTTTTTAAATCTTAAAAGTTCTATACTATAATAATATTCTTTAATGATTCAACATGTGTTCAGAATGCTAACTGCTATTCTATAATCTGACCAAAAATTCTAAGTTCAGTACTAAAGAGTTGAAGGGGAAATCTTCTCTCATATTTACAAAAATAAAAAAACATACATTAAGCCTGTGTACCTTATTCAATGAAGTGCTTCACTGAGCACAAGCTTAATATTCAACTACGTGTCCTGCTTCCTCATCATTAACTGCCAATTCTGCAATTTTAGAATATAGATTTCATAGGTCCTAGAGTGCATTTTGCATTCAATAATCCAGACAACAGCAATAATTTGACATTGAAAAGAGCCACACAGAGATAAGCCATCTGTTGCTCCAAACAGAGGCAACATCCACAAATCCAAAATGTAAAGGGAAGTTTAGGACAAGCTAGACCAGTATAGGCGCAGTCTTTCTTGAAATCAAACAAATATTCTTCCTGTCACACACAGAGAGATGAGCAAAAGTTCTCTTTATCATGCTGCTGTTAATTGGCATCACCTTATGTTTCTCAGAGGCGCTGTAGATGTCTGCCAACTGCTGAAATACCTTCAGAGGCTCATTGTACTGGACTGCTCTTTCAAAAACTTTCATCAGTCCTTCCTCTGTGCCATACATGTTCTCCAGGTTTAGCAAAGCAACCCACACATTTAGCTTTTCTTGTTCCTCTCTGAAGAAGAAGAGAGAAGACAACATTCAATACAAAGCTCTTGATTTTCCTTTTGATGTTGCTATTCCCCTCAATTTGTTTGTGGCTAGTTTATACTGAATACTCCTGTATTTGGAGAAAGGTAAGAGAGAAAAGTTGCACGTTCCCTTTACTCTGCAAGTATCTTATTTTAAGATCCAACCAAGCAAAATATAGTATGGATATGAACTGTTACGAAGGAAACTGAAGAACAACAAATAACAAAAGTCACCTAAAGGAGATTGTTTTTAGTGCCCTTTCTGCAACAGCTCTAGCTTTTTCTATCTCTGTAGCTTGGAGATGAAAAGCCATGAATTGCAACCAAAGGATGGAGCTGTCGGGATTGCTGACGACCAAGCGGTCAAAGTCATCCGCTGTCTGCGGCTGTCGCTTGGGATCCATCAGGGCAGCTTCCAGCTTGGAGAGTTCCTTCTCTGCCTTTTGCTTCTCCAGCTCCTGTTTCTTTTTTGTTTGTTTTTTGGCCTTAAAGAAAGAAAAGGGAGAAAGGCCTTGATCACTGGAAAATCTGTAGTGCTGTAAGATAACATACTATAAGACAAAGTGGGGTGGATCCAAGAATCAGATACTAATCTTGAGCCTTTGGGGTGCTCAACAGGCTCTATTAGACTAGTGAATAAGAATTTTACTATTTTTGTTACAGAGGAATGATACTCTGTCTCTTTCTAAGTTATTCTTAACACCAATAGTGCCACAAGAGTCCTTTTTTATTATTATGCCTTTTGCATTATTTCATTGTCCACCTTTTTATTAAAAGCTAATATGATGCACATAATGTCTTATTTAGCTACAGACACACCAATGACAGATAAGGAGGTGTGGAGAACAGGGACATAACTTAAACTTTTATTTTATTTTTTATCACTTCCAAACTTAGACTTCTTTCTTCCCCTCACTTTATATTTATTTTTTTTGTTTTTTAAAGTGTTGTGAAAACTGCCACTTTAAAAAAAAATACCCCAGACATAAAAAAATTAGCCTACAAAAGTATTCTTTTTTCAGAGTTACATATCTCATAAAAATGTTATTATGTATATGTGGATGATACTTCTCAAAAGCAAACTTTCTACGTGAAAAAAATCTGTATTTGGAGGCGCAGAAATTCAAGTAGTACACAGGAATTTTTCTTGTGGTTGGTATGCCATAATCACTTAACTTTATAAAGTCTCTCTCTCTCTCTCTCTCTCTCTCTCTCTCTCTCTCTCTCTCTCTCTCTCTCTCTCTCTCTCACACACACACACACACACACACACACACACACACACACACACACTTTCAACTAGATGGGCCCTTTTACTGAAAGGTTAACTGAAGGGCAACTTCATACTAACTGTCATTGCATACAAGTTAATCCCAAGAGCAAACAATACAGAGATACTGTACCATGGATTCAGCATCATTTTCTTCTTCGCTGTCTGAGCTGTGCTCTGTTGGAATCAATGTGGTTCCATCCAGCACATTTAAGCCCTCCTCCCACATAAAGCTGGTTGAAACCTTCAGTCTTGGAACTTCTTTTCCTAGCTGAGAAAAAAGCAGAAATATATACTCACATCAATCATCCCACTCAGTACAAAATATGGCTTTCACCATGTCAAAAGACCTATCCCCTTCCCGTAGCTGTTTACCTTAGACTTCTTCTCATGCTTCTTTTCCTTCTCCTCTTCCTCCCGATAATAAACCTCAACACCACTATCACCGTCCTCAGTGCAATAAGCTCTCTTTTTTGCTGGCATTACCTCCTGTCATTGAAAGAAAAGAAAGTGTTAAACAATAGTTTAAAAAATTAGTATGTATTTTTGCACATACCGTATTTTCCGGCGTATAAGACGACTTTCTAAAGCGCGGAAATCGGCGCCGAAGTCGGGGGTCGTCTTATACGCCGAGTCGTCTTATACGCCAGAAATTACGGTAGTTTCCGGCGGATAAGACAACTTTCTAGGCATGGAAATCAACGCCAAAGTCGGGGGTTGCCTTATATGCCGGGTTGCCTTATATGCCGGAAAATACAGTATATAGCAGAAATAAGCTATATTTTCAACTATATTTGTTTAAAAAAATGTTTCCTAATCAAGGCTAAAATCTCTTCCAGGATCGATACCTGCTCGCTTTCAGAAAGCTTCCTCCTTTGATTTCTTGATTTCTGGGAGAGTGTATCCTTTTCACTACACAGCTTTTCATCACATGGAATAAAGCTTGGCTTCCCTGTGTCTTCAGGAAGGAGAGAGAGCTCCACAAGGTTTTTTTCTCTGTTTATACTGCAGAATGTTTAGAACACAGGAAATGATAGGAGAAAGAACTAGCATAATTATGAAGTCTATAATGTCCTCTTAAATGTACAAACTGCTTTACATTTTTAATCTGTCCAGCTTCGCACCATTTCAGTAAGATAGTATTATGACCAGTTAATAAAATGATTAACATAAAGTAAGACACATTCACAATTCACCAAAACACCGTATCCTGGTCCCTGTGGGCCTCTCTTAATCATACATTTTACTGCATGGAATTTTGCCACCTCAGGGGAACTGTCGTTTTGGGAAAATATCCTACTTACCTGAGAACTTTGGCAGTAAGAAGCTGGTCTATATGTATGTACTTCATACAGAGTGGGGTGACATACTGAAGGGAAATTTGACCCACCACTGAATCCGATAACCTGTCAAGAAAGAAGACTGTAACTTCTTCAAGTGTACTTCAAAAGATAAAATACATATTTTTAAATGGTGCCCATGATATGGCTAAAAAAATACAACAAGCCATGGCTGTAACAAGAATACAGAAGCTGCCTTTGTGTGATAATGCTATCTATAAGAAGGATGTAAGTTCTATATTTTTCTAGTGCTTCTCTAGTTGCCATATGGGGTAGAAAGGAATAGTGTTTTTTTCAAGCACAAATAATTATTCTCCAAAAAGAGATGTTAAAAAACTGCCTGATTTAATGAATATATCTGCATACTAATTAAATCTGATAAGTTTCAAACAGACAAACACAAGGAGGCATAAACAGAAGTGAAATAATATCTCTAGTTACTTTTATGATTGTGAATAAACTCACCCCAAAGAGATGCCTGATGCTGTAATGGATTTGACATAACCTCTGATGAGTTGACCATTCTGAATATTATCAAGGGAAACAATTTCAGGATCTTCAACTTTATGATGGCCTTTAGGATTTATCCTAAAGTAAACAGGAAAATGAGTTAAGTGCCTCCTTCCTGCACAGGCAAAATAAATTAGAACGTCAAATCCCATACTATTTTCAAAATGCACATTTGTAATAAAATGGAATTGCATTGGGATTAAGTGCAGGTTTTTCTTCTGATTGTAGATGAGGCAGTATTTCCTTACCTGGATGGCCGAAAGGATACTTTTACTGCATGGTCTTCAACAGAAAGAATATAACATCTATATAGAAGAAAAAATAAAAAGTAACCTTGTATGCAATTTCAGATGTGATTATGTCCAATAAAAGAAACAGCTGATTACATTATACGTGCCTTAGATGTATCATGTTGGAGCATTACAAAACACTGTACTTAATATTAGCATTGGGAGGTACTTGGAAAAGGTGGTCCAGAATAAAGTGGCAAAGTTATCAAGTGTGATCTAAAGGAAGATGTAACTCCTTTACTAAAACACATGCACTAGTTTTGATTTGTTTCTTTTCAGGCAATTCAGAAGGGTTTAGACTTGGGGTGGTTGAAATATCACATTTTCAAATTCAAGCTTAATTGCTTATTGCAATAACCATCAAAGAACCTCTCTTACATTTTCTTAGTATCTCTAGAAATCCAGCGGAATTTTCTTAAGAAGGTAACAAAGTTTTGGAAATTGCTTTCAGGAGAGGTTTTTCTTCTTCCTCTTTTAGCGAACTTTTCAAAATTAGTTTTAAAAAATTATATTTTTAAAATCACAGATGAAATTGATGTTACAATTTTTACTGTTGCTCTAACCATTTGTAAATGGATGCTTTCACCCTTCCCTTTTATAGTTAGCAACCTTGAAGTTGGTTTTTAGGGGAGCGCAGAATGTAAATCTTTAAAAGAAAAACATTATTTTATAAAAATTATTCCTGAGCAAGGATCCATCCTGAAATATTGGCAGTCAAAATAAAAGATTTGTTTTCAAAACAGCTTAAGAAAATCAATGATCTGAAAATGGGAATTCAAAATGTAACAACATGGCATCTTTTATATACTCTGGAAGTATAATTCCCAGGCTTCTAAAGGCATTACTGGTTGGGAATTATACTCATAACAGATTGAAAGGCATCACGTTGGAGAAGACTGTTCTAAGCAATCAGGCCACACAACATCTCAAGATATCCTGGTTAATTTTAAGATGTTTGGCATTGATATTACATTGACATATTTCACAAGTCAAACTGAAATATAAAATTTTCCATCTAAAAGTAAGGAATAATCAAGATCATTGTTAAAGATAATTACCTTCAGTTATTTAAAGCTTTTGCAGAGGTCTCTTACCTGACAATTTTTCCAACACTGAAGTCTTCAAGTGGCTGCTCTGTGTATGAATCATTTAGATGGAAAAGACTGATTTTACCAATCCTTCCAAATGGAAGGATAACATGCAAACCAACATGTGGAATAATTCGTTTCACAGTGCAAAGTGCAATTGTTCCTTTCTCCAATGAATGAATGCCTGAGGAAATCCAAAACAGACACTATAGATAACTGTTATAGAGTACATTTTCTTACACCTTTAAGATATTCGAGATTGTGGATTGCTAGTCTTATTTTTCAAGCATGCAACCTCTAAGTACAAAAGGTTTCATCCAATCCCAATTAAGAGTGCTAGAAGTTCTACTATAGTGTGCCAAAGACTGCATCAAACTACCAGTAGCAGAAACAAAATATACAATATAATCCTATAATCTCTGCAGCACTTACTCCCAGTAAATGGAGTAAGCAACTTTTTCCTAGCTCCAGGCACCACACCCAATATTTGTAACTTGGCACGGAAATACCTATTTATCTGATTTTAATGCATCGATCACTATTTAAGTATACCTGTTAGCGACAGAGAGAGTTTGGTTCCAGAAATATCACAATCTGCCACTGTTGCAGTCAAAGCCTGTCCTTTTTTGAAGCTTTTCCTAGCATGTTTTATATCCTATAGAAAGAAATATAAACCTATCAAAAGATGTTCACAATATTTGCAAGAAATGCCCAGTTTGGTTAATCCCTGAAAAATATTTTGTGCTACTATAAGAACTTTTCATGAGACACAGTTCTGGAGAGTTAAGGCTAAGCACAGGTTTCAAACTATGGCAAATGATCAATAAGAAATCTTGAAGTTTTCATATGAATAATCAAAGAAAAGCTTCATGTGTCTATTTTTGGTCCTTAACTCTCAAAGAATGCAACAAGCCTTTTACAGGAAGATTATGGGCCATGTAAGAATGCTGTGATGCAACACACAGGAGTCACAGAACAAAAACATAAAATGTAATTGAGTCAGTGGAGAGGGCTAGTGTCTTACAAAAATACAAAAAGTGGCAAACTGATAGTCAACACATAGATTAACTCCAAAGAGTCATCCATAGGGCTAAATTAACTCATGTTGATTGCTTTTTGCCCTGTTAAAGGGAAAGGGACTAGTAAATATAAATTATTTCATATACTTCCTTGGCATAAGAGTCACAGTATTAAAGACTTGTTGAAGAAGGTTGGTGGGGGAACTCTATTCCAGTAATGGTGATGTCTGTGTACTAGCAAAACCACCATTTGTGTTATGCCTTTTGTGGGGATTTTATGGGATCTGATTAGATTTTATCAGATTAACAGTTGTCCCCTAGAATGTTTAATAACACAGAAACAGGAAACAGAATTATAATCCGGACATAGTATACCAAGATACAGGTTGATGTGAAATATTTTAAAGTTAGTGCCTTTCACCAAATGATAAATTTCACATTACTAGTAGTAGCTTCCTAAGATATGCTTAAGGATATTGTACCTCTTATCCCCTAGCGATTACCTTGGGATTTGAAAAAAGCAGCAGCTGTGGAACTCTCCCTCTGATGGTAGAAGTGACCTCCACCTCCAGCCGTTTCTTTAATATATTGTACTGAGAAAATATACAACACACACTTCAACATTTCATTGGAAAAAGACAGATAATTCATCAATGGAACCTCTAACAACAGGTTCTAAAATTCTTTCAGGGATTTCAGTATTGCCTGCACCTAATCTCACACACATATGCACATAAAACAAAGTAAAAAACAAAACTTTTAACTCTAACTCTTCAAAGTAATAATTTTGGAGGAAAAAATGCAAATGATTTTTTTTAAAAAAAATAATAATTAGACATTTCTCATTGTATTTTATCCAAAGTTAAAAGATAAGAAAAAAATCCCAGTGTATACAGGTTGAGAAATTCTAGATTTCACCTTCGTAACATAGCATGTCACTGTCTGCCCAGATTTCGGTGTTTCTTCTGGGCTGTCATTTTCAGCAGTCAAGGCTGCTTTACTTTCCTCTTTCAGTGCACTGTTCATAAGAGAAAGTAAAATAGGTTATGCCCAGGCATTCTATTTTGGCATTCCTAATTTCTCCCTTCTCTGCAAAGTATCTTCTATTTCATACTTAGGAACAAGCAGCTGCAAGGCCACATGCATATTCAGATCCCAAGACATCTATTACAAACTTATTTAACTCTCATCTAGCATTTTGGATTATTTAGAAATATTTGTTCAGATTAGAATAGCACAACTGTAACTTATGAATAACGGCTGGAAAGGAAAGTTTAGAGAGTAGATTACATTTTAAACATGTTCTAAGGCAGTGTTTCTCAACCTTGACAATTTTAAGGCATGTGGACTTCAACTCCCAGAATTCCACAGCCAGCATTGCTGGTTGTGGAATTCTGGGAGTTGAAGTCCACATGCCTTAAAATTGTCAAGGTTGAGAAACACTGTTCTAAGGCTTCATCTTAATGCCTAAGCTCTGTACTGAAATCAAGCTCTGTACTCTGCACTTACCTTGGTCGGATACTGAGCTCTAGGAATGTATGGGTGAAATGGGTGTGGGTGATAGGCAGATATCTGTAAATTAAGAGATATTACCACATGAATACCATTTGGAATCATGAAAAATAGAAACAGCGAATGCATTCACCTAACACACTAACCATTACACAAGCCAATAGCTTCTCATCTGTTAATGTTAGGCTAGATTAATCATTTTCATTTCAAGTAAAAGGGAAAAATACATCAGAAAATGCAAGTAATTCCTACAGTTGTACCTATGTGAAACACTGAATTTTCTCCAGAAGGAAAAATGTTCTTCAATTATATAAAACTTGTTCTCAGGAATCCAAACATTTGCAAGTCCAGTATCTGTCAAATGCAGTGGCAGTTATTCTCCAGGTTGCAGAAAAATGCACATGAATTGTAAGACTATGCGTGAGTGTACGTTTGTGTGTGCCTTCAAGTCAGTGCTAACTCCTGGCAACAACCTGGACAAATCCCTGCAGGTTTTTTTGGCAAGATTTTGGAAGTCGTTTGCCACTGCCTCCTTCCTTGGGTTGAGAGAGTGGGATTGATGCAAAATCACCCAGCTGGTTTTGTGTCTAAGGTGGAACTAGAACTCATGTTCTCCTGATTTCTAGCCTGGTACCTTAACTAGTCCACCAAACTGTCTCATAAGACCTGGATCTCAATAAATACATTACAATACAAACATTTCAGATTTCTCTCTTTTGTAAATCTCAACCTTTTTAATTTAGTTGATACATTTGAAACAATAAAACATATAGAAAAGTGCATTTAAATTTAAAAAGCCCACTGAAGCTTTACAACTGTTCATGGCAACCTATTGTGATTACATGGACAGAATTTAAATCCTTATCTCTGGTTGCTCTTAAAAAGACACCCTGACTCTGAGCTTATATTATAAACAGCCACAAGGAGTTTTCTCCATACAAAAGGGACAAAGCAACATTAATATGTGTAAGAACTAACTCCTACACAGATATAAAGCGGGAAAAATCACTGTATTTAACTTCTTTCACCAGGGGAGAATTCCAGGTTGCCTTCTTATCCCTTCCGGACTGAAATAAGTGGGTACTTAAATGGGAATATAGATCACAGTGCTTAAAACACTAGCCAAGAATGAGAAGGCTTGGATCTAATTTCAATCTTATAATAGTTGACTGGGTGATTTTGGAATTTCTACAGCCAAAGCCATGTCACATGGTTCTAGGAAAAATTAGGAGATGGACAGGTATTTATTCCTGAAGGAAAAAGGGAGAGGTAAGTAATCTAATCAGTAAATTTAACAAGAATTTTTTCTGGAACTAGGAGTAAAAATTAAAAACAAAATAGCAAATGCATGATAAATGCTGTGCTTGCTAGCCTATTGAGCAACAATGAAAATAATTATTAGCCACAATAAAAGAAATATATAAAATGTTGTCTCACTTGTGACTTTTAATGCCTCTGCCTCCAATCACCCGAGCAGTAATCTTCTGTCCAACTTTTAGTAATGATGTTGGAAACGTGCCTACAATCACATTATCCAGAATCTGGGATGCATGAATGGAGCCAGTCAACCTATCATTAAATGCCACTAAGACATGAGTGGGTTTGACAGACTTAACAATTCCATTGACTATGTCTCCTGAGCTTGGCAACTGTTTTGTTACAAGTGAGGTATTCTCTAGTGTCTCTGATTCACGACATGATCTGATTACATTCTTCTTCTTCCCTGAATCATGTACAGCAAATAACATCCCATGATCACCAATCTGTGTGCTTTTCAGAACCACTTTGACTGACTGTCCCATCTTCAGTTTTTCAGAATCAAATCGGAATGTGTCATTCAAGTGGGAAGCCACTGGGATTGCAATCAGCCGACCTGTTCCTAACAAGGAAACAACTGCATACTCTGTGGCCACGTGTTGTACAACAGCCTCATATTGAGAATTCAGGATTAACTGGAATATATAGAAGTTACAGTCAGAAAACCAAAGAATAGTCTGTTACGCATGTAATATATTTGCTTTGCCCTATTTGAAACTTATGTTTTATCCTTCTTTGAAAAAGCTTCAAGAATTTCACAACTTTTTAGTCATATCCGAGAATTTATTACGACTTTCTAAGACATACCATTTGTACCATTTTAGGCTACAAAACTATGAAAGAAAAAATCCTCAAAACATTAAAAATTATTAAGACTAGCAATAGGTTTTGATGAAGGGAAACCCTTAGGATATTTACAGGTATGCATCTATGCTGGATTTATTCTCACGTGTGCCTATTATTCCCCAAAGGTTAAATAGTAACCTTAAATAATATGTGAAATACCATAGACTTAAATCAACCACCACTTTTAAGTCCCTCTAGTGACTAGTCTAAGACATAGGAAAGAACCATTTTTTTCCTTCTTCTTAATATCTTTTAATATCTTTTATAAAGGTATTATTATATCTTAGGGAGGCATTCCGTTATAAAGATTTGTCTATTTCTGTAACTGTTAGAGTAATGTTTTTTCTGTGGTCTCATCATTACTCCTATAAGCATGTATCTATCTAGTATAAAAAGGAATAAGGATATCATACCTTCTTGGATTTGAGAGACAGCAGTTCCTCTTGAAGAGATACATAGATCTTTGATGTTAGAAGATCAACACAGATAATTACAGCTTTTACTTTTTGACCGTCAAGAATACTTCTGCCTTAAAAAGACAATACTTAGATGAAGATGACTGTTCCATGTTCAGTTAAAGAAAGCAACAATTAATGGTGCCCTATAAGAGGAACTTTTGTTAAATTACATCCTTACTATATAAAGAGCAAGCTCAATTCCCAGTGACTTCAGAAACATAAGTAGTTTATTTGGTAACAATAGTGATCCGCTATTACTTTTTTCTAAGATGTTTTTTCTATTTCTCTCTCTATGCACTAGGCTTTTCTGATGGACTCAGTGTGTTAAATAGGTCCATTAGCTTTTTGACTTCAGCCAAAGCTGGAAAACTGCTACCATCTAATTGGGCTATAATTTTACTAGCACAGTAGAGGGAACATTCACTTGATCCCTTGTGTCTTTATTATCTCATTCCTTCTGCTCTGAAAAGATGTAACTCTACAGTAATCAGCAATTCATTTCTAGGTAACAAAAGATAGAGGGGATCAAGCAAGAGTTGGAGGGGGATAAATACTGTACCTCCAAGTTGGCTGTGATTGGCTATTACAGTCAAATCAGAAACATGTGGACCACTGAAAACGGCTGAACCATCAGCCTTAACTTCAGTAACAACCAGTTCTAGCCTCTGCCCCACTTTTAATTTGGAGAGTTTCTTAGCCACATTGGAATCATCTGCCAATAAGAAGAAAATGAATTAAATTTTATTTGCAAATTGATTTTTCATTCTGAAAGTGTATAAAGTTAATGTACATTTTATCTTCACCTTTCGACAAAGGTTTCAATGTCATAGTAATTAAGTTCTTCTAATAAATTTCGTTAAGTTAGTTCTCCTAGAATAAGACAAAAAAATAGCAATCTGTGGCCTCCAACTCCCTTTCAACTCCCTACAGTACTCAGCAGGGCAAAGAGCTGAAAGGACGAAGCATGCCAGAAAAAATGGAATTCTTAATATCCGGCAATGAGGGATGATGTAAGCTGAAGGCAGCGCCATCTAGTGGGCCACAAATAGCTTAATATTGAGAGATCCGTTTAAGCACTGACCCTTGAAAATTGCCTTCTTGTGTTTAACTTATGGGAATAAGTGAGAAAGAAAGAAAGAGAGAAAGAAAGAAAGAGAGAGAGAGAGAGAGAGAGAGAGAGAGAGAGAGAGAGAGAGAGAGAGAGAGAGAGAGAGAGAGAGAGGAGAGAGAGAAATTCAAAATTCATCAGGCAACACATTTTGTCTGAAATAGAATCCTATGACTCTCAACTTGTATTATTTTTTAAAAATATAAATGTCTGCATAGCTTCACAATGCAGCCACTGTAATAGCAAATGCAGACATAAGACTTTCACACGCCATCCTTTGTGTTCCCAAACACTTTTACCTCTATTGCTCATGAAGCTCATAATCTCCTGCAGTTCATTAAAGTACTGTTGCAGTAGGGCAAAGCTCTCAGAAACAGACCCCTCAACAGAGCACTCTGATATCTTCAGGGACAGCAAGATGCGCTGCTTCTCCTCATCAACACTGGTCACCCTGGCAAGTACAGTTTGACCTACCACAAAATGGTCTTTGGTGTCTGTCACAAACTTGTCACTCATTGCCTGCAGTGATAAGGAGACAGGATAGAATTATATCAGCATCAACCCCAAGACCTCCAAGAGGAGAGCAATACACCCCAAATGGCTGATTAGGGCAAATTCTACTAGTTACTGCAGTATTTATTCTTCTACTATCGTGTTTCCCCAAAAATAAGACCGGGTATTTTTTATTTATTTTTTTGCCTCCAAAGGAGGCACCAGATCTTATTTTCAGAGGGTGTCTTTTTTACTCACCTCTTGCACTGACAGTCCTGCCCAGACGGTCCACCTCTTCTGCAGCCGAAGGAGCAGCTTCATTCCGGCCTGCATTTCTCAGTCAGGTCTTTCTGAAGGCCTCTGCAGCTGAGTACCGAGTTATGGATTCAATCCATAGCTTAGTTCTCGGCTGTAGTGGCCTTTCCAGAAATGTAGGCCTGGCTGCAGAAGACACCTCAGAAGAAGTGGGCCGGCAAGGACTGGCTGCAAGATAAGTGGGTGAAGGGTACATGGGGCAAATCCATCGCCCAAGCTTGATTTTTAAGTCTGTGCCTCACCCCAAAACTAGGGCTTATTTTGGGGGTGGGGCTTACATTAGACCAAGCTAGGGCTTATTTTTGGGGTAGGCCTTACTTTCAAGGAAACAGGGTATCTGCTGCCTTTGACTTATTTCTATTCCTCAGTATGAACCAGCAAACAGAATGCTTGTTCTTGCTTTACATTTAATAAATAATCTAAGTTGCATAATTCTATTCAATTTTATTCACTTTGAAATTCTGCCTTTTTTGTTGTTCCTGAATGCAAACCTTGTCTGCAGAATTTCCAAGTTCTGTCCCTACTCACAATTTTATTATCAAGCCCATTCCAAATGAAAGTTTTAATTCTTGAAGGTGAATTGACAGTAGAACCAATAACCCAAACAAATGGTGGGCTTCCCTTTAATAAATGTGTCTCTGCATTAATGGGGAGGGAGTCGGATTTGATGGCCGAAAGTCCCTTTCCATTTCTATGATTTTATAAAGAAGAATATGACATAAGACATTTTAACTTAAAAATTTGTATTAACAAATACCTCTCAACCAATGCATCTGAATAAAGCAATGTTAATAATGAACACTGAAACAGGTCTTACCGATTTGGGGGCCAGCCCAGTCAAACCATAAGGAAACTCCACAAATACACCATAAGACATGATGTTTCTCACAAAGCCAGTAAGCAGTAATCCAGGCTGGATATCAACAATACTCTTCGCTAAATGTTCATCCTCCATAGAGGAAATCAATGCTGGCTTTCTACTCAAGATCTACATAATGAATTAGGGAAATTTTTTTTTAAAAAAAACAGGCCTGGGAAGTTTTGTACTAGATAATAGAAATCAAACACTCCACCCAAGACTACTAATGTATTAGAAGCTGAAAAAGTGCAATAGCGGAGAACATCTCATCTGCACTGATCAGTGTTTTTTAACAAGTGTCTTGACGGAGCCAGAATTTCCAGTTAGTGCGGCCCATCTAAAGGATAAAAGAGGCTGGGGAGATATGGAATAAATCATGATGCAGACAGCCAACTGAATACAAGTCAGATGCCATGGGAGGAAAAACCAATGAATTCTCTCCACCCAGCCAGCAATTTGGCTGGGAATCACAAGGCTTTGGAGAGAACCACTTTAAGTACATGCTGTTGCACAATGTAAGGTGGCAAATGGATTAAATCAAGTCTTGGCAAGAATTAAAAGGATACAATGTGACCTCCTTTGTTATGGAGGCATATAACCTTTTGGAGAACATCACCTTCCTTGAGCCAATGCCACCACAACTTGCTATTGGACACGTGATCAGAAAGTTGTGCCGTGGGAAGGTAGGCCAAAACATTGTTGGGTAGGATTGCAGCTTGTAGGCCATCTTCTTTCTTGTTCAGAATTTTTACATCTACAATCTAAATAGCACAATCAAAAACAGAGGTTTTAAGACTTTCACTTTACAATACAGTATTTCCAAACAGCTTTATCTATCTATTTAAAAATAAATGTCTAGGAGCAGTAAGAATCTTTACTGAATCTCATATGGAGCACTTTATAATGTTACTTCATCAAACAGCTCAACGCTAGCTCATTGCTGTATCTTTAGTCCTTTATGGAAGCAAAGGGTCAGTCTAGAATAGGGGTCCTCAACCAAAGCTGGCTGAGGAATTCTGGGAGTTGAAGTCCACAAGTCTTAAAGTTGCCAAGGTTGAGGACCCCTGATCTAGAATTTCCTGTATACAAGTTTCTTTGTTGGAAATTAAGAAATGAAAACAAGGGAAGTGAAAATGGTTAAGATTAATACCAGAACTGGTTGTGTTAATCAAAAGCCCATCCTCTCAACTGCTCCCTTACAGGAGAAAAATATTTTAATCTTGTTCTTAAAGGAGAGAGATATGTGGGGGAAGGGATCAAAATTGTTTTTTGAGAATTCATTGTCACTATTCAAAAATCAATCTCCCTCACCTTTTTATCTTTTGCTCTAGAAAATTAAGAATTTTGACAGGGTTGCTGAAATTGGAACCTTTCCTCCCATACATATCAGGGAGTGAAAAAATATCTTTGATTATCCCTGACAGCTTTAATGTTTGCCTCTGACATTCTTCTCAAGTAATGGAAAATAAATATTTTAGAATAAATTACCTGTCCAGTTTCATATGCCATTTCATGGTTCTTTGAAGTTTCTGTTCTTCCAGTGTTCTTTGAAATAGCATCCTCTGCCAATCTGAATGAAAGCAACAATCTTTCCTGCTCAGGCTCACATTTTAATACAGTCACTTTGACTACCTGTGGTTTTTTTAAAAAAGGAAAAACATAATTATGATTAAATACATCCAGGTCTGCACACTGAGGATTAATTTGCCAATCATATTAAACTGGTTTAGCAGCAAGCATGTACACACAGCAGCCATACTGTCTATAAACTGATCCACTATGTTTAACATGGGGTATGAACAAGGACCCTTAGCTTTATCCATTTGGAACAGAGAATGAAGACTAAACAAACTACAAATTAAAACATACTGCTTCATTCTCTGACTTCTTTCAGAGAAATGTCGTAACGTAAGATATCATTTTCTAGTTTCTTCTAAGCAAAAGAAGTCAGATTCCTGTTTTAATACCATATGCTTAGCTTGGCTATCCAAACCATGGTTATGGGCTAATTGTGCAACTAATTGTGGACAGAGCCAGCAGGTACCAATGGATCCAGCATCAACATACTACCACATGTATAGTTACTATTAGATTCAGACTAAAACTTTATATATATTAAATGCACAATTGCCATGTATTCCATAATGACAGCATTACATAATTGCTCCTAGGTCTCCTTTATATCCTATCTCTATTGTATTAGCAATTTCTTTATTGAGAAATTCCATAACTGTTCCTTGGACTTGTGCAGTTGTATAGATTTTATTTACTCTTTAACTGTTTTTGTCACACAGTGATAGCTTAAAGTGTTATTTTTTTTAAAAAAGTTAAAATATTCTACGCTGCTGTCTAGATTTTAAAATATTATTGCACAAATGCCAAATCTGTTATACAAACATATGCATTTCAGGTAGCTGTTTTAAGTGCAATACTCAAGGATACTTTTTACTTCTATTAAACGCTTACCTGGCCTTCATAGAAGGCTTCTTGGGGAACAGTTAAGGGGAGCAAACCAAGTTCATCAGTAGGTACTAAGCCCCTCATATCATTATAGAATTTCACAATGCAGCCAAATTCCTTAACACACGCAATAAAACCATGAGTGATCAGGCCTGGCTTGGCATCTTCAAAACTGGCAAGGACAGGGAGCTTGGAATTAACAAGGGTTCTCTTGAGAGTCAGAATAAGCTTCTTTGTTTCAGGATTGGAGGCAAGTACCTGGAAAAGCAAGAGATTGGAATCATATTTGTTAACAAAAGTAGTTTCAAGACTAATTTATGTAACTAGTTAAATGGAGATAAATGCAGTTGATATAATTCCTAAATTCAGAAAGATTAGTGTCATTACAGCTGGAAGAAAATTGGTATGTATTTCTTTACATTATAAATATAATAATGAACCAACTCTGAATGCAAATAATTTAAAGTAAAAGTAACCATTATCCTCCAGAGCAACTTTTCCCCAGCTGGTACCTTTGAGATACAATGGAATAATTTTACACTTGCTTACACAGGAATGACTGTCAGAAAAGTCAATAGATTTTAACCGTGCAGGTACTCCTTGAGTTACGATGGACCAGGATTTCCACCACTACATGAGCAATCGTAAAGTCTGACTCACGTAACTGCATCACTTAGAGATGACAATCCCAGAAGTCCTGGTTGGGGTCATAACTCAAAGATGTGTGGGCTGTTAAGTGTGAGTTCCAGATAAAGAGTGCAGGGCTGTGACAGGGAGATGGAGGAGGCCTATAAGAAGGCCGACTATTCAACTGACTTTGCTTGTAGGAAGTTCACAAATGGCAAGTATGTGATCCCGGTTCCCTGTAACATTCTAATCATGAGCTGGACACCAACTCCCCAGATCACAATCATGTGACCACAGAGAGGCTGTGAAGGTCAGAATTTTGATTGTCCATTTTTTTCAATATGCCATAATTTTGAACAGTCACTGAATGAATGGCTGTAAGCCAAAGGCTACCTGTATTAAGAAGACTTACACAAGATTATGACAGAGGTGGTGTGCTAATATCTAACTGGTGAGAAAACGGTGTCAGGATTTATTTTTAGTGAAGTTTATATATATTTCTAGACATGAATAGAGGACAAAATACATGGCTTACTTTAATTTAGCCCCAGAGATCACTGATTAGGTTAGGCTAAAAGTTATCAATTTGCTTAAAGGTACCTAGCAAGCAGCAAGGCTGAAAAATTTTGCATATCCAGTTGAAAGTTTACCCACATTGTCACAACAGCTTTAATGATAAAAGTTATATAGAAACATCAATAACCGTTAAGAAAATTAAATTAAAAATATTTAAAATAAAGTTTAAATTTAGTTCCTTACAGAAAAATCTTACCCGACACTTAACAGTAGTCCCCGTGCTATACTTCTTCTCTGGCTGTTTCAATTTCACATCTGCAAGATGTAAACTGGGGACAAAGCCTTTGATACTCTCAGTGACCTTCACCTGCATGCCCAACGGTTTCAGAGTCAACACTTTTCCCTAAGAGTCAAAAATAGATAGCAGGTAACTGAAAATCAAAATCAAAGGCATAAACAAATTATTCAACATTTCTTTTTCTTAAGCACATCAGCAATTCATAACTCACCTAGTGGATATCATAGTGATATTTATATGCCTCCCCTAATAGATCTATGCAATAAATGTAACAGAACAAAATAACACTATTCTACCAGAGTTACACAAAGTTTGGACTCAAATACATATACGAATAATGTTAACATTTTTTCAGAAGTACTTGCATAAAATTTTCATTCTGAAGTTTGTTCAGTTATGATAATTGATTTACAGAAAATATAGACAGGATTATCATAGAAGCAGATTTTTTTTTCTTATTGGACTTACTTCTAGCACTTGCCCAGGATGTAAATCATGGTATCTCAGAAATGGAGCATTAATAATATGTCTACAAGAACAAAAAGAAAGAAAATAATTTGATTTGGTGTAAAAAAGTAAACAGGATGAAATTTAAATAATAGGTCTCCTGCCTCAGTACACAAAGTATTTTTGATAGAAAAGTGCAATTTGATTCCAATTTGAATCTGTATTTGATAAAGATCAATTCAGTTTGAAGATTAGAAAAATGAAGCAGTTTGATCTTTCAGTTCAAACAGTCTAACCGATTTTCTGATTTTAATCAGATTTTTTTTTTGGCATCAAACCTGAATAAATTTTACAATATATTGTAGAAAGTTGATACGATGATTTGATCAAACTGACTTCAAATTAACTATATGAATCTATAGAAAATTCATGTGAAAACTTATTCAGTAGCTTACTCATCTAACAAGAGCTGCTTCAGACTTAATAGAGTCTAAAAAATTCCAACCAAACAAAGATCCCAATTCTCTCTTTCTCTCTCTCTCTCTTTTTTTTTTTTTTTTTTTTGCTATTTATGTCCCCTACCATTACTTCCTGGAAGGCCAAAAATTGCAGTATTAGCTATGATAAGCCTTCAGGAAACTTCGGCAACTGTGTTCAATATTGTGATGAAAATCATTTATTACAGGTACAAGCCTTTTTATTCCAAGTTTTATACTAATAAATTGCTTACAGATTATATAACTTTTGTCATGTAAACAGCAACACTGGGATATTTGTATCCAAATGGAGAAAAACAGTAATTTGTGAGTCACTTAGCTAGTCTTTTTCAGCATTCTACCAAACTGGTGGTTCTTGAATTAAAATACAAAAGTTCAAAATACATAAAATTGATGTTAAAATAAGAATGTGTAGTTAACTCTAGTTAAGTCTGCATAAGTATCTGTGTATGTATGACTTTTTGAAAGCAATGGGGGTTCAGCACCCAAGGGAACTAAAACATATCACATATTTATGAAGCATTGGGAAGTTCCTCCTGCCGTGGGCAGTGTCAGAAAGGGACACACCTTTAAGCTGTTCAGAATTTGAAAAATTAATCCATACAAAGTACATGAAATGAGACAAAAACCTTACTGTTTGAGAGACACTATGATCATGTCATCGATCAAGCTGTAGTCAATAATTCGGCATGTATGTTTACTTCCAGGCTTAAACACCTCAGTTTTGAAAGATTTGGAAGTCTTTGGAAGATACTTTATCTGTAAAATATATTATAACGATTAAGTCAATTTCTAGTATAACATCAACCCTGCTATAACACAACAGACCTGGTGTCTTAGAAGCTTGATCATTGGCCAAATTCAAAAAACCCATATTTACTTTATTTAAGCCAACAAATATTCTTAAGAATTATTGAATAAAATGAACAACAAAACACAATAAAGGTCTTATAATGCATGTGACAATAATATTTATGCCATATTAAAGTCTCCCTCTCTAAACCTGGTGTCTAAACTGCAACAGAGGAGAAAAAAATCTTTGTGTGATGCTAAAAAGATAATGAGGGCACCAAACTCCTGGGAGGGTCTATAGCTCTGAAGACCATGTTGAAGAACATACCTAGAAGACATGTTTTCCTTTTATAAAAAGGTAGCCTCATTATTATTGGGGATTTCATTCCGTCATCACAACTGCAGATAAGAAAATCACAGTCCATGCAAAAGCCTGTCCATTGCTTTGTACATGCACAATAACAACAACAATAAAAGGCCCAAACTGCAAAAACATAAAAACTTCCATATGTATGCAAAATACTTGTATTGTTTGACAATTATAGAAACATATCTGAATAAGCCACAGAACCATTGTGGAGCGTTTATAGCCATTATTATCAATTTCTTAAATCTATATCCCATCTTTTCTCCAGAAGACTCAAGGTGATTTACATGAGCCTTAATTTTAGCCCCATCAATAGGATGGAGTAAGAGAAATGGACTGCCTAAAATCACCCAGTGAATTTCCATACTGATGCTGCATTAGCACCTGAGTCTCCCAAATCCTGATCTACTAGTACCTTGACTATTAGCTATGGTAGATCTCAATTTGGTCCTTAAAGACACACCAAGATTTTAAACAACTTAGAAACAGACTGACAACCAACAAACCAATTTATTTTAAAGGATGCTTCATTAGAATGAATGAATGAATGAATTTATACAAAAGAAAGCTGAAAAAATCTTCACTAACTTTTTCTTTGGGGGGGGAGAGTATTTTTTCCCCCAGAACCCAGGAAGTCCAGGATTATATCACCAAAATCTGATAGCAAATTATGTTGTGATTAGTGAAAAAACACTACAAAAGCAACCTAAAACCTAAGAACAACTTCTGAGTTAAGCAGTCAATTTGAAAGAGCCTATGTAAAAATCATGGTCTTCTTGGTAAAACAATTATGTCACTGATTAGGTTTTACCTACTGGGGGTGTGGGGGGGAATTGAAAATGCTACCTGGTCTGACAGTGAAACATACACGAGAAAACAACCTTACTCTAAGAGCAGCAAGAATCCAAGTGGCCTATTTCTGTCCTACAGATTTCACTGTACAAGTACAAAGAGAAATAATAAAATACATTTAGCAAGGACTCATTAATGGATAAAATTAATGCTAGAAGCTGAAGTCTTCCAGCCAGTAAGAAGATAATTGTATTTTCCCTTCATGCTTTTTGACTGATGAGACATTTAAATAAAAAAAGTAAATACAAGCTGGAGCCCCCATTATGTTACTTACATGTGAAAAAGCATGACTGCCATCATCCAGAATGAAAACAGCACCAATGTTTTTGAAAAACATCTCTACTTTTGAGTCTGCTACTACCACACCAATCCGATCATTGGAAAGTTGGCTAAGCTGGATGCCAGGCTGAAGGAAAACTGGGCGCAAAGAAAGGCGAATTGCCTTGGAAGCAGGATTATTTGAAAGAATGCAGGCTTTCACCTGGAAAGAGGAAAAGCGGAAGAAAGTATTTTAATTCTATTTACTAGAGAAAATATGTTTGTGGAGGAAGACAGAAAAACATTTTTATAAGTATTTACAAAGTGCCAGAATATTAAAAGTCTTGATCCTTATGATTTCATGGGTACATCTATACAGTTTTTTACAAGTGACACAGAAGTATTAATTATTTCTAAGATGTTTATCAACTTCTCAGGCTAGCTTGGTAGTAGTCTACCATCCAGGTATTAACCAACCCTATGACCACTGAGTTTCTATGCCTATATAAGGATGGATAAGTGCTGCCACCTTCTAAGAGCATTAAAGAATATCACTTTTACTTTTTTAAAAAATTCTAGAATCCAGGAATACGAAGAATTAGTAATTTAGAAATGCAATAATTCATTTATATTTTCATCATAGTTTAAACATAACTGCTTACCAACCTACCATTTGATTTGGTGAGAAAAGTCCTGTTTTTAGAGAATTTGTGTGCATGAAATCCACAATTCCAGTAAAGGAAGAGAGAAAACTTAAAGAAATTCCAGAAGAAGTCACCTGGAAAAATATAAAAGGAACAAAAGTGCTTCTTATGGATGGATTTCCTTAAAAGATCTGGAGGAAAAGTGAAGACTTAACAAAACAAGTATTTATTTTGACATTTTAGAAATTTTATATACCGGTATTTGGTTGTATTAATCATTTTCTACTTAAGTTTCAATTGTCATTTTGCATGCACGACTGAATATGTGAAATTATATAAAAGTCCAACCAGAAGATGAAAGCTAGTAATACAGATGTATGTTTGCCAACAAAAATATTTTATTTTGTAATTATCCTTATATTATAATGGGTTTTAAATGGGAAAAGGAGCAACTGGTGTACTAGATAATACAATGAAGAGACCTTCTTGGCCATTGCTGCCATCTGCTTTTGGAGCAAGAGCTGTGAGTGCAGGACAAACTCCAAACTGTGTGCTAGTTCCTTCTAGAACTAAAATTGAAAAATCCCAAGAGAGAAATGGTCCATGATCTCCCAGCCATTCAGATTAGCTAGGATTGCTCCTAAGTTTGCTCCTCCTCATCTAGATCCCAACATCCTCACACTATTACAACACAATCTTGACAGGATCACTTAGTAGGCCTGGGTCAAGATATTTAATTGTATCATCAACAGATCCTTGAAGCAAGCCTGACCTCATGATGAGGGATGAGCTTGCCCAGCAGTTTTAAGTAGATATTAAATAGTCTTGTGGGAGTCCACAGCATAGGTGGGTTGGGCTCAATCACTTCTCCTTTACCAACAGTGAGTGAAACTAGGCTTAGGAGGAGAATCAGCATTCTTGCAAGCCTTGATTCTGGGAAACAAATAAGATACATTTGAAAATCCACCCTCACTTTGAAGGAAATGAAATTAACGCAGAATTGTGTGCATAACAATTTTAAGTAGGGGGGCTTATAAAATTCAGAATCTGCCTACAAACTTTCCAACATCATTTATAGTCTAGAACAGAGGTAGTCAACCTTTTTATACCTACCGCCCACTTTTGTATCTCTGTTAGTAGTAAAATTTTCTAACCGCCCACCGGTTCCACAGTAATGGTGATTTATAAAGTAGAGAAGTAACTTTACTTTATAAAATTTATAAAGCAGAGTTACAGCAAGTTAAAGCATATAATAATAATTACTTACCAAATACATTATGTCGGACTTTCGCTTAGTTTGGCAGAATAAATCTTTATAAAACAACTTAACTGTAGTTAAATCTTTCTTTTTATTTATACTTTGCATACATAGAAGCATGAAGTCTGATGAAATTACCTTTAATTAATTAAATTATTAATGAGATCCCTGAGGCTGATACTGCGAAACTAAATACTGGCTATCTGGCTCAATTTTTGTAAGGAACAAACGAAGGTCTCCTCTTTCGGAAATATTCAGGCGGTTTCTTTCTTTGGTCATAATATGATTAACAGCACTAAAGTCTGATTCCACAAGATATGAGGTAGGGAAGGGTATCAATAAACTGAATATCATTTTCCACATATTTGGATATAAGATAGGCATTTTTTTACTTTGCCATAGGTTTTCATATCCACCACTATCGAATCTATGTTTACTTTCTTCATCATATCTAATTTCTAACAGTTCTTCTTGGCAAGTTGTATGAGCCTCTTCAATATTTGCGGTAAAAGGATTTTTCATCCAGTCATACATCTTCAATTTCAAAATATCTTCAAATCCTTTTTTCATGTCCAATTTAAGTTCGTTGAGGTGGCTACTGAATCTGTCAATATCTTCTGGAGTTACCTCATCTTTTATAGATGATAATTTAGGAAATTCTCTCTTCAATAGATTATAACGAAGTAGTTCAAGTTTGTCAATTAATAATGACACAATACTTTGGCAACCTATAAGAGTTTTATTAGCTCCTTGAAGCTGCAAATTGACATCATTAAATCTCTTGAAAATATCTGCCAAATAAAAGGCATCATTCTTTACTGTTTTTAACTGTTGACACAGATTGGTCTCATTATTACTTTCAAAAAATTGTGTCACACTATCATATGATGCTACAAAACGAGCCAAAGATGTACCCTTTGACAGCCACCAAACTTCTGTGTGCAAAAGTAATGTAATAAAATCTTCATTATTGTCCTGGCAAAGCTGTCGAAATATTCTATTATTTTTTGCATTGGATTTGATCTTGTTTATGGCTCGAATTATTATAGTTAATGATGAATGGAACTTGTACTTAGATGTTTTCCTACAAGATATTGTCTGTGCACCACACAATGAATACATAAAACATTTGGCACTTCTTCCTTCAAATAAGCAACAAATCCACAATAGCGACCTACCATTGATGGTGCTCCATCAGTAGAGCATGCAACAATATTATTCAAAAGAATATTATTTTTTGTAAAGTATGATTTCACAGTATTAAATATAGATAATCCTCTTGTATCTGTAATGAGATTTATTGCGAATAGCATTTCTTCTCATAATGTATTGTTTTCATCAAAATAACGTACATATGCCATCAATAAAGGATTATTATCTGCAATGGTAGACTCGTCCAATTGCATGAAAATGAAGAGTTTTAGAGAATATTTATCAGGTTTTTTTTTTAACATTAACTGCCATTTCTTCAATTTGTCACTTTACTGTGCTGTCGCTTAGGGGCAACATTTTTAAAATTTCAGGTATATCCTGATGCATTACTGTTGAGATAATTTCTTTTATAGAGGGTATTATTATAGTTTCTCCAATATTATAGCTTTTACCACTTTTTGCAATTAATTGTGAAATGTGATAAGCGACAATTAATCCATCTTCGTTCACTGCATGTTGTTTCTTAAATGATGCAACGGTTGTTAAACGATTTTGAAATTTTTTATATATTTCCTGAAAATATTCAATGGGCTTGTCCTTATCATTTGGATGCTTTGTAGAAAGATGTTCTCGCAATTGACTTGGCTTCATTGCCTCATTGGATAATGTTTTATGACACAATAAACACATTGGATGTTGTTTATTTACAACAGATTCTACGAAACCCATCTTCAGATTCTCTGGCAAATAGCTACAAGCGCATTTCTTTTTTTGAGACATGGACTCACAATATTTTGTTTGAAGCTACAGGCACGTGCTCACTCTCACAAATCTAACTGCGTACTGACCAGTGCAACCGCAAACAAAAGAGCCTGCGCCGTGTATCATCGTCTGTACATGCCTCTCGCGCATCGTGGATTGGGTTGGGGGGCGCCGGCTACCAGCTCTGCTTGTCTGTTACAGCTGGGTGGTGTGGGGGGAGATGTGCAAGCTATTCTGAGACGAGGCTCTTTTGTTTGCGGTCGCACTATAGCACCATTTAGTTTCACTTAAGTAACGTGAACTAAACTTATGCGCGGGCGATACAAATAGTATATTTTCAGAAATTTAAATTGTCATGGGGAATTTTATGAAAACCTAATGAAAATGTTTTTAAATAATGCTATGAAAATTTTTTAAAAAGTCAATTAAATTTAAAAAAAGGAAAGTGCTTCAGTATCGGACAAAACCCCTATCGCCCACCATGAAAGCTGGAAAGCCCACTAGTGGGCGGTAGGGACCAGGTTGACTACCACTGGTCTGGAAGAATAAAAAATTGCAATCAAGCAGATAACTTCCTACTATGTAGACTCTTGGATTAATCGATCAAAAATCAGTTCTTAACTTCACTATGGATGAACTATATGCCCACTACAAATACAATTTTCTTTTTTGTATGTATGCTTACAAACAATAGAGGATTCATTTTACCTCCTGAACCTGGGCTTTCACCACTAGCCCAGGTAGCAAGTTGGCGAGTGACCAGTTTTGTTTTTCTGTGGCAACGGCTGAAGCAACCTCAGACTGATTGATGGATATGCGGATTATTCTTCCACCATTCTTCACTTCTTCAATAAGGCAGTTCAGATATTGCCCTATCTTTAGTTCAGTTCCTATAAATCCAGCATACAGAATATAATCTCTCATCAGTAATTATTTGCTATAACTTTTCTGTTATCATATTTTTCAGCTATTTCATTAATTCACCAATTTCATGAGTGATAAATACTTTAAATAAGCAAAAAACAAACAAGACTCCCATTAAAAAAATCTAGAGAAGTTGGTCAAATATGGAAAATAGCTACTGTACATTGATTCAAATACACACATAAACAGAAACGCAGAACTTTCTCTCCCCCCAAAGTTTTACCTTTGTTGAGTGATTGCAGATAGCCCTGGGCTTTCTGCCGAGGAAGAAATGCTTTTGTTCCAGGAATACCTATATCAATAATGTAACCATGGTCTTCTATACTAGTTACACATCCAGAGAGTAGCTGTTCAAATAAGAAATATTGAATTAAATATATATAAAGAGATATATAGAGTTATTCATATTGTTCTTTTGTCCCCTACCTTTTCTCATTTACTAAGGAAAAAAGCCATTGACTTTCAGAAGACCTTCATTGCTAATTGCCCAAATCTTTTTGGAGTTTAAAAAATGTTGTTAAATTGAACAACAAAGTGATTGCCTTTGGAATCCTGCTAGCTAACATAACAGGTGACACAATGAGCACATCTAGCCATAAATACCTATGTGTGTGTATGTGTATCTACATAACACACACGCACACACATACACACTCATCATGTTCATCTTCAGCGCTAGCTTTTTTTTATAATTTATAAATTTATAATTTATAATTTAACTTGTATTTTTCTCAGAAGCCAGACAGATTTTCCACACAATAATGAATGAAGCTACAGGTACTCCTCAGCTTACAACCAGTTGTTTAAGAACTGATCACAATGGCCTTGGAATGGATGCTTTATGACTTGTAAAGCACTTCTGGCTATGATAAAACCTCATCCTCCCCCCCTCCTCCCGGTGGCATAATTGCATTTGGGGCACTTGACAACCTTTGCGCTTAGGACTAGTGCTCTGCAATCACGTAATCACCATTTGCAGTCTTCTCTGCTGATTTTTTCCAGAAAGTCAATTGGGAAACTGGCAGGGAAGAGTTGTAAGTGGAGAGGACATTTGATTTGAAATTCCCCCAGCAAGATTTTGCCTTCCCTCCATGCAGGGAGAGGAAGGGAAATTATCCCATTTGCTGGAGGAAGGGACTTCAAATCTGGCAAAAACACTAGCGAATGCCAGCATTTTGCACATCTTCAAACACTGGCATTTGCCAGCATTTCAGCCTCTCCGGAGGGGAAATGCTAGTGAACACCAGCGTTTCCATCCCTTCAGAAGAAAAATGTTAGCAAACACTGAGTCTACATTTGCTAGCATTTTCACCAGATTTGAGGCCTGTTCCTCCAGCATGCTGAGGGGTTTCTCCTCTGTTCACCTCTGCAGTAGCTGAGTAAAGAATTCATGTGACATAACGCTTAAGAAACGCTTTGCTCAACTACCAAGATTCAGGGTCAAGTGGTGATTGTTAAGTGGAGGACTCCCTATACCCACTGCTTTTATTTTCTAAGAATAACTATGGAGAAAATCCAGGAAGCAGAAGCACTCTTACTAATAAAAATTATGCTAGAGGTCAGTGTTTTGTAGCATGTCTACTTATTTTTTTAAAATAACAAACCTAAAAGAAAAAGGTGTAGCCATAAGGTAATGGCGCAACAAATCTCCAAGTAACATAGGATACCAAAGAGAAATATTTAACTTCAGCATCAGAGCAAATATTTCTCTTGAACAACCAAGGAAAAAAAAGCAGCAAAGTAGTTAATGTGCTTGACCAAATTCAGATTTCTTTTCCTATTCCCTCCTTTTGTCCCAAACCAATTAAACTTCTGGCTTAAACTACTAACCTATCAGTTTCTCCTCAAATTTCAAGCTAATCTGCCTCTCTATCAGCTTTCTTTATGATCTCTGCTGGCTGAATATCATTGGAACCACCACATATGGAGAATACCAGATTGGGAAGGAGGATAAAGGCAACAAAACAAGGAAGTAAAACTCCTCCCCAAATGGAAATATCAGAAGAGGGGAGACTTTTTATTTTCATCATAGCTTTTAAATCTGGAATGCAGCATATGGCTCAGCCACTCCCTTTTACAACCTGTCTCCCCCACCCACATCCCACCCCCAGCAATCTGCTTAAGTCCTCCACACGGTGTCCTAAAGTTTTTGCACTGCTATTCCATTAAAAAAAAAAAAGAATGTCAGTGTCATTGCATTCCCAATTAATGAAATAACAGCTTATTAAGGAGAGGGGGAACTACTGCTATTTTCCCCAATTATTTAAATAAAATATAAAATATATGTAATCTTCGCTCGTTTAGCGACCATTCAAAGTTATAACGGCACTGAAAAAAGTAATTTATGACCATTTTTTTACGTATGACCATTGCGGCCTCCTCATGGTCATGTGATCAAAATTCAGAGGCTTGGCAACTGACTCATATTTATGAGGGGCGCAGAATCTCAGGATCATGTGAGACCTTCTGACCAGCAAAGTCAATGAGGAAACCAGATTCACTTAACAACCGTGTTACTACTAATTTAACATCGGCAGTGATTCATTTAACAACTATGGCAAGAAATGTCATAAAATTAACTTAATAAATGTCTCACTTAGCAACAGAAATTTTGTGCTCAGTTGTGGTTGTAAGTTGAGGACTAGCTGTATTCAAGACAATTCCATTTTATAACAGCAGCTTTTAAGAATCTATTGTATGTGAGGTTCAGGCCTTTCCCATGAAACTTATTTCTTAGATCTTATGTCGGACACCTATTCATTACTATATGTGTTTGTATATCCCAACATTTTAAACCAATATGTAATGTCTTTAATGCTGTTTCACTGAATTTTCCTATAAAACTCTATTAGTAAAAATGTAATTTTGAAATTTGACTTTTTTTTACCCACCTCTGTTGTCATTAATTGCACTGCTTTCATTTGTAGTCACTCCTTTGCTTACAGTTTTAAAAAAAATGTCTTTTTTTTCTAATTGTCTCAAACAATTTGGAATAGTTCATTTAATAAATATAAAAAATAAAATGAGGGAAAACCTTGAGTTACTTACCATGCCTGCTTTCACAACTGTAGGATTCAAGCCTTTGTTGACATCGCTTGGATTAATGGTTAAGTGTATCTTCTGATGTCCCACAGCATTCTTCTCTGTGCCTACCACAGCACATCTTACCAACATTCCTGGAGGGAACAAGTCTGAGAGAGAATTCAGTTCCTGCAAAAAAAATTCAATATAAAAAATAAGGAAAGATTAGTGGCAACCTATTTTCTAGGTTTCACAGCAAGCAACATATTAACAGTCTCCCCAGAGTATATTCAGTAAATTGAATATATTTTGACATTGCTATCAAACTGTGTTACAGACTGGATTCACAGCAAAATATATCACAATTAAGAATAAAATCAAGAATGGTACAGATATGCTAATTCCAATGGCTGTCCTCAATTCTTTTGTCAAACAAACACTAATATCTATGTATTCAAGACCTGGACTTAGCAGATCCAAATGTGGTTTGATTAAGAGCAAAACAAACCACAAGGCAAATATGAATGCCTCCTTTGTTGATCTTCATGGATTTCATCTACCAATTCCACATGATGTCTTACCTCCACAGGCTCATCAGTGGCCACCTGCTTATTTAGCAATTCATTATAGGCATCACATATGCAAGTTATTTTCACAAGTCCAGTAAGACCATTTGGCAAGCTGATCACCAGATCAAACTGATTACTCTTTTTCACACATCCTAACAGCAGTGTTCCCTCTGTAAGAGACTGTTGAAGACAAACAAACACTAATAAGCAACAATCACAGATATACTTTTACATAGGTTTTGCACACTAAGCTTCTGTTAGTACAGATAACATATGAATTTAAGGAGATGCAACAGAGCACCCAGAAAAATCCAGTTAAGTGGAAAGGAAACCATATCACCATTTCAAGATCAAAGATCTGTAACTTGTTTTATACTGAGGGCTTATACTGAGCTTCAGAATATACATCTAGATCAGGGGTGTCAAACTGCTGGCCCATGGGCCGGACGCATCACGAAGAAACCGTGCCCACCCCATTGCCAGCAATGGGGAAAAAGCTCAGATACATCGTACAACCTCACGTGACATCGCAAATTTGACATGTCTGATCTAGATAATCAAACTATGGCTGGATTCATCTGTCTTCTACCAACATGTGGTTTATTTGTGTCCTTTGTGCAAACCTAACTAACTGAGGTTCATTCAATATTATGCTATATAAATAGGACTTATGAGTTATTTTATCATGGTGACATATTATCTAATAAAATAAATTGGGATAGTCAGGCAGAATAGCATATCGTAGCATGACAGCTAAATTACAGTGCAAAATACCAACCAACCTCTGCTGACAAAAGTTCAAAATCTTTAGCACTGGTTTTCGTAATAGCTTTCTTCTCAGACTTAAGTTTTTTTGGTTCCTTTTGATCTTCATATTTTTTCTTTCTTTTCCGAGTTACTTCTTCATGTTGAGTCTAAAATAGATTACATAAAAATACAAGTTGCTTCCCCAATTCTAGATGTTAGTAATAGGGAGAGGAAAGCAATACATCACTGCAACTTTCAGGAAATGAAATAGAAAAAAGTTAAAAGAGTATGGCTCGTTTGTACATATTTCAGTACAATACTATCAAAATATATCCCTGGAGACCTGGGCTTGAATGCTCTATTATCTTCTATATTGTAGGAGCAGAGCTAAGTCAATATATAGTAACCAAAAATTACATAAAGTAAGCTGCACCTCATGAAATCTTATCCATCATAATAAAATATGTAAGTCTAAAGATGCTGCCAACTCATTCTGATTTTTATCTCCTGTATACAGAAAAGTAGGAAACATTCATTTCCATGTTTAATTAATCATAATTTGATATAAAATGAGAAACTATGGTTAATTAAACTTGGATTTTCTAGCTAACTTAAACTATTGTGAATGAATGAATGAATAAATGAATGAATGATATTTAAAGATTGTTGAACTCCAAAATACCCTGGGTGGCTTACAAAATTAAAAACAGTAAAATATTCGAACAGTAAAAACACAAATTATGTGCATCTGGGAAAAACATACCCACAGTTAATTAGAATTTATTTATTTATTAAATTTATATGCCGCCCATCTCAGTATCCGAAGTAATTCTGGACCAACCAGAAAATTCTACAGGGATGTGGCACCCAAGGGATGGGGAACAGTCAGACTTCCAAAGATTTTTTTTACATCATTGGGTGGGAGCCACATAAGTCTCTGGCTGGTTTTTTTCAGCAAGCGGGTGCTGTAACAGAGAATGTATGTTTTCTGGGTTACAATAAATGACATTGTTTAATTGAAGATCTGGAACATACATACTCTCTGTCCCTGAATTATTCAATGCACCCCAAACTAGAAATGATCTTGGTTCATTTCAATAAGGCATATATTAAATCAACCATTTTTACCAGATCTATACACAACAGCTAACTTAGCTAGGAAGTATATGCTGCCTCCTCTTATATGAAACAGAAGAGGTGAGGTGAATGACTCAATGTAAGACTGGAACAAGCTATATTTTGGGCCAATTTGGGTTATAATTTTCCCATAAACATGCTCAAACTGTAATAAATGAAGCACAGTGTGCAATTTATACAGTGCAAACATAAAAGCTTGTACTACAGCATCTTAGTACAGGAATCATCCAGGAGAGAATACAAATGATATATGGCCAAAAAACAAGGCAATCTCCTTTGTATAAAAGTTATTTTTTATATAAAACGTTATATCTCATCCGTCTAGAACAGGGGTAGGCAACCTTGGCTTTTTTATGACTCGTGGACTTCAACTCCCAGAATTCCTGAGCCAGCATAGTTGAAGTCCACGAGTCATAAAGGAGCCAAGGTTCCTACCCCTGGTCTAGAACACACAAACCACTTAAGATGACTAAAAACAGTTACACCATTACTAAATTAAGATCAAATACAAAAGAAACAAAAATGCAAAGTTAAATAAAAACAGACTAATGTTTTAAAATTGTCTTGGGGGTCAGAGTATCTGTTGGACCTATTAATCAGTTTGGTAAATTTTAATTTCTGCCATAGTCTTCAATGATACACTTATATTTTAAATAGTTCAAGAACTACCCTTTTAAAATGGCTTGTTATTAATTTGAAAAAAATCAACTTTGAATAAATATAATGAAGTATTGCCACCATTTGTCTCGGTTTTTTTATCGTGTGTACTATAATCAGGATTAAACTTTATCATAAATTCAGTATTTAAATATAAAGAATCATTTATCCAAGCCCGTTTCCTTGTTCAGCTTTAATTTATCTGACATCTTGGGAGAACTTGCTCATAATCTCTCATCTTTATGAGGAAGTGGAGTGGAGGCTGCATAGATCCACCTTTTCTGCAGGTACTTTTTGGAATCCTGTTCTCTCAGAAATCTGATCTGCCTGCTTTCTATCAGCTTCCACAAACTATTACAAACTCTAGTTACTTCAGAGAGCCTTTGGGAAGATGAATTAATGGAAGACGGCATCAGCTCAACTGATTATAGTGTGATTATTTGCTTTTATAGTTTCAATGTTTTATTGTATTTCTTGATGTATATGAAGCATCAAGAGACTCTATAATAGCACCAGAGTACAAAATAAAGAAATAAAATCTGAAAACTACTGAAGCTTCATACCAAAATTTAAGCTCAGTGGAAATAAAATATTCATATATATTTCTCTCCCACCTTCATTTTTAAAGTATTCCCATATTATCACTTTGGAATTTGAAAAACTGCTAATACTTTTAAGATTCAAAAAAATATTGATAGATTTGAGCATTGGAGCCTATCCAACAAGATACAGCTTAGCGAAAAGCAAGGTCCTGCACTAAGGCAGGAAAAACCAGATACACAGGTACAGGAGAGGGGCCTAGATGTCCTGATGGACCACAGTTTAAATATCAACTAGCAGTGTGCTGCAGCTGCCAAAAAAGCCAATAAAGTTCTAGGTTGCATCAACAGAGGGACAGCATCAAGAAATGATAGTCTCGATCTATATTGTATTAGTGAGGCCACATTTAGAATACAACATCCAGTTCTAATTACCAAGATTAAAAGAAAGATGCCCTATAGGCCCTAGAAAGAGTGCAGAGAAGAGCAACAAAATGATAAGGGATATGATGAATGTTAAGGGAACAATGTATGTTCTAGGCCACGGGTGTCAAACTCACTGCATCATGTGACGTGTCGTGACTTTTTTTGCATTGCTGGAGCTGAGGTGGGCACAGTCTCCATTTGATGCAACTGGCCCACAGGCCGGCGGTTTGACACCCATGTTCTAGCCTAGGAGGCTTAGGGGAGATATGAAAGCCATCTTCCAATACTTGAAGGGCTGTCATAGGGAAGAGAGCATCAATTTACTCTTCATGGCACCCGAGGGTAGGACAAGAAATAATGGTTGGAAGCTCGTTAGAGGGTGATTCAACCTTGAAATAAAGAAAAATTTCCTGACAGTGGCAACAACTAATCAATGCAAAAGCTTGCCTCCCAAATCTGTGGGTGCTCCATCACTGAAGGTTTTCAAGAAAAGACTGGACAACCATTTGTCTGGGATGATATAAGGACTCCTGCCTTGGGCAGGGGGATGGACTAGACCTACAACATCCCTTCCAGTCCCATGACTCTAAGAAAGCCAGGGAATAAGGCAATTGGTATCAGTCACAAAACTAGTTAGAGGAATCAATGGTCTGAGGCAATAAAAGTTTAGATGTTCATAATTTGCATACCTTGAATAAATTATCTTTTTCAACTGTTGGTTGTCTGACTGCTTTTTCTTCCTGTCCTTTCTTCTGTATACCACCTCTTGGAAAATTCTCCTCTATAGATGACATGGTTGTCTTTCTATATGAAAGGAAACTAAACTATTAGAATTTATAAATCATTCATCAGGACAAAATTATACAACATAAGCATTCTTTCATTTTAGGAATGAGATGACAGATATTAAATCATAAGAATATAAAATATTTGACTCATTTTTTTAAAAAAAATATTAGCTCTTTAGCCATTCTAATAGTGCCAAAAATTGGAACCATCCAAATATATATATGACCCCATGTCATCCTCCACCTCTGGGTAAGTAAGCCGATAGTGATGGGAAGTTCAAAACAACCAAAAGACATGAGATAGGGGAAGGTCAATGCATTCTGGAACTCTGATAATCAAGATTCATTCTTTATCAATAACTAAGTCCTAGGCCGGGGAGATCATAGACATTTTAATTGACTACATCATCATACAAATATTATAAACAGAGCTGTTATAACAGTTGACTATTTTCAGTCCTTTTTTTCATTGAGCTGTAGTTTCACAATGGCTAGTTGTTAAGATTGACAGATGATTTTTCTATGACTTATTAAACTAAAGCTTTTGAAATTGGGATGGAAAGAGTTTCAACTGCGTAACTATTTGTAGTCAATTACTGAATTCATATTGCAAAAATAGTTAAAATGAGCTTTGCTTAGGAAAAATATCCTGGAAATTCTGAAGAGAATATAGATCCTGAAATTCCTTGTATAGCATCACAGTGTCCCTATTACTATTATCTATAGAAATAATCTTTATAGTCCAATAAAAATAAATATGAATTTGTAACAGAGAAGGAAAGTAACAGTTATGTCTTTGCTATGTGTCTGCTTCAAAGGAATTATTTTAACCTCAGCTTGCCTTTCAAACATTTAATTAGCTATTTTTATATCTCACTATCAGCATAAGACAGCAATACAAACTGTTATTCTTAAATTAATAACAATCACTTTGGTTTGTTAATATATTTCTGAATATTAATTAACATTGTAATTTTTTGGTACAGATCTTTTTCAATCCAAAGCAACCCCCACTAAGCATTGTCTCCATGATTTTAAAAAATGTTAAAAATGAGTAAAAAAACCTGGGATGCTGTTTTCAGCATATTACAGAAAACTTTGAGCAAACACAATATCTGAAAAACTTTGCATTCTGCAAAATGCTTTTATGCTTTCTTATAAAAAGGTATGATTAGTTCACTGTTTGGAATGGTCTTTGAAGTACACGTTGAGTCTTATTCATATATTACCTGCTAGCTATAAGCTAATACAATCTATTAGCTACATATATTGTCCATTAGCTATTATCATCACAGAAGCAGAACCCCAAATAAAGTGAACAAATTAATAGGCAGAATACAATTCAACCTTATAAAATCACTCTTTTGCACAGTGTAGCAGGATTGTAAGAGCCCCACTTTTTCTAAGGTACAGACTGTGGCTCCTACTCATCCCTTTATTAATATTATAGATTCCTATAAAGTTAGAAAGCATCTTTGCTCAACTAAAACTCCAAATAATGTAGCCGCATAATAAGCTGAAACCCATATACAAGAAAAATACTTATAAACTGATTTCTACCCATTTCACAATTGAAAAGGGCTGGAATTGTAAAAGGTCTGCAAGCATTTGAAACCAGTACTGCAGCCATGGTGAAGATGAAGGCAGTTTCTTTTGTGCCTAAGATTTTTTGATGCAGTTACCAAAATAAAGGAGCGATATTGGAAGACAAACAGGAGCCACAATGAATGGCTGCAGTATACAGGTAGTCCTCGACTTCTGACCACAATTGAGCCCCAAATTTATTTTGTTAAGGGAGACATGTGTTCAGTGAGTTTTGCTCCACTGTATGATCTTTCTTGGCACAGTTGTTGTGAATCATTGCAGTGGTTAAGTTAATAACATGGTTGTTAAGTGACTCTGGCTTCCCCCTTTGCTTGTCAGGTTTCAAAAGGTAATCATGTGACTCTGGGACACTGCAACCCTCATAAGTGTCAGTTGCCAAACGGCTGAATCAGGTGACTATGGGGTTGCTGCAACGGACATAAATGAGAAATGATCCTAAGTCATTGTTTTCAGTGCCACTGTAACTTTGAACGGTCACTAAATGAACTGTTGTAAGTCGAGGACTACTTGTACCAATAAAGCTATCTTCACAGTAAGCAGAACTAAAATGGAAAATTTATCTAAAATTATTAGAGAATTTTTCTTTCTTCACAAAATTTTATAAAATTATATTTTTCCAATGATGCATATAAGGCACTCTGTGGATATTTTAAAAAAAAAAGCTGGGAAACGATTATTTCAGCGGAGACTATAAATCCACTCCGCAACTCTTGGGGTCTACACAAGTTCAACACGTGGAACTCATGTTGCTTTTTTCCTCCATTCCCAGTTCGGTAAGCCTTCCCTCTTTACGTCCTGCTCCATTCCTTCTCCCCACATCTCCCTCGCCTTTTTCCAAAAAGCTGTCTTACATTTCTCATACTTACTTTCACGTGACAATCGCACGCTTGAAGAAAAGACACCATTTGTACCTTGACCCGGAATGGAAAACGATGCCGAGGAAAGGTAAAAGGAAGTGAAGCCGATTATCAAGTGACCAATCAGCAACGGCACTGATTTCCGTCACAGAAGGTAGAAACTAGTAATTTGACGAGCATATTCATCGGCCAATAAAAACAACCGGTTTTAGCCACAGTTCCGATTTGGATAAATAAACTCCCTCCTCAGTGCATCAAAGATTGGTTAAGGAACGTTGGTCAATTGAATGACTCCATTTTGTACATGAAGGGCATTGAGTCGTTACTACCTGGAGGAGGCAGCGGATAGAAAACGCGGTGGGTGCCGCCTTTTCTTGTTATTGGTATTTGTTTTTGTAAAAGGGAATAATATTTCTCAGCATGCCTTGAAGTAAATTAAATTTTATCACATATAAATAACTAGGCTAAGAATACCAATTTTGTTCTGCAATTATTTGAAAGATTATGCATGCTTTTACAAACGTAGCTATTTTTATAGCATCCTTCTCAACCAGAGTCTACCATTTGTTTTGAATCACAGCTTTTTAATTGCAGTATCAGGCAACGTGACAGTCCCAACACTTTTGAAAAGCGAAAACTGATCAAATAGGATCATTTGCTGCCTGATAAATGGGAATATGTACTGGTGCATGTAACCGGCATCCTGTAATTGTATAATAATTTTTTGTTCAAGGATGGTTAAAATATTGAGTTTATGTTTGAGCAGTGCTGCCTGTCTTGGATCTATAGGTGAACCATCTTCATATTTCAGATTTTCTGTTCTTAAGTGACTATAAATTCAGGTGGGAAAGGGATCTCGTGTGCTTGTCTAGTTAGAAAAGTAAAATACTTGGTAAGTGGTTTTCATATTTAACAGACCACTTAGCTTTAATTGTTGTATTGGATTGATTGATTTATACTCCCCAGGCCTGTATTTCGTTTCAAACCCTAAAGGGATGGAATATACTTTTCTATTCACTGTAATCAGGTACAGATGTATTGAATGCTATGACATTTTTGTCCCTTATCTGGGGAGATGAATTGTCATACACTTTAAATTTCATAATTGTGTACAATGTTTATTGATCCCTAAAAGGTTAATGTCCCAATAGGATGTTACTTTTGCTTTTTATGTTACTGGCTGAAAAAAATGGTGCTCTAAGAATACTTACAACATTCTCCTATGCCAGAACAACACAATCTTACATCCCAGCCCTTGTTACCTATTGTGAATTGTATGTAGCTCCCTCTCCTAGTTGCATGCCATTTTTGGTTTTTACTGTCCGGAAGTGTGATAAGTCTAGGAGAAGATGAAGCTAAACAATAGTATCTTGATTGTCATAGGTTGCTTTTGAAGGTACTGGGGAACAGATTGGTCCATTGTGGAAAAAAACACCAAAGGAGAGAGGTTAAGGTCTTGATTTGTACACTGTCTTGTCTAGCACTAACAACTTGATAAAAGCTTCCAGTGGGAGAACAAACCATTCTCTGGTAGAGAGAAAGTAGCTGAACTTCAACTGTAAGGGTCCTGGAGGAAACATTATCTGGACACATTGCAGTCATATTCAGCTTAGAGAGGAGGTTCATTGAGTTTATGTATAAGTTCTGGTCCTTCTGGCCTTGCTTGATCTCACAGTTGCTTTCAATACCATCAATCATTGTATTCTTTTAAGTTATCTTCAAGGGTTGGAGGAGGGGGGAGTGATCAAATCTAAAGCCCTAATTGGAGATAGGGGTTATGCTGTAGGGCTCTATTCTCTCCTCAGTCCTATTCAACATTAGGTGAAACAGCTGGTTGAGATATTTCATCAGGTCATTGAGATGTAATTCTCAACCTATGATCAAATAAATGATGTCAAGTTGCTAGGAGACTCTCCAAGACTGGATTGGGAGAAACAGATTGAGACTCAATGCCAGCAAGACAAAATGGCATTGGGTTCTAAGATCTGTCAATTTCAGTGAGATTCCATTGTTAAATCTGAGCAGGTGGAACTGGTTTACAATTCAGACTTCCCCTTGAACTCATAGCTCCTGCTCAAAGAACAGGTAATATCTATGACCAAGAGGGTATTTGCACAGCTTCATCTTGTATTTCAGTTGCACTTTTTCTTGGAATGAAAGGCATTGCTTTTATTTATGCCTTTATAACCTCTCAACTGGACTTTTGGAATGAGCCCTGTACAGTATGGAATATTGGGACCTGCAATAATTAGTGATTGCCATCTCTAGGCACATATGTAACACTTCTAACAGTCACATTGGTTTCTGAGTGCAATTCAAAGCCACTCTGTCTTGCTGGGAGCGAGTCTTTGTTTGTTTTAGGACCTGTAGCTGTGGGACAGCCTTCTCCCAATAACATCTATCCACGATAGGATTCAATAGGGCAGGTCATTTATGTGTCCCTTAATAACAGATTTGTTACTTTAGGGACTCTTCAGTGTGTTTTCTCAGTGGCTGCCCCACTCATGGGAATAGCATTGTCCCCGTGTGTGATTGGCCCTTTCCCACCTGGCATCTAGAAAACTACGGTAATAAAAACCTGGTGTTTTCATCAAGCCAGAACAGTTGGATTATTCGGTTCATGAGATTGGATCTTTTATAAAGCTGGCTAACTAGAAACCTACTCTATAATATTAAGTTAAAATAGAAAATATAATTAAAACAAACCTTGAAACAATGCATTTTAAAACAATTAAAATATTGAGGTCTGACTTACTAAATATGTTTTTAACTCCTCCTAAATTGTAATAAGGATAGGGATTGTTTCAACTTCAATAGCAGTTTGTTCCTCACTTATGAGCTTCGCCAAAGCAGAATTATTTGCATCAGATCTTCTAGAAGATGCCCCATTGATGGTTTAGGAATGGAAGGCAGATTATATGGGATGGTCCTATAAGTATCTTGGCCCAAGCTATATAAGCCTTTATATACCATTGGGAGTATCACTGGGAGTTGGGGCAGCATATACAGTATATAAACTTTGAATTGGATACCATAACCAGTGAGCTTTTTCATATATGGTAGGGGGTTACGTAGTATCTTCAAGAGTTGATATACATTCCATTGCATTCTATGCATGCTGCAACTTTCAAATTATCTTGAAAGGCTAAGGGGCAGATTGTAGTAATCCAACTTGAGATTTACTGCCGCATCAGAAACTGAAGCTAAGTGTCTCTTTCTGGTATGAAAGCAGTTGGTTGGAGAATGCAACCTGTCCAAAGATTCAGTAATATTTCTACCAGCCTTAGTTGGTCATTTATTTGTATATTTGCTTCAGTCCTGGGTTATATATCCATGGGCTTTCCAGTCAGGCTACTTGAGACAGAACTACAAAAAAGCAAGTAAAGCTACTTTGTAACTGTTGGTGTGTTAATTGTTATTTGTTTACCAGTTACTAATAATTTTGTTACAAATTAAAAGTGCATCAGATAAATATACACAAACAAAATTGTTTTAAATTGAAATTAAGATTAATTTCTGTTGCATCTAGATCAAGCAATAATGGCAGGACATGATTCTGGAACAGAACACCAATTTACAGGATTTAAGAAATACTTCAATAGCTATACAACAATAGGCAGAAGGAATGTGAGTATCTGCCATTATAATTTTACAGTATCCATTTGAAATTTTGGTTGATCTGACCTGTATGTATTCTGTTTTTAGTATGTGCTACTTACATATGGAGGCATTCTAATGCTTATCATTGGATTTAAAATGAGGAAACCTAAGGAAATCGCACACAAATAAGTAAGTGTCATACTATTTGGTGAATAAACAATAACCTGAGTCTAGTAACACTGGACCTAAAATATCTCTAATGTAGCTGTTTTCCTATTTTTCTCGTTACATAGATTTTATGGAGCTTGCTTAAGAAAAGGGTTTAATTTGGGGTAATCTTCATTTAGCAACCATAGTTGGAAGTGGCAACTCGGCTGCTAAGTAATGCAGTCACAAAATAGAAACTCATGTGACCACAATTAGCTTACAATATTACTTTAACAAGAGAATTAATGTTTGTATTTACATTTATTGGAGATGAAGGAATTTCAAGAGAGTAAGCAGGCACACAGTGGGGGATACATATTGAAAGGAACGGGCTGGCACCAGTTGTTTGCCTAGCAAGCTCCTGAGCTGCAAACAAAACCCAAATTGATTAAAGTCTAGTCAGCTACAGGCCGTCACAGAGCTGAACTTGTTAACTTGTGGTTAGCATTTGGTTGGAGAAAAGCATCTCAAAAAGAGATCACTTGTTTAGTCTATCCTCTCTGTGGGGGGGGGGGGGAGGAAAATAGTTCAGGCAGAGGGCAACATTTACTAATCAGCAAACACAGCATGGGCTTGATCACAAAATTTCTTTTTTATCATTGTCATAACTTCAGATGATCGCTGGCTAATGCAGACAGTATGCAAGGTCTACTTGTTTTAGCTGTTTTTAGTGAATGTACTGAAGCTTACCCTATTTTATTTTCAATATAATAATATATGATTCCATAGTTTCAATTCTGTAATTCCTTACTTAATGAAGAACTTTTCTGTCACTTCGATATCTATTAGCCTGTTTTTATATATTGTTTACAGATAGTCCTTTTTTAGCGGTTATAGTTGGGACTGGCAACTTGCTCACTAAGTACTAAGGTCACTAAGCAGAAGATTACATGACTTCAATGGGCTTATGGCTTTCCCATTTGATTAAGAGAAGCTCTACAGTTCCTAAGCAAAACGTCACATGACCACAAGTTACAATTTTATTTCTACATTCTCTGTTAACTCCTTTGTTGCAATGGTAATCACATGACTGCGGGATATTGCAATGGTCATAAATGTGAGGATTGGTCACATAACTTTTTTTATAGTCATATCTTTGAATAGTTGTTAAACAAAGCAGTTGGTAAACAAGGACTACTTATACACTTGTTTCCTCATTTCATAGGGGAGAACTGAGTCTTAAATAAACGTTATGCTAGATCATGTGTTGACTGAAGTTTCTTTCTTTTTTCTTGGACAGATTCTTATTGTTGGACTTCCTTGTTGTATTGCTGTCTATGAGTTGCAGAAGCAGATGCGCAGTTCAGTAAATTATGAAAAATGGCTGTATTTGCCTTTAGTATCAATCAATGTGTAAAAACTGTCCAAATTTCTGGTGTTAATTATTAATTAAAGAAGCCCTCTCAATCTGTATTGCCCATAAATGAGAGTAATTTTAAGCATTGCAGTAAACCATCTGCTCCACAGAATAAAAAAGATGACTGTTATTATCATGAAAGCAACATCACATCTCTGCCTTAACAGTTTTGCGCACTGATTTATTTCACTGAAAAGTATTTTCACTATTCTGCCTTTCTATAAAATATATGGAAAGTAAGCTAAAATAGCACAATCTTAAAAAAAATAGAACAGAATTCTTTAGAACAGTTCATGAATGCCTATTTAAAAAGATTTATCTTAAGGTTTTATTCTGAAGATCTTAGTGTATGGACAAGTATATGATGAGAAAAACAATTTGTTAGATGTAGATCATAGGCCTTTTAGGGTTTAAAATGTTAAAATAGTGATTTTTGGCCTACAAAGTTTTGTGTGCATCTGTACACATACAAACATATGCCCTTAAGCGTTCTCCATCCACCATACCCTGGATGACTTTTCTAGAAGTGAAGGGAGATATCAAAAGCTAAGCAAATGTTAAAATTAAATTCTGTATTTCGTTTCTATACTAATAAAAATGGGATTTGTATTACTGGATTTGTACTCCAATTAACCATGCTATGTAATTTTAAGTGTTAACTTTTAATAGAATACCACACAGATTAGCATTTAAAAAGTGATACCCAAGTCTGTCCTAAATAGAAATAATCAAGTCTGTAAATGCCTATAATAGGCAGCACAATTAACCAATCTTGGCTATCCTAAAAAGCTAAGCAGGTTCAGACTAGGTAAGTACTACTACTGGTATTATATTTTTACCCTATCCTAGTTAACTAGACACAGCAAACATTTTTTAAGAGCATAAAGCTTCCCTAAAACAAAGAGAATATTTGTAGCTCAGGTTTGAATTGCTTGGTACTCTCTTAGCTTGGCGGTTCTTCTTGCAGATGTGAAACACAATTTTTGTTTCAGTCCAGTGCTAAGTGCCAGCATCATACAATCCCAGAAATGTTAGCAATTTTTTACCACAAATTACATTATCTGAGAATTATTTCACTATTCGCTGTATCATAATTTTTTTGAAATTGTAAGTATGTACAAATAGCCCTCAGTTAAGGACCACTCTTCAGTGACCAAAGTTGTGGTAGTGCTGAAAAGTACTTACCGCTTATTCTCAAAGTTCTGGCCACTGTACCACCCCTGTAGTCACATGATCACAATCCAGATATTTGACGAGCTCACACGGTTGCAACATCTTATGGTCATGTGATCATTGGCAAAGTTCCTTGCCAGCTTCCCATAAGCAGAGTCAATGAGGAAGCCAGCAGGGAAGGTTGCAAGTTGCTCTCACCACTTTTTCTCCCAAGCCATCCGCTCCAGAACACAAGATACTAGGGTTTCCATACACTGTAATGCACACTTGCATCACAGCACATCCCCAGCCCGCAACCAGTTGCACCACTTCAGCATCCTGTGCAAATCACAGCACCTCCCTCTCTCATGCCTTAGTACTTTTCCAGCTTGTTTGCAAGCTGCCCAGGACTAGTAGCTGCCAGCCAACTTTCCCATTGATTTTGCTTGTGGGAAGCTGGCAAGAAGTTGCAAGCCGCACTCATAGAATGGTCTCGCTTAATGTGATTTCCATTTAATGGCAATAGGAACTGCCAGGATTGCTCTCGTTAAACGATGCAGCCATGTGACATCACACTTTATGATTGCATTGCTTAGCAATAGAAATTCTGGCCCCAATTATCATTGAGGACTACCTGAAGTCTGATCATTGCATTAAAGTATGCTACAGTAGTATAAGGTTGCTTCTTAAAGAACATGTAAAGATAACTCACTCAAATGGAAGTATTTTTACAGAATTTTTATTATAAAGATATAAAACTGTATAAAATACAAAATCATAATTATTTTTAAAAAATGCATACTGGGTCTATGCTGCTTGATTTCAACAATATATACCTGATTTATTTCAATGAAGGGGTAGATCAAGATTTATTATTATGGAAAAGGTTAAGGCCAGGGTTTTTTATTCATACTTGAATAATCATATTTCTGGGACAATAGTTTTTACTTCAGTAGAACAATATTTAGAATTCTTAGAGAAGCCAGTGTCTCTTAAAGTCTTAAGTAACATTTATGAAGTAAATCTTCTGAAATGCTAGCTATTTTAGTAATTCCTAATACATACATAGTTATATGTGATTTTTAAAGCTCTGGAGACTGAATTTAAATAATAATTCTGGTTTCCTTGCTACATAAATACAGTACGCTGTTCTATACATTCTACTCCCCCAACTTTTTTGAACAAGTTTTACAGAAAAATATTTACACAGTTAAACCTATGCTAATGTTGGTAAAGGTGTCCCAAGGACTATTGAGAAAGGGAAAAAAGGATTAACTGGTACCCAAACTAACTGTCTATTCACAGTATCTTGGCAGTTGGCACAGCTAATTCCTTCCTTATGAGTAGAAAAGACTATGTTCCTGTTTGGGAGGGGGGTAGAAAAAAAGCAGAAATGCCACTATTTTCTTTCTGTCCTGCTTTACTTGGTACCCTTTTACTTAGTAGAATTTCAGTTCATTTATACAATATATTAATGGTAATATTCCGGAATGTGAAGATCTAAAATCTTTACAAGACTTGCATAATCAAGCCATCTACTTTTGTGTTTTATTGAGGACTATAAGCCCCAGCAGCAAGAAGTAAATTTCTTCGAGTAAAGTGGAGGTGTATAACTGGAGTTGATTTGGTCATATATGTGCCCAGCAGCATATCCTGTGAACTTTCAGGAAGGTTTATGTGTCCAGTGGCTGTTGTAAAATCATCTGTCTCCAAGTCCTCAAAAGCTTTCACAGCATCCCAAAGTTTAACCGTGTTGTCCATTGAACCTTGAAAAAAATACATGAAAAATATCAAAAATAGGAATTGCAATTATCCGTTCATGGCATCCATGGATTCTATAAACACTTCACTATAGTCAATTTGTCAAACATAGTTTAGTATTTCTTGGAAAGACAAACATTTATCAAAGTAAATGTAAAAATAAGATTATGTCTTGATTCAGAAAACAAGAGTACTGAATATCCCTGTTAATGCCTGGACCAGAAAAACTATGTTGAAGGTTGAAGCATTTTTCACTTGGCCCTGAAGAATGAACATATCCAAACTTTCAAATATTGTTATGGTGACTTCTGTAGTACACCTGCCATTCCTAATTACTTTTCCAGCCTCATCTGTCTCACACAGAAAGTGTTTATGCCTCAATGAGATTTAACACCTTATTCTCAAAGGGGTTGGAAGGGAGGTTCAATAACGCCAGATATTTGAGGCATCTCTATCCATGCTTGGATGAAGCTATCTAGACGGTTTCACAAAGCTTTCTATGTCATCTTTTGTATCACACTTAGTACTCTGAGTCAAGATTTGTTCTACCTACCAAATATAGTTTGATGTGAATGGAGTTTATGTGCTTTATATTCCTCACTTTTTTATTGTTTGTTGTATTTTATCTGTGATTTCTACAGTCTGGTATTAGACTGTATATTTAACTAAACTAAGAGTGCTTAATATACCAGGAATTTAGAAAGAATTAATATAAGCTGTCATGTTTGGGAGGTAAGTCATCAATTTTTTTAAAATGAAAAATAGTTGGAAGTTATGATAAATGCTCAAGCAAACCTGCTGTTCTATTAATAGTAGAAGTCTGTCTTCATAGTTTTCTAAAAATTTAAAATTCTAAAAAAAATACATGACACTGTCACGTAAAACAATTTTATCTTCCCAGTAATGTTGACAGAAAAATGTCTGAAATGAATTTAAAGGAATATACTACAGATCACAACTTTATTTCAAGAAGACTCTCTGTAATCTGTAAATATGAAAACTGCAAAGACAATCCTAACAAAACTGGTTTCAAAATTGCACAAATGTTCATTTCCAAAGCCTCAAGCTATCTAACAAATTTATTGTCAGGATGTCAAGGGTGGATGGGACCATTTATAATACTAATGCAACTATTTCTGCAATTACTTTTCATCTTTAGAAATTAGATAGTTTGATAGCATTAGTTTTCTAATAAATTGTTTTAATCATACCTGAAGCTAAGATCTCTCCATCTCTACTGAATTTGAGTGCATAAATTGTGTCTGAGTGTCCTTTTAGCTCTCCTACCATTAAACCGTGGCCAATATCCCACAGAAGCACTCTTCCATCAGTTGCTCCACTTGCCAAGAATCGTCCATTAGGAGAAAATGCTAATGAATGAACTGGTCCCTAAGGAGTAAACAAACAAAACAGACTGAAAATAATTTATAAATGTTCACACTTAAACATGCTTAGTGTTTAAATCTACTAATCATTCCCATTCAGTTATATAGTGTTTGTAGATGAAAAATTCCAGTTGTTGGAACAAAATCAGTTGTGACGGATTGTCCATGTGACAACACTTTCCAATCTCTAGCAGAGTCCAGAACTAGTTGGGTCAAGTACACTTAATGTTCTACTTCCTCGTTATCTACTTCAGCCCAAATAATGAATTTAAGTATGACCAGAAAGGATGTTTGATTATAGTTTTTTAATCATAAACAGTAATTACTGATATACAAGCTCTATATGATTTTCTCTCCCACTAGAGAAACTATCTCTTAGGGGCAGAAGGTAGAATTTCCCACATCTCTTGATTTGGCTTCTAGAAAGACAAGTCATAAGCAATGTAAATCTGCATGACATTATAAGTAGCACTTTACCCTTTCCTGAAAACAAAGTGGCAACTGATATATCACTGCTGTTATGGCTCTCTCACCAGCACATAGCTACCATATTTTACATTATTTAAAAGTTTGTAAGTAGTTTTCAAGGCCAGTCTCTAGTACAGATGTATTGTAGTAGTCCATCTTGAAAGTACAAGTAATCCTTGACTTACATTTAGTGACCATTCAAAGTTACAATGGCATTGAAAAATGTGGTTTATGACCATTTTTCAGTTATGACTGTTGGGGCATCCCCATAGTCACGTGATCAAAATTCAGATGCTTGGCATCTGATTCATTTATGACCAATGTAGTATCTTTGAGTCATGATATTATGTTTTGTGACATAAGTCAATGAGGAACCCAGATTCACTTAGCAACCATATTACTAACTTAACTACAATGATTCACTTAACTGTGGCAAGAAAGGACGTAAAATGGGGCAAAATTCACTTTACAAATGTCTCATCTAACAGCAGAAATTTTGCGCTCAATTGTGGCAGTAGGTCGAGGACCATGTGTAATAGTCATGATTTACTTATTGCTAAGGCCTCCCGTTTTAGAATTGGGGCAAGAAATGTTTAACCTTTCACCAGGAACTTCCCTAATAGGTAGAATTCTCATTGTATTTGTTCTCAGACTTGCCAGAAGAAAGTTTTGCTAGCTTGGTACACATACACACAATAGACTATAAAGTGCTTTGGTTTGGGCTTAGCACAATGCACTAATCAAACCAATTTGATTTTTAAAATAAGGGTCAGGTGTAATCCTCAGTAAACCATGGTTGGTAAAATATATGAACCTGTTTTTATTATGACAAAAAATTGTTTGACTAATTTTTAAATGAAAAGTTCTAGCTGAATATATTTGATGAGGGCTACTGGGTAAAGTTAAGGATTCTTATAAATGTAAATTGTGGCTTACTTTTGAAGCCATAATCAAGTTTCTCCTAAAATTTGCATTTAAAAGTTATAGTTTGGATATGAGTTAGTCTGTTAATCTGTCTGTCTGTCTATCTATCTATCTATCTATCTATCTATCTATCTATCTATCTATCTATCTATCTATCTATCTATCTCATTTATTTATCTGATTTTTGAGGCCACCTGAGTCTTAAAAAACCTCCAGATAACTTACAATGTTTAAGAATATACAATTTCAAAGAAATATCCAGAGAAAACCATATAAATAAAAATTGAGAGGAGCTCCATAAAAACAGAATCAGATGTTAAAGAGATTTCCAGAATATGCAGTGAATGGGAAGTATATCTATCTATTTGATTAGCAGTAAAATCAAATTATTTCCATACAGGTTTGATATTCATCTACCTTATGTCCTGTGAAGATTCTTACACAGTTTCCATTAAGTACATCCCAAAGCCTCACAGTTCTGTCTGCTGAGCCTGTGGCAATGTAGTTGGAGTTTGGGTGAAAACGTGTACATATGACATCTGCCAAATGACCAGCAAAGATCCGCAAAGGCTGATAGTGATCTGTAGCCCATAAACTTTAATCCAGTAGAGAGAGCATTTCATAAAAGAAAGAAAAATTGCATTAAAGATTAAATATTGCCTCTTTTGTGTCTCTATATAAATATAAACAGAACTATTTTTAATCAATGGCCATATAATTATGTAGTATAAGATATAAGTTATAGCAGCAACTAATATAAAAGGTTTCCTTAGCTCAAAATAAACAATTCTGAGACTATCTAGACGAGAAACCTGTGCTAATTCTTACCGAGACACTCTGTCATGGCCACAAGATACAAAGTAATATCCATACGGAGAGAACTGTGTGTCCCATACAGGATAATTATGTCCTTTGTATCCCACCAAACAAGAAAAAGTTAGAAGACTCCACAATCTGATAGTGCCATCCTCTGAAGATGACAGCAAATAGTTCCTGACAAAACAAGCAAAAAAGAAAAAAAATCTTAATCCTAAAAGTTTATCACAAGATACATCTAGTCAAAAAATAACTAAGTCAAAAGTTCTCACACACTCAGTGAAGGATCTTACCTATCAGGACTAAAGCTAGCACCATAGACAGGTCCACTATGGCCATATAAAATCTTCAATTCACTTGCTGTTTTTTCATCCATGATTCTTTCTAAAACATCATCAGATTCTTTATCTATGACACTGAGATCTGAAAGAAAAAAAACCCTAAATTTCATATTCAGTATAATCAACTAATAGTACTTGTTTTGGTAAATGTACTTCTTAGTTCCTACCAAAAGACAATAGATTAAAACATGCTACAAATACAACAATTCAATATGTGAAATATTAACTGTTTTAATCTAAAAGTTCCTCAGTTAAACTGAGGATGCATATATAGAATAACTTGGGTGACCTATTTGATAGGCTAGTAGGCCTGTACTTCCAATATTTTCTTTCATTCTATCCTCCCAACCATCTGAATTTTCTATCTCTATATTCTTCCTGATTTTATGTTCTTTCTTTTTGAAAAAATACATTATTAGTGAGGTGCAAATCTCAATGATTCAGGGATTGACTTTTCCTGATAATTTGGGAACATTCTATTATTCCCAAAGACCATGACGAAACAGAGCATAAATTTCAAGATCTGGCTCATGGAAGAAACTCCACTGAAGCAGTTCAATATGTCCCAAAATGATGTTCCAGATTAAACAAGCCTATTTCAAATCCATATCATTGCCAAGTTAGGCTTTTGTTGTTTTTACTGGTTGTCCGTTGCCCAGGATTGTTATTACAGTTATGAGTAGCTATATAAGTCTTTTAAAATAAAATAAATGCATAAATATATTCCAAATCATGCCTGATTCAAACTATTGTAATTGCTTCCAGAAATCAGGAAACTACCCACAGAATATCATAGTTCTGAAGGAAATTTGAAATGGTTGGAAGAATGAAACATTCCCAAAATATTCTGGTACAAAATCAGTCAGTTTTGCACTTTTCCCCTTCCTTGGTCCTCATGTTGACTGACAGGTTCCTGAAGTATTCTTAGCTAGATTTCAGAACTGGTTTGTCATTGCCTCTTTCCTAGTGCTGGGAGAGAGTAAGTGGGTTTCACCCAGCAGGTTTTATGCCTAAGGCAGGACTAGAACCTATGACCTCTTGGTTTCTAACCTGATGTCTTAAGCACTATACCCAACTGGCTGTTTTTGTACATCTATACACAATACGACATGACTGTAATTGAGCTTGCCCATTACAGTTGCAAGTCATGATGGTAATTAAGCAAGGAGCCCATGTGATTGCCTCAGTTAATGACTCCCATCCCTGTTCGCCCAATGTAGTTAAGTAACTGCAAAGGTCATTAAATGGAGCATTGGATGCCTCAAGCGGAGGAAGCCCAGGCCCTTCCTGCAGCATTTCCACAGCTCAAACATAGCCTGCCCCAGGCCTCCTGCACACCTTGGGTCTGCTTGCCCACTCCAGTGGATACTCATAGACTTGGGCCTGTTTTTCCTTCCCACTGAGTCCTTACAGGCTTTGGTCCCACACCCTCTTCCTCACCCCATCACCATTCGGTCACTTACCTTTTCAGTAATGTAGATCTCCTTCTGGAAGAAGCCACTCCACCTTCCTACACAGTCCCAGAAGCAGGTACCATTTGGAGCGGCCACAATTCATTCCCCACATGGCACCTGCTTTCAGAATAGTGCCACATGGCCTGCACTATATAGGAAGGCTGAGGTGTACAGTGGCCTGCTGTCCTTCCCCAATGTGGTCTCCATTTTGGGAGTGGCCCCAATGAAATGGCACCCATTTTCATGCAGGAGGAGCCATTCAGTCTCCACTGTGTAAGACCACACACAGAGCTGTTGCTTCCAGAAGATCAACAGTACTGAAAAAATAAGTGATCAAATGGTGATGGGAGTGGGGAGGAGTGTGTGAGATCCAGGATTGTGGGAAGCAGGCTCAAGGCTGGCAGAAACCCAGCGGGGTGGAGAGGTAGGCTGGATGTGTGTGCTGCAGCTTCCCATCAGTCAGTCATAAGGGCAGGTAGCTTGCCAAATGCCTAAATTTTATTCACATGATCACAGGGGCATTACAGCAGCTGTAACTTTGGGCAGAAGTCCTAATTCCCTTTGTTCAATGCCACTAATTTTGAACAGTCTCTGAACAAATGGTTGCAAGTCAAGGACTACCTGTACAAGTCTGCATCTGTACACAGGATGCATGTTTGAAGTTCCAAAAATTTAATAATTGGTTCACTAAATACGGTACTTTTCAGGTTTTTTGACGTATATATTTATACAAAAATACATTTTGCAAAGGTATTAATCCGAAGATCTCAAATAACATTAAAGTATTGTTAAGTAATTAAAGAAATGTGAATGCTTAAATTGCAAAGAAACTATTTTGGCCATTATTTTAGTATTTGTCTCTTCAGTTTAATATTGCTATTCTAACAGAACAACTTCATGAGAAACCTCTCTCAGAACAATTATTATGAAAATTGAAATGAGAGTTAATTTTTATTACCTGTGGCTAATTTTACACTGCGAAGCTTTTTGGGTGTCACAGACCATACCCTGACGGTGGAATCAGCAAAGCCTCCAACGATCATGCTAGAGTCATCTGTAACATCCACAGCTGTAAGACCCTGTTTGCATAGACCACAATTAAATAGTTTTATTGTAAATAAAAAGTTGAAGCACTATACCAGAGGTGTCAAACTCGCAATGTCACGTGACGTGTTGAGACGTATCACGACTTTTTTTCCATTGCCGGCAATGGGGTGGGCGCGGTTTCAACATGACGCATCCAACCTGCGGGCCGGCAGTTTGACACCCTCGCACTATACCAACAATAAAGCCAACAATAAACTATCGATTGGAGTAACAATCAATCAGTCACTCTCTCTCAGCCCATCCCACCTGATAGAGTTATTGTGGGGAAAATAGGAGGAGGAAGGAATAATAGGCATGTTTGCCCTCTTTGAGTTATTTATAACAATAATAGAGAAAAGACTTACATTAAAAAGTTAAGAAATGAATAAGGCAAAAATTATCAGCTTCATTTTTGTCTAAGTGGCTTCAAAACTTAGTGAGAAACAAAGTTTGACAGTGCAGTATGTAGCCATTTATTACTGGGGGCAAAGCGAAGAAACAGTGCATCCAGATACACACCTATTGCTGAAGCCCTATTTATGTGTTTTCAAAAGTATTGCAGGGGGAGCTTCCCAGGATAAAATACAAATGAGGCACCTGGATCAGAATACAAAAAAGACATGGACTTTTGGCCCATATTATATGATGGAAATGGGAGAAGCTTTTGCTACTTTCTCACTCTGTTAACTGTCCCCAGAAATAATGGAGTGAAGATTATACCAGTAACCTTTATCTTCACATTAGATTTTGAAGCCATTCTGAAGGGTTGGACTAGTCCACAAAGAAAGTTTGAACTTTTTGAAATTTAATATTCTTTATTTAGGAGACTGAAAACAAATAATTGTGTTCCTTCAATAAATTCTGAATCTTTTGATTTCCCTCTGCAATCACTAATCCAAGCCTTCATGCAAGGCTATATTGTGATCTGATCCACTTTCAGTCCAGTACACTAACCTGGTATGCATTAAGAAATGTGTAGAAGCAAATAGATGGCAAACAATCTGGACCAAGCCGAACACGTTTAGTAGCTTCCTTCATATTCATTATTTTATCTAGCTTATCAGAATCCTTTAGCTCAGGAAGAGGAATTCTGCATAAAGAACAGTTTCAAAACACAAATAAACATTTTCAACCTCATTGAGCAGATGCTTATCCTCAAGCAAATTATCAGGACTTTCTCAATGTCCACTTGAAGACTAGTAAACTTTTATCTGCACCCTAGTATAAATTAAATGGGGATTCACATAATTTATAGTTTTTCTCTATTCCCTCCCCACTTGAATATCTCTTTACACCAGAGGTATCAAACTCACAACGTCACATGACGTGTTGCAATGTATCACAACTTTTTTGCCATTGCTGGCAAAGGAGTGGGCGCGATTTTGCTATGATGTATCTGGCCCACAGGCCGGCAGTTTGACACCCCTGCTTTACACAGAAAGCTGGCTATCACGGGGGTGAAAAAGGAGGAACATTTAAGCAAGAAAGAGTTGCCTATTAGTTTGAAATGTCACATTTAAGTAAGAACTGCACCTGAGCAATTTAAATGGAAGTTGTTCTATGTTTCAACATTACCTATTCTGAGGAGGAGCATTTGGATCCTGCTTTTTACTTTTTGATCCCATATTATCTTTTTTTGGCTTTTTTTTCTTTGGCTTGCCCTCTTCATTCTCTCCCTCTTCATCTTCATCATCCAAAGGCAACTCAATTTCTGGTTCTTTTAATAAGCCAAAAAATACCTGTAAGTCAAAAGGATCAGCACACCTATCAGCCAATAGGAAGGCACCACATAAACACAATTTCTAATCACAAATCACAATCCGAAGTTCTTGTTTAAGGATAAACCAAAAACCTAAAACATACCAAAAGTATTTTTAGTGTCTATTTCTTTAAACAGCACCTCTGTCCTGACATACCCCAAAAAGTGGTAAGAACCTCAAACACCTTGTGAATGCTGAAAGGAAATTACACTGATCTAACCATAATCTCTAATCTCTTGCCCTCCAGATATGCTGACATATCAGAATTAGGGGTTGGGCAAGGGTTGTCTAGATAACTGCTAGATTAAGGGGACCTAGTAAAGCATTTTTACACATAGTGCTGTTTTCTGAAGCTTCTGGTCTTATTTCAGTACAAGTAAGGCAACTGGTTGTTATCAGGCCTGGGGTTTCCAGGGAACCAGACGCTTGCTTACCTGCTCAGGTAGCCATCCTTTTTTTCTCTTTGCCTTTGCCTAGGATTTATATAATTGTTTTTATAATATTAATCTTTTAATGTGAATATTTATACAGGTAGTCCTCAACTTACAAGCACAATTGAGCTCAACATTTCTTTTCCAAAGTGAATCTGGCTTCCCCATTGACTCTGCTTGTCACAAAAGGTGATCACATGACTCCGGGACACTGCAACCATCATAAATATGAATCAGTTGCCAAGCGTTTGAATTTTGATCATGTGACCATGGGGATGCTGTAACGGTCGTGTGAAAAACAGTCATTAAGTCACTTTTTTCAGTGCTATTGTAACTTCAGTCACTAAATGAACTGTTATAAGTCAACGACTACTTGTATCATTTTTTTCGTTTGTTTTTACAGTTGTTTTATTCAATTGCTGTATGCTACCCAAAGTCATTTTTTGTGAGATGGGCAGCTACACAAATTTAATTAAATAAATCTCTCCCTGCTCACTTCCTGCTTTATGTATGGTGTGAATAACTTGCAGCACTTTAAGTTCAAAAGCATCTGCTATCAACTGATTCAATATTTCATTAATCTATACCTCCCCTACTACCATGATGGGTCGAGAAATTATTTGTTTTTATCCTGCCTTTATTATTTTTGCAAACAACTAAAGACAGCAAACATACCCAACACAACTTCCTCCTTCCATTTTCCCCACAATAACAATCTAGTGATGTGAGTTGGGGTAAGAGAGTGTGACTGTCTCAGGGTACCCAGCTGGCTTTAAGCTTAACGTTAAGAGATTAAATAGAAAAAGTCTTACTTCCTTGTTCATATAAACCAAAGTTAAACAAGGAAATGAGCTGTTAGGTTGTTTCTTATGGACCAAAACTTGATAGTAACTTAAACGTATTGTTTTGAAGCTGGTTTGTTCTCAATAATTATTTTTCAATTTGAGCAAAACAGTAAATTCTTGTTAATTGGAGCATAATAATATACATTATTTCAAGCAACCCGCTATACCAATTGCGGCCATAAATGTAATTTTCACATTTTTTATCCTTGTACAATACTGTCCACAATTTATCTCATATCATACCTTTGCTTTATTTGCTTCTCGTTTTGCTTCTCCAGCTAAACTTCCCACCATAGCATCAATCTGTTGTTTACTACGAGGCATTCCATCAAAAATATCAATATAAAGATGTTCTTGAACAATGTTCCATATCTGATTGTTCTGTTTCTCCTGAAGATGTCTCTTCAGAAGCTGGTAAGAGTCACGGGAAATACGCAACACAAACTTGCTTGTTCGGAAATCCAGCATAGTCTCATTGCCCCTCATATGCTCTTTTTTGGTTAAACTTGATAATACACGCAAGTCATCTTGGTAATAACATTCTTGATCCCCGTGAAACCTGGGAGGAGATTAGGGATATATTAGAGATAAGTAGGGACTTAATCATCACATTAATTAATTGAGGTAATCGGGAGAGCTTGAAACAGTTGTAAAGTTGTATCATAATTAGTTGTATAAAAACTATGGCATAGAAATATAACTGAGATGTATGGAAAATGGAATGGAAAATAACTGATAGTCCTATTAGCAGCTACTCTTAGCAGCTGTATATGTAACCAAAATGGGTAACAACTGACAATACCAAAGTTCCTATGCAAAGTTCCAATTACATATCCAGACATATGTAATATTTTTCCAACAAAATCATGGGCAATTTTCTTTCCCTTACCCTAGTTCTACTCTTTGAAAAACCAAGGGAGAAATGCTGTCCGTGACCATCCAGAACTTACAGGTGGTCAAGAATGCAGCAGTGTGGGAAATGATAAAGCATCATGTTATATGCACATGACCTTGATGCTTCAAGAACTGCACTGATTACCAGTTGCCTTTTGCAATTCAAGGATCCTGTTTATCACCTTTAAAGCTTTTCATGGTATAGGGCTTGGCTGAAGGACTATCAATCACCTGCCTACCTTGTACAATTAAGGAGGTGGTATTCTTTGTGTCCGGTCAAAAAACATTGTCATCTTACAGGACCCAGAACCGGACCCATTTTGTTGTCTTCTGAAATGTTATTCCCGCCAGAGATTTGTGCAGCTCCCACCCTTAAGATGTCTAGGAAATTACTAAAGACTTAGTTGTTCCTTGGTGAGAGCCCTTTTAGTTATAGTTACTTCAATATTTGGATTTTGTTTTTCTGGCCAGTTATGATATACATATACATATACATACATACATATATATTTCTATGTTGTTCAGAGTTGCTAAGGAACTGGATCACCATAAACTCTGATAAATAATGGATGTATATTCAAACAGAAAACAATAGTTTTAGCATTTCATAGTAAACTCTCCTTTTACAGAGAAGGAATAACATTATTCAAAGGTTCAGGCCAGTAGTAAAAATTTACATAGACAAAATATAATTACCTTAACTAGATTCTAAGCACTTCAGAATTAAATTTCTTTTGACATATACATAGCTACAAGGAAAGCATTATATTTTATGTATACACTGATACATGAAACCATAACTCCCTGAAAAAAAATAATTTATAGATAGTAAGTAATCAATTAACTGGGAATCTCTTTAATTTGCATCAACCCTAACCCTAAAGAAACCATATCCTTTTACTAAACTCAATCAACCACTTTCAAAAGAATGTCTATTAATCTTTCTCTGCCAAAAGGGATAACTGGCAAGGTTTTTATACTTTCAAAATGTTTCAAATGTATTTTCTATTGCTTATTAGTGAATATCATGGATATTAAATCAACAAAATTATTACTTTTCAAAGAACGATTTTGCTTCATTTTCATGTCCATTGTAGACTAGTTCCAAGTACATGTGTACAAACAGAGGATAAAAAAGTTGTGATAATTCAGCTCGATGACAATCCAAAGCACGTTCAATGAAGTGTTTCAATCCACTGTAGTATTCTTCATAAAGTGCTGGGTCTCCCTGTTGATTATAAGCAGATAGCACTGCACTCACATCTGGCTGATCTTCTACAAGAACTCCGGCTACAAAATTAATATAGGAAAATTAATGTCTGCATTCTTTTGCAATTCGTTACTTCAATCATAAACCCTCTGAATTCCTTGAAGCAAATTCTTCCATTTTACTCCAAATCCAGCACATATCAACTATGAAATATGTTAATTAGCTACATTCAACTGATGGCTAGCAAGAATGTTTTGACCCAAATTTATCAACTAAATGTTTTAATTAAGAACAGCTACATTAGCAATTTCCCTATATAGATTTGGTTTCCAAATACATATTTTCTCTTTAAATTCCACCCTTTCAAAGTTATGAATTGTTTAAAAATTGTTTACAAATTCCCCCCAAAATTACAAATTAAGTACAATAAAATCAAATATATAGAATGAAGGGAAACTCTGAGGACAGACTAAAAACTATTTGTAGCATGAGATGATCAAAGAATGTTTCCAAAATATGTAAAAGGTATCAGGTTTTGGCCTCTGTATAGAATAATTTTTTGAAAACTTAATTTTGAAAACTTAATTTTCCCTAACACATTCTGTATGGGAGAGGCAATTTGGCAGCATCGTAGAATGTAGTTAACTCTCCCATTCTCCCTCTAAGACCCCTCCCACTTTTTAAAATTCACATTAAGATATTTTCACACAACAAAAGATAAATCAAAAGAAAAAAAGGAAAAGAAAAATTTATAAATACAAAAAAGGAAAATGAAAAAAAGTTAAGAAAGTTAAGAAATTTTGGATACAAATTCATAAGATTTTAAAGATTAATATGAAGAAACCAGAACTCAGTTTATCTGAGATTTATGGACAATGAATTAGAAAAGACGTATGGTAGACTGATTTTTATATATCGCAACTGCAGCAAAATTATGTACAACAATGGAAGAATAATAAAATTCTCATGTGGAGAAATACATTGTAAAAATGTCAGAATTTGCAGAAATGGTAAAATTGACCTCTCTGGTTGGGGAAAAAACTTTTTTTCTGAAAAATTAGAAACCTTATATGGACTTTTTGCTGAAAAAGAAATGAACCGATGATTCATGAATTTGAAGGCTAAGAAAGATAGGAATTAAATGAGGGGCTGAAGGAACCTGTATAACATTTAAGAGAGTGGAGGGACAATAAAATTGTAATTACCTGTTGAAAAGAAGGTTGGAAATCATTTCTAAGACCACTCCCTTTATACTTCATGTGATTTTGATTCTATGTTTATACAACCAAGAATTGCATTAACTTTTTTTGACTGCTGCTGCACACTGTTGGCTCATATTTAAGTGATCGTCCACTAGGACTCCAAGGTCCCTCTCACAGTTACTGCTTTTGAGCCTAATCTGTACTTGTACTTTTGGTTTTTCCTGCCTAAGTGTAAAATCTCATTTTCCTCATTAAATTTCATGTTGTTTGACAGGCCCCTTTGTTCAAGCCTATCAAGATCTTTTTGGATCCAGAGCTTGTCTTCTGGAGTTTTGGCTATTCCTGCCAACACACTAAATTTACTGGGGTTATATTACTATAACCCCAATAAATTTAGAAGGATAGTGCTGAACTGATGTTCTCCGAAATGAACTACTATAGATTTTATATCAATTTGTCACGAGTGCAAAAGTAATTAGCTGGGTGAATGAACACTAACTATTAATGTTTTATATCTCACCTTTGGCAGGAGGCCCCAAGGGCGCTGCAGGAGGTGTCGAGAGAGCGGCTGGAGAGATCGTAGCTCCAGTCTGGCCAAATGTGATAGAATTGATTAGCACGTCCCCAGCTCCAGGAGCTATGATCCCGACACTGAGATCCTGTCCTTCCCCTCCATGAGCTCCAGGGACGCCGGGCGCTAAGGAATTCGGGTCGCTCGAGAGGTCGTCGATGAGGCCACGGGCTTCCCTTCGGAGGATCTCCTCCGATTCGCGCAGATTGCTGCGCCGCAAGAACTGTAGCACTGCCTGCAGAGTCTGCCGGTCGGTGGGTAGTTGAGAGGCTGCCGGCGTAGGGCTGGAAGTCACCGAGCTCTTCGAGTCAACTCCTCCCGCAAGCGGCTCCCCATCCGCGAGAAGGGTGGCAGCGACCGAGGAGGCAGACGGAGGAGGGGCACTTGTTGCAACTGTTGCTGCCGTCGAGATCGGGGACTGGGAGAGAGGAGCGGGCGGAGCGGGCGGCGCTCCTGCATCAGGATCCGGCTTTACCGGTACTGCCTCCGTCGGCTCCTCCGGCAAAGCAGCCATGTTAGCGCGCCTAACGGCTTCACCTCCCCTTTTGCTTTCCCGCGTTTTTGCGACAGTCCGGGCATACTCGCCCAGCGAGAACTTGAAAGGCTCTAAGGAAGAGGCTTCCCATTGTTTTACGACAGTTCCGCTTTATGGAAATCAAAGGAAAAGAGCTATTTCGCTATTCAAGAGCTTGGATAAAATCGCCCGCAGAAGATTGTGCGTGCGTGATTAGATAATCGCATTTTCTGAAATGCGCATTTTCCTTTTTAAAGTTTTTTTGAAATGAAAAATTGCCTACAGCTTACATACAAGCAACTCCCATTAATTATCATTGCATCTTTACACACTAGAAATGTTGTTAAGTATATCAAATCTTGGGAAAGCTCATTTCTCCATAATAATTAAATAGTAATATTTTAATACTACTGCTAAGCAGAAAAAAGGTAAACTTATATTACGTTGCATAAAATATCATATTTACTTGAATTCTGAAATGATTTATTCCCTTCTCCGTTCATTGAGCACATAGTTTTTATTGTTAACACCTAACAGTAATGGTAAAAACAATGCTTTACCTTTCAGGATTAGATATAAACCTATAACGCATGCAAGTTTGAATACAGCAAATAAGCAGCAATCCCTGATATCCTTAAATATGGGTTCAAAAGACCCTCAAAAGCTCTCACCAATTTATTTGTTTAAACCTATTAAATTCATTTTTAAAAGGAAAATCCATTAAATGAGGAAAAAACTATTAAATGTTACTTTTATTTTACTTTTAAAGTAAATTTTACTTTTTGTTTAAATTTATATTTATACTATAAAGATCCCTGACCTTCAGTAACCTCTACAACTAAATCCCACGTATATATTTGGATGCCCCAAATGTAACTTGGGACTTGAAGAACATTTATTGCAATGGCAAATAATTATTGTGCATGGAAGTCAAGCTCGATTGAAACTATAGTCTAAAGACAGATCAACAGAAGCAGCAAAAATTAGCGTTATTTTAAGAATTGATATTTAATTGGCATTACAATACAACAGAATAGCACAGGTATGGATGTAAATGATCAGATATTTTATTTCATTAATTTTTGTCCCTGCCTCCCTCACATTTTTACACAACTTCGTGTGTGTATATTTTTTACATTTTAATCCAATTTTAATTTTGAAAGTTAAAATTAGTGCCAGTCTTTAGGTAGCGTCGTACCTAAAGATAAAACCGCTCGCTTTCTCATCTGCAAAAGAGGAACAAAATTTAACTCAATTTCCCAGAACACAGCGCGAATATGTAAATTATGCAGGTGTTCTGGAGATGTGCGCGCCAAATTAGCCGTGCGCACGCGCTAAAATTGGTGAACCTTTTTATTCTGCTTGCAGGAACGGAGCAGAGCCCTCGCGCAAATTAGCCGGGGGAGGAGGGGAGGAGGGACCACAACAATACTCCGCGGTTATTGGAAAATTGTATTTCCTTGTGGACGGAGGCCGAGCAGCTGCTCGTTTTTTGGTCGGAGATATGGCGTTGACTCTGCAAAGCGAGGGGTCCGTGTCTGAGGAGGCTGGTGGACTGTCCGAGAAAGTGGAGGGGAAAGTAGCGGCAGCAGCCACGCTGGAAACGCCTGGTTGCTCCGGGACAGGTGCTCTTTACGAACAGGGAAGCCGCTCTGAATCCAGCTGTGAAGGTAACGAAGAGATGGAGGATGAGGAAGAGATGATGGAGGAAGGGACTGCAGGAAGTGGAGCCTCAGCCCTCTTCGGAGGATTTGGGACGGAGGAGGGCGAAATGGATTGCGACGATGAGGACGAGGTAACACGGGTCACTCTTTCCTCGGCAGCGGGGTTAAGGGGACGAGAGGGTAGCTCGGTAAAGCACAATTGTGGAGATCCAAATTACCCTCCGTCAACTTTTCCGATAAGATTATTGTGAGCCATTTTGATTTCCATGGGAACATTGCTTTTTGTTCAAATGCATTCCTTTTTTTTTTTGTAATTTTGTCACAATGTGACATTTCTTGTGTACGCCAGTTCTGTCAGTCTTGCTAGTTTATTTTATATGCTCTTGCAGACAAATGATCCCAGCAAATCCAAAACTGATATAAAACATTGTCATAGTTTGTAAAACTTGCCATACTTCAGAAAGAGACAAAAGCAACTTGCAAGACAAACTTTTTAAAGTTCTGTTCTGTAGTTTCCTGTACTTATCCTGTTGTGAGTAAGTACAGGATAGATTATATGTCTTGTGCAAAAGTACTGCTGCTTTTCTCATCAGCGACAGTATCTCCCATCACATTCCGGGAACAAGAGATGGGCTTGGAACATGTTGTTTATACTACATGTAGAGTCTTCTTTCCTTCAGTGGTACCTGCATAATATCTAGTCTTGCACTGCTCAGTTCCTGAGACAAAGAGATCAACATCAAACATTATGTGAGAAAATACATGCTTGTTTCCCAGGAGTTCTCTTTTTAATGTGGCCTTCCAGATTTGCTTTGGAGACACATAACTCTATAGCAGGAGTGTCAAACTGCTGGCCTGCAGGCCAGATCCATCATAACAAAACCTTGTCCACCCCATTGGCGGCAATGACAAAAAAGTCATGATACACATGACGTTGCGAGTTTGACACTCCTGCTCTATAGGAACCTTGGAAGACTCGCAGAGCTAGCTTTCAACCACATAATATGGCCACTATTGTTTGCAAATAGTTTATTGAAGAAATATGTTCTCAAGTACTTATTTTAAATATAAAAACTGTAATGTTATCAGCAAACTTAAACAATACTCTTAACATACTTTTGTGAAATTTCAGCGCATGATTAATCTTTCTGAACTGGTACCATATATCATGTGTTCCATCTGCAAGGGATATTTCATAGATGCCACAACCATCACAGAATGTCTTCACACATGTAAGTATTGGAATTATTATTAAATTTGTTTGCTGGCCATAATAACTCTGGGCAGCTTACAACATTAAAAGGTATAAAACTAAAATATTTCTGAAAACAAATTTACATGGGTTGAAAAAAAGTTGTGTACACCTTAATAATATGACAGTTACAATAAAACATTAGGACTGAAACTCTGGACTTGAAGGGAAAGGGTGCTTCAGAATATGAGTTTGAACTTGATACCTTTCTGTAAATTCTTAAAGCAGCCTCATGTTTTCTGGAATTATACTGTGCATCTGCCTTATATCATAGTCTTATAATATGCAGTACACCAATTGAAGTGGACGACTTTAGGAAAAATCCTAGAAAATGTCAACAATCCGTGTGTTATGAAAATTGTTCCTAAATTGTTCTTTTTCCCTTTGATCCTGACTTTCCCCTGAACATATTTTTAAAAATCTTTCAGAGCCTAGTCTGACATTCAGTCTTCTATGGGGAGATCTGTTATTCTGAATAAGTACATTAACTATGGAAAAGATCATTTTCTTAACTCATTTATCATGGCCAAACTGAGTCTATAATGGCCTTATGGAAATCCAAATCTGGAGACAATTTTCTGGTACCTTTGATACTAGAGCCTGAAGCACTGTAGATAAAAAGTATTACTTTGTTTACCAGGCAGAAGAAGAAACTGCTTCATCTCTGAGCTTTCCTACTGCAAATTAGGAACATAAATTATTTTGTGATAGCCTGCTGTCTGAACTTTTTAAAAAACTGAAATAGTGTGAACTGAACTGTGGTATCCTGAATTCAATATTAATCATTCAATAGTTCACCCCATTGTAAATCTACTTTATCTGGTTTCTTTAATCAGTAAAGTCCTGTATGCTCACAAAAAAAGGGCTAGGTGAAGGACACAGGCATGAAGTCAGTCCATTTGGGTTAATAAGACTGGATTAAAGACAATGTATAAAAACTGGATGTATAAATCTAAGTAGAATTGTTAGTTTTCTGTTTTTGTTTTGCCGTTACTTTATATCCTAGCCAGGACTTATGACCACAATGGAGCCCAGAATTTTGGTCATAAATTGTTGTATTCAGTTTTATGACTGTTTTATGATGCTCATAAAGCTGGTTACTGCAGTCATTAAGATAATTATGTCATTAAGTGAACAATGTGGTTGTTAAGCAAACTCCTGGATATCCAGTGAGTATTTTTGCTTGACCTGCTGGAAAAGAGCAAAAGTTGCAAATTGTGGTCATGTGAGCACAGAACACTGCAATTGATTGCAAATGTGAGCTGGTTGCCAAGCATCTAAAATGCAATGCGTGACTGTAGGGGGAGGCAATCATAACCTTGAAGATGGGTCGTAAATAGCTATTTTTGAAGTCCATCATAACTTTGAATAGTCTTGTATCTCTGCAGATTCTGGACATTACTGCTTTCAGTAATAATGGATCATTTTGTTGCAGTCATGTAATTAATCTTTTTTTTTTTTACAGTTTGTAAAAGCTGCATAGTAAGACATTTTTACTATAGTAACAGATGTCCAAAATGCAACATTGTAGTACATCAGACACAGCCGCTTTATAATATCAGGTAATTTACCTATTATGGTGCACTCTATATTTATTTTGTGTAGAAATGAACAGTTTTAGTTAATGTTCTTATGATAGTTTTAGTCTTGATATTAACTATTGGAACTAAGAATTATTTCAAATAGCCTGATATGGGAGAATATGTTTAAATCTTCTGAAACTCTAGCAACATGTTCAAAACCATTTATTATTAAAACAATGAGACTAATCCACAGACCACACTTCACTGTCTTGTACTTGATATTTTCTTAGTCTGGACTTATTATTATATTGGAATGTTAATGTGGTATTTTAAAAATACTAATAAAGTTGCTTTTGTAATTTTGACATGGAAATTTTGCATTTTTGATAGCTATTTCTCAGCCAATCTTGTTTTATAATTGTTATAATTTAATAATTTTGTGTCAGTGCCTATCTTTCAATATATCTCTGTAATAAAAAATAGTTACATTTAAAAATTACTCTTTATTTTTTTTTATAGGCTGGATCGACAATTGCAAGACATAGTATATAAATTAGTTGTCAACTTGGAAGAAAGTAAGTCTTTACCTCTGAATTGGCTGCTCTTGGTAAAACTGAAAGATACATCTAACTGAATATAACTGACATTGTTAGTATACATCTTATGTTGCCATAAAATAGTTGATAGTTCGCTAAAGAACCACATGCTCCTTGATATAATTTGGAATATTTCAGCTGGAGATTATCAGCTTGTAAAGTTGATGAACAAAAGTGTGAAATCTTGGAAAAATCATAGATTCATTTTCTTTAGAATGTTCATCTTCCCTGCCCTTTCCACACCTGTTCATCTATTTCTTAAAAGAAATACATAGTCTTCATTTAGTGACTACCTTGTTTAGCAATTATTCATAGGTACAATAGAGATGGAAAAAGTAACTTTGTGACCAGTTCTCATATTTATGATCTTTGCAAGTGTATAAAGTAAAGTAAGACTGTTTTGCTTAGCAACCAAGTTGTAGGTCTCAATACCTGGATAGGCATATTAATAGAATTATTGATGAACTCTTTTTTTAGTATGGGATATTCACAAATTCATTTTAAGATCGACTATCAAGAGTTCAGTGCTTTATATTATTTTGCTACTATTATTTAAATAATAAAATGTTCTATTTCTGTCAGTTAAATGTGTAAAAGCTATAAAATTAATAGAATAAAAGATTAACAGATTGTCTTCAGAATCTTAAACTCTAGGAGCAAGATCTGGGATTTCAAATTGAATATGAATCTCTTTGTAATATAGAATTATTATATTGTAGCAAATCATAAATAATTAACATCAAGGTAACTCCTAGAAAAAACTATTGTGCTGAAATAATTCTATTAATTGTAGCATTTCTAGATTGTATTGGTGAAATTTTAGCAGATTGATACATATCACCATCATTGATGACAGTGCCTGGTTAGATAATATTTTAATCAAGTATTTTTGAAGAAACAAAGAAAATACCTCACAGTCTCACAAGATATTCTATTAATTTATTGACCATATTTTCTAATGAATATAAGTTATTGCAACATAAAAATAATGCAGTTCCTTTTATTATCTCTCAGCTTTTTATTATAAAATATTGGAAAATTAAAATAACTCTCATTGGATGAACCATGTGAGAAATTGTTTTGAAAAATTAAAAGTTAATTAAAAATTAAAAGACCTTTTTAAAAAAACCTATAAAAGACAAACTATTAAGATATGATAGCCATTTATTACCTATACCAGGAGGTTTAGAGATTACTTTCACCTGCACATGTATTAATCTAGGAATAATATGTATTTAAAATACTTGTCCTTTTTTTAAAAAATCACATATATGCATGTGGCAATATGTTCCCAACTTTTTATTTTCTCATTTTCATTTTCTTAATATTTTTGTCCCAGGTCTATGCAACATTTTATCATTTGTTTTGTTTCTTTAATAAAATGGCAAAAAATGAAGAATTTAGATCATTTTCTTTATCTGTTTTGTCTTTTTTTGTCTACTTATTCCATATTAACTAAATCTATAGGTTGAGGATAACCAGCTCTTTTGTATTTATACATTTAGGAGAAAAAAAGAGAATGCACGATTTCTACAGGGAAAGAGGTTTAGAAATACCCAAACTTGGTAAGTTTTTTTAACTGTGGGTATACTATTGCTTAAAATAAAGTGAATTTATTAAAATTTAAATTAAATACTTTTCATTATGCCTCATGCCAAGAGATATGTAGCTATGTATTTAACCTTATTTTCTACAGACTAAGATCAATATTTATTTCTTCTCTGACATTATAGCTACTTCGATTTTTTAAAAAAGTAACTAAAAAAACTATTTTTATACTAGTTAAGTTTTCAAAAAAATTCATAGCTGAAAAATATAACATTCTAACATAAAAGTATAGCTAACCTTAAACAATATGATTAATGTTTTCTTATTAAAGTACTACCAAAGTTAGGCTTATTTAATGAAAGTTGTGGTTTTGTCCCAAACATTTTAAAGATGATTTTAGCAAGTAGTTTTGTTCATGTGTCAAACTGCACTGAGATTGTTGATTATTGTCTTCAGTCAGTTATTGCTCACTAACTTGTGATTGATGAGATCATTACATCAGACTTTTAGAATTGTATTTTATTGCTTACCTGCCTGTGGCTCTCTCAGAAATTCAACACCATTCTTACACTTCCTAGAAACATAGCAACACTTACAAAAAGCTATCAAAAATAGCAATGGGAGAACAACTGTATATAAAAAGCCGCACGTTTCAGCATGATATATTAGTAGCTTTCATTGTCTGTAATCATCTAAATGTATGCCAGAGATTTTGGAGAAGATATATCTTTTGTTTTAATGAGATTTTATATAAGAGACACTCTGACACCAAAACCTAGTCAAATTTGAAAATTTTCTGATTTGGAAGACAGTAGTTCTTGTGTTATATTGTTTTAAGATCTTTGATTACATTTGCCTCTAGGGCACAAATGAGTAGTTTTGCAGAGACATATATTTATCACTTTCTCTTTATTACTGCTCTTTTTGAATTCTCTTTTCCCCCCCTACTCCTGGCCATTCTTCTTAGCTTCTCTGGTCTGAGACCTAATTAGTACAAACTGTTATTTGTATGAAAGTCTTGTATATTGTTATTATGGAACCCATAAAGGGAAGAAAGAACACAAAACTATGGGATATAAAGGAAAGAAGAAAAAATAGTTACTCAGAAAGAGTAACTGATGATTGATAATACTTCCAAGAGAGAGAATACTGTATGGTATGAGAGAAATAAGAGGGAATTGAGAAATCATAGAGTTGGAAGCGGCCATTTAGGCCATGAAGTCCAATCCCCTGTTCAGCATAAGAATCCAAATCAAAGCATTTCTGATTGATAGTTATCCAACTTCCACTTGAATACATCCAGAAAAGAAATGTACCGCTTCTCTAAATAATTGTTTTCTGGGGTAGTGGTGCAAAGATTGTTAAATGATCACCAATGAGTCAGAGGCAATGGGTTGCTCAGGGAAAGGACATTATGGATTGAAAAAAGAGAAAGGGTTAAAAGAAGAACAATCTGCAAGTATTACAGAGAAAGAAGTATGAAATGTATTTATTTTATTCTCTGTTCTTTCATTCCTAGCCTGATTAATCTTTTATATTTTAGCTGCACCCCAACCAATGGCAGTGGGCAGGGGAAGACCCCGTAAGGTTGTAGGATCTGTATTCCGACTTCCTCCAGAGCTTGACATGTCACTTCTTCTGGAATTTATTGGGTAAGTTAAAATTGAATTTCTGTGAATCAGTGTTTTATATATGAACATAGACAATAAATTATTCTCTATTAAATCATATTTAAGTCTCGGTACTGACAGAAATATGAATAATATGGTAGTAGCATGCAGGTTAGGTGATGAAATATGCATTATGATGTGAACTCTGCCTCTTACATATTTAAGTGTGATGTCTAAGTGCAAATGTAAAAGGATGGAGCTTGAATTATGAGATTATTGTGCATATTTTATCACTCTGACATTGTGATTAGGAATGATCACTTATATTGGCCTATTATATTATCATAATTTTAAGTTACATTATTAGATTTTAGTACACTGAAAATATCAAGGGATAGTGAAATAAATTAAGATCTGCAACTCTGCATAAACTTGCTCAGTTTTCAACATATGCTGATAGTGGTGTCTGAAGAATACAACTTTCTGATAGAAAGTAGCATTTTCACTATACTTTGATTTAGCTTTATGATTTGCTGAATAGTGCTACACTATGTAGATAATTGATAATTTGATGTTTGTCCAATGCATTAAGCTATAAATTATGCATATTGGTATACATACAGGTAATCTCTGATTTACAAACATTTTAACAACCAGCCGAAGTTATAATAGTCTCGGAAAGGTGCTGTATAGCCCATAAAGCATTTCTGCATATTGTAAAACATAACACTACTGTCTCTTGTCACATTATCATTATCTAAGTGCTTGGCAACCCATTAACACTTATGACCAATTGCCAAACCTGCAATCATATTCCATTTGCAGTTTTCTCTGGTGGCTTCCCCAGAAAATCTGTGGGGAAGCTGGTAGGAAAGACTGTAAACTACTGTTGCCTGCCAAGAGGTCTTCCTCTCTTCTCTGCCGCTGACTGAAAGAGGTGCTTGCCAAGGAGAGATGAACTCCTTTGGCAGAGTAGAGAAATGGAGCTCAGATCCTGAAAATCTGAGCTAACCATTCCTGCAGCCTGTCAGAGCAGTTCCCTTCCACACATGGAGGAGCCGAACTCCTCCTATGGGGTGTAGAAATAGAGTCAGATCCCACAGATTTCAGATCCTGAAGGTTAGTTTAAACAAAATAGTTTGTTCCGGTAATTAAAACTAATTGTTAGTTATATTCAATCAGGAAAATCAGGAAAATCAATATATCTTTGACTCAAAATTGGAAGCATGATAGAAGAAAAATATGACACTGGAGTATCAAGCTCATTTCCAAAGTAATTAAAACTAAATTGAGCTTGGCAGCAGGTTTCACAATATAACTAATTGACAAGCAGCCTTTGTGTCTTTAAGGTGCTTATGTCCTGTCCATCAATGTCTTAGTATAATGAAAAATACAAATAAATCATTTGTGAAGTGGTTCAGAATTTCAATAATTTGAAGGAAAAAAATTAAAAAATACTCTCTTCAGTGTATCCACTAGGTGGCAATAATAACCAAGTAATGTTCACATCGATTCTTGCAGTATTTCATGACAAATATGCTTGCATGTATCATAATAGGTATTCAAATGCTGGTTTATTAAAAGTGTATTTTAAAAATAATTTTATCATAATTCAATCTTCTGTAACCCTTTGTGATAGTACATGTTTACAAGTTAGTTAAAAAGGTGAGGGAGGGCTCTTGAGGCATTAACCAGCCCCACAGCTGCGTACTTCCGTGAGTTCCCCATGCAAGATTGCAGATCCATATTTTAATTCCTTTGCAGAAGGCCAATAGAGTGGGGGCCTCTCTCGCCTTCCTGTTCCACAGGGCTAGGGCAAGGGCAGAAAGTGCTGCCTTCCTCTCTCTTCCTTTTGTCTCCTCAAAAACCAAAAATGAAAGGTTTTCTTTGGAAACCACAAAGTAAGTGCTGGAGAGAGCATGGGTTTTGATTTATGCCTGTAAGTTGAGCATGCCACTGTATATATGTCCTATATACTCTGATTATGTTTATTTCTCTTTCTTTCAGAGCAAATGATCTCTCTGGGAATTTTAAGGTATCGATATTTCCAAACCATTTTGCTGCATTAAAAGTATAGGGGCATAATGTTGCAAATCTATTATTTATAGAACAAAATGGACATTTACAAATGAAATGAAATAACAGAGATCAAGCAAAAAAAGCAAAATTTCACTGTACAGCACTAAGGAGGAACTCAAGAGAAACTAATTTGTAAATATGAGAAAGAAGAACTGAATTGGAAGTTTTTCTCTCCCAGAGGGAATATATTTGAGTTCCTCTTTAGTGCTGTATAGTGAAATTGAAGAGGAACTAATTTGTAAATCTAATCATATGAGAGGCCAAAAATGCATTGGTCTAACTGGAAAAAAAATAAAAATCTATATATAAAAGAATAATATTCTCATCTAAAACATAAGGGCTTGCTGAATTTTGCCACCACACTTCCTAAGTAATGAATTATTTTGGTATGTATTTTAGTTAAGCATTTGCTATGTTAAATTCAGTTTAAATTGGATTGTTTTTACTACCACTGACAAAAAAAATAGTGTGGGTGGATTTTTTTTTTCTTTGCTTGAAAATTGGAATATAGTAAATATATGAAGCAATGCTGATACCTAGTTTTTCTCTCCCCGAGGGAATATATTTAAGTTCTTGAATGGGCTTGTTTGCTATATTACATTGAAACATGCCTTCTCTTTTGAGAACACTGATGCAAAGATGTTAATTCTGCCTTCTTGATCCCCATTATTACAGCAAGTCTAACAATCTCCTTTCAATAATTTCTCCAAATTTCTGTGGAGGTTCTCAGTCATCTGACTGCAAAGAATATAAATCCTTCCATTTCCCACCAGTTTGTTAGAACTGAAGAAGCTTCTTGGATGAGAAGTGAAATATCTTCAAGAAAAATCAAGAAAGTCCAGTGCCTTTTTTTAAAGCACCTTTGGGACACCTTGGAATCTTCCTTCTTACTATGTTGTACAGTTCTTGACAATTCCTGAACTTTAGCTTTTATCACTCCAGGGCCATCTGTTTTAATTCTTCCTTAGATATTAGCCAATTTTTATTTCACAAGATCTCCTTTTGACTTCTCAGCTTTTCAGTGAGGTTGCTTGTTTTACTCGTGCTCTTAAAACTTGTTCAGTTTGTCCCTCTCATTAGAATTGTTTGTGCCAATGCTTTCAGGATCTTGGTTTTCAGCATCTCCCATCCTTCTTGGGCTTCTTTATCCTTTAAGATTTTAAGCCATGGGACACTGCTCATCTTTCAAATGAATTCATTAAAATCTGTTTTCTCAAAGTGCAAGGTATGTGACTTAGTTCTTCTGCATTCCATAATTAACTTAAGTGCTGGCATATGATTGTTTTTCCCAACGCCATTAACATTTTCAGTCCAATTCCCCTTAGTTAGTCAGAATTATGTCCAAGACGGCTATCTTTTCATTGTTCTGACATACGAAATTGTCAACTAGAGAGATTGTTCATTTATTGGATCTCTCATTCCTGGCCAATCTCATTTTTCATCAGGTATCGGGTGGTTGAAATGTCCCAATATCTCCGCAACTTGCATTCTTGAAAGTTTAGTGAATAGTTTAAAAAGACATTATCCACATCTTCTACATGAGAGAAGGGTTAAGTAAACATGGTGATATAGTTTTTTACATTTTTATTCATTTTAAGTTTTATTCAGATGCTTCTTAACTCAAGAGTAATTTTACTGTGCTTATTAAGCAGCACAAAATGCTTCCATATTCAGGAACATTGACTTCTTTATAAGTGTACAAGCTATTTCACCTCTGTTTATGTAGGGACTTATTTTTGAAAGCTAATATCCTTTGAGTTCTACATTCCACTAGCTATTCAAATCCCACCAACTTTCTGTGATATCATACTTTCTTTTCAGAAAGGTTTCTTTCTGATAGTTGCCTATATTCTCCATTAATATGTGTACAAACACTGAAAGATATCGGTCTCTTCCGTCCTACCATGTATTCATGATTTCCAGATAACATTTATTGCAATATACATTTGTTATGATATGTGTAAGACCTACTACTTTTCTAGCTGAATCTCTACCTATATCTGTTGTCTTTTGGTTTAGTTTGAATCCTTCCTGACATGTTAGCAACAACTGTATATTCTTTCCTGCCTTTGTACGATGCAGCACATATCTGCCTAAAAGCTTATTATACTAGTGTATATGTCATGGTCCATAAATCCAAATCTTTCTTCCAGTTTACTGCTTTCCTTTATAGTTCCTCAAACCCCACAGAGAGGATAGATGAAAATACATTTTCACATTTTCATTTATAGATTTATATTTGCTTTTCATTATTTACCTTTTCTGGCTGCATCATTTATCCCCTTGGGTTCAGAAATTACGGCTAACGATCAGTTGATTTCATGAGCATGGGTCATCTTTCAACCCATCTTTGTCACAGGACTAGGCAGTATGCCTCTCATAATAACTTGTCTGCTGTACAACTCTGTTTCTGTCCTATGCAATAGTGTGTCTTCTACCACCAGCATTTTTCCCCAAGGGAAGGGCTTTGGTTATTTGTTGATCCTGTAGAGCTGAGTCCTTTATTGCAGAGAGGTTGGGGCAATATAAATATCTCAGGAAGCTGCAGATTAGTTTCCATGTCTGGAGCCTCAAATCAGTTTCAACTGTTTGCTAAAAGGACAACATAGTACCTGAACTATAGATTACAATGCAGTCCACTTACCTAGACAGCAAATGATTGCCTTGTCAAAGTCTCAAGCATGAACAGTGAAAAATTATTGATTTCATCTTCTGTGACTATTTTAAGATTTTAAAGTAAACATGAGATTGACTATTTGCAAAAAAATCCTATTTATTACAATCTAACTGTAAATTAACCTGTTCTTTGTTCTTGTAGCCACTGGAAAAGAAGTTTGTACGTGTTTCAGGAGAGGCAACAATTGGACATGTGGAAAAATTCCTCAGAAGAAAGATGGATCTTGATCCTGGCTGTCAGGTGCACTATAATAATTCATATAATATAATTTTTACCTTTTTTTGCTTCTCCACAACATGTGTATAACAGTGATCAGATGAATGAGATTCCCACATATTTTTAATGTAATACTTTTCTTTGAAAGCATTGTGTACCTAGGAAAGACCAAAATAACAGAGATGAAAATTTCTGGCAATAATAAGAAATACTGAAAGGTGAACTGAGAACTGATTTTGAAATATATTTTTTTGCCCCCAAAAGAGGCACCAGGTCTTATTTTTGGGAAGAGGAGTGTCTTTTCCACTCACCTTGCAGGATGGCACCGACAGCCCCGCCCAGCCGGTCTATTTCTGTGGCCTAAGGAGCAGCTTCACTCTGCAGCTGAGAATGGAGCTCCAGCCTGCATTGTGCAGCCGAAATTGAATCCTTAGCTTGGTTCTTGGCTGCAGAGGCCTTCCAGAAAGACCCCTGACTTCAAAATGCAGGCTGGAGCTCCATTGGCAGCTGCAGAATGAAGCTTGTCCTTTGGCCACAGAAGAATTGGGCCAGAAGGCGAGGCAAGTGTCGATCCATGGGAGGCCTGTCTGCAATGGTAAGCTCCACCTCCCCACCCCCACCCTAGCTTGGTTTTTAGGTGTGCACCTCGCCCAAAACTAGGGGCATGGCTTATATTAGGCAAGGGCTTATTTTCAGGATAGGTCTTACTTTCGGGAAAACATGGTACTGTTCTTTGGCTTTGTAGTATAATAATAAAGTTGGAAGGGACCTTGGAGGTCATCTAGTCCAATCCCCTGTTCAGGCAGGAAACCCTATACCATTTCAGACAAATGGCTGTCCAGTCTCTTCTTAAAAACTTCCAATGTTGGAGCATTCACAGCTTCTGGAGACACTGATCAATTGTTCTAACTGTCAGGAAGTTTCTCCTTAGTTCTAGGTTGCTTCTCTCTTTAGTTAGTTTCCATCCATTGCTTCTTGTCCTGCCTTCAGGTGCTTTTGAAAATAGCTTGACTCCCTCTTCTTTGTGGCAACCCCTGAGATATTGGAACACTGCTATCGTGTCACCCCTCGTTCTTCTCTTCATTAAACTAGACATACCCAATTCCAGCAACCATTTCTTATATATTTTAGCCTCCAGTCCCCTAATCATCCCCTCAGCATGATGAGCTTTTAGCTTTCTCAGTTCAGCTAAAGCAGAGATCAGAAGATTGTTGGTATAGCAAAAAAAAATGAGATTTCTTTTTGTAATGGAAGGTGAGAATGACTGAGGGATGTAAGGGAAAGTTGCTGCTTAGGGAATGATCTGCCTAATCGACAAAGAAGGAAACTTTTAAGGATCTGCCCTAATGTATCAGACTGTTAAAAATAATGCAGGAGATTTGTATTTTCTGATAATGTAGCACAGACATGTCAAACACAAGGCCCGGGGGCCAGATGCGGCCCGCGAAGTGGTTTCATGTGGCCCGTGAAGCCATCCTTGAAACAGTGAGGGAATGTACAATTTTGTGGTGGCCATCTATGCTGAAACGCATTCAGTCTTAGCTCCACAAGGCTGTCTGGAAACAGCGAGGAACCAGCACCTGCTGCGTCGGCCCCACCCCCTGGGTGCATGCTGGGGAGGTGTCACCCTTTGTGAGGAATGAAGAAATGCACCGTCGCCTAGAAGTGGCCAGCAAATGGCCCTCGCCTACTTCACATATCCGGCTTGATTGGCTCCAGCGGAGGGGTTTCAGCAGGCAATGAGTCTCCTCCAGTGGACCATGCCTTGGCACTTGCCTGGTCCCACCCCCTTCTGCCAGAGACCCTCAGATCTGTCCCACTCCTGCCCAGGCCCATACAGGCACCCTTGAATCGAATGATGTAGAACTGGCCATGCCCACCCAATAGGCCACACCCATTCCATCCACTCCCGCCCAGTAGGCCACACCCACCCTGGCCACACCCATCCCCCCCAAGGGCAACCGCAATGCTGATGCTGCCCTCAATGAAATTGAGTTTGACACCCCTGATGTAGCATGACGATAAAGTAGAATTAGTTCATCTAATCATGGTTTACTTGGGAGGAGTGATAATTTTACAATTTCCATTTTATCATCTTTTAATGATTCCAGATGGTTATACAGCCAAGTATAATCTTTTCTAGACTGACAAACAGCATATGTTTTGTTTCAGTTATATACAGATGTATTATCCACAAATAGTCCTCAACGTATGATCAAAATTAGGACAGGGATTATTACTATCATAAATCAGTGCGATCATAAAGAGAAATGTCCTGTGACTACACCAACTTATGACAACAATCCCCACATTCCACATTGTGGTTAACTGGGAATTGCTGGTTTTTAAGCGAGTGCCCATCCCAATCCAAACCTTCTTGGCTTGGTCCCTCCCTGCCTCAAGTCTCAGTAAGATAAGGAATTGCCTCCAGCTCCCCCCACTCAGCCTATTTCTACTCTCATCTATGACATTTGGCCAGCCTGCACCCTACCTTGCAGGATAGGAAGCCTCAGCCTTCCTGAGCAAGTGCCAGCAAGCATTTGTTTGCTCCCCAATCTGGCCCAGCAAGCAAGCCAGCAAGCATCCATTCACGTAGCTGCCTTCTTTTCCTGTTCTCCCCAGCAATTTTTGCCTTTGGCTTTCTCCTTTTCAGACCCAGCTTCTCTGGAAATGTTTCCTAAAGTATACATGGTTCTCTGAACTTTCAGAAAGCTGCACTGCCTTTCTAATGCTCTGCTACCTTTGATTTTGGCACAGAGCTTTTTTAGCCAAATCCCAAAATCAAGAGAGTCATCTCAGCAGACAGTAACAGCTTATGACCTTCCCTGATGGCTTCCCCGTTGCCTTTATGGGGAAACTGGCAAAGAAGATTGCAGATGGTGATCACATGATTGCAGGGTGCTTGGCAATCAGCGGTAAGTATGAATGGGTTGCCAAGTGCCCAGACCGCAATCACATGCCCACAGCAGTCCTGCAATGGCCTTAATTTTGGGTAGATAAGCCTCTTCGTTCAGCATTTTGTTCATAAATTTGAGTGGTTGCTGAATAAATGGTTGTAAGTTGAGGACTACCTGTATTATTAAAGTGATGTTTTCTTATACTTCTTGTTTTATGTTATAGTTTCAGTATTTTTGTTTTACTAAATGGCTTGAAAGAAATAGTCTGATTGTTAGAGAAATCACATAGTTCCGAGAATATTTAGATTAGCTTCCCCAGTCTCAATATCTTCCAGATTTTGATGTCATCTTCCAAAATGTTCAGCAATAGCAGTGTTTTTGGGGAATTCTGGGATCTAAAATCTATATATCTGGAAGCACCCAGATTGGATAAGACTGGTATAAAGTAAAACAATATTTATTGTAATAAGCCTGTTTTTAGAATTACCCAGAAAGTAATTTAGAGTTGCTCTGGTTATTTTCAAAGTATGTTCTAAGAATGTTTTTGTCAAGGGTTTAATAGTCAAAACATTAGTAAAATAAATCAATTTATGTAGACACAATAACTTCCTGTGTGCATTTGAAATGTGTCATAAAAGTTAAAGCACAAATTTTCTGTAGACCATAATAGTCTCAAAGTCAACAGAGCAATTGAAATACATCTGAATCTAGTCTGAATCAGAATAGAACTGGAAAGGACCTTGGAGGTCTTCTAGTCCAGCCCCCTGCTCAAGCAGTAGATGCTATACCATTTCAGACAAGTGATTGTCCAGTCTCTTCTTAAAAATCTCCAGTGATGAAGCACCCACAATGTCTGAAGGCAAGCTGTTCCACTGGTTAATTGTCCTCACTGTTAGGAATTTCTCCTTAATTCCAGGTTGCTCCTCTCCTTGATTAGTTTCCATCCAATGTTTCTTGTCCTGGCCTCTGGTGCTTTGGAAAATAAATTGACCCCCTCCTTTTTGGGGCAGCCTCTCAAATACTGGAATACCTCTATCATGTCCCCCCCCCCAATCCCTCTTTTCTCTAGACTAGCCAAACCCAAATCCTACAACCGTTCTTCATGTTTTAGTGCCCAGGCTTTTAATCATCTAAGTTGTTCTTCTTTGCACTTTTTCCAAAGTCTCACCATCTGTTTTGTAATGTTATAACCAAAACTGGATGCAGTATTCCAGGTGTGGTCTTACTAAGGCTTTATAAAGCAACTCTAATACTTCATGTGATTTTGATTCTATTCCTCTGTTTATACAACCAAGGATTGTATTAGCTTTTTTGGCTGCTACCGCACACTGATGACTCATGTTTAAGTGATTGCCTAGTAGACTCCAAGGTCCCTCTCACAGTTACTGTTTCTGAGCCAGGTTTCACCTAATCTGTATTTGTACCTTTGGTTTTTCCTGCCCAAGTGTAAAACCTTGCTTTTCTCCACATTAAATTTCATTTTGATCTGACATGAGAAAGTTTAATTCCACTAATCTATTAAATAAGCTGCTGATATCATAGAATGCTTTGTGGTAGCAAAAGGTATGATCATGAATGAATGATCTTGCTTTTGTTTCAGTTTTATCATTGAACATTATTCTTTTTTTTTTGGATGAATTAAGCAATGCCATGCAATAGTTGCATGTGAATAAATAATGCCTCTGGGTCTTGTTAATGCTAGATGATGAGATGAGAAATGGTATTCCACAGAGAACTGGTTGCAAGGCTCATCTATTGTTAAATTTAAATTATGTTTGAACTGAGAACAGCTGCTCATCTTTAACAAATTTAGCACCATCTGCTCTGAAAGAGTATCACCTCTAAAATGGAGTTTTTAAGATACTTCTCTGCCCATACACTAACAAATATGTAAAATAAGAGTAAAGTTTAAAAGGGGCAAGGTTAGAAAATACAATATTTGCCACTGTTGTTAGTAAATCAGTTAAAAGTAACTGACTTGTAACAGTTGCTTTGTAGTTTCTCTGAAAGTTATTAAAGCTCATTGTTAATAGTTATAGCAGGCTGTTGTTCTTGCTAATTGGGCATACATTTTTACACTGAACACTCCTTTTATTAAATTATTTGATAGTTTTTTTTCTGTTCATTTTAGGTTGACATAATATGTGGTGATCACCTGCTGGAACACTATCAAACTCTAAGGGAAATCCAAAATGCCCTAGGGAAGAGTGCAGTGCAGGTAAAGTACTGAAATGTTAATTAAAAATGTTTTGTTTAAAAGCAATCCTAATTTTGGATAGTGTTTTGTTGCCTTCTGAAGGCACTTATTTAAGTTTATTGGCCTTCAATTCTAGTGAGTTGACAGCAGGCAAAGCTAAAAAACATATATATAAATAGCAAGAAACATTAAACCTGAGGTAGCCCAGACTAAAATACTCTACTAACAAAGCCCACAAAACATGGCCATTAAAATAACAAACATTAGGCCTGGGAACAAAACTAGGATTTAAGTATTTCCTGAACCCAAGGAGAGAGGACACTGTTGTTATCTCTGGAAGGTTACTGTTCCCAAATGTGTGATCACAACAGAGAATGCACGTTTCCTAGGATGGCAATACTTAATTGATGGGACCTGGACTCATCCATTCTGCCAGAACACTAAGTAGGCAGAAACTATTGGAGATATTCTTTCTTTTTTGCATTCACAAAAAAATAGATGCTGTGCAAGTCAAAATCTTTGTGTTCCCAATCCAGAAACTGCACGTGCAGCTTTCTTCCATGTATTTGTCCTACATTCTACAATCTTGGCACACTGAAATGCATAGACTCGTCATATGTTCTTCATATCTACACATTCGATGTTGGCTTTCTACAGGAACTACATTCATGTATCTTTAATAGACCGATTCAAAGTTTTGACCAGCAGGCAAAGAAAGGGCCAGGACATGAGCAAGGCATACAGAGTGCATACAGAGCATGCCAGTTTTCATAATGTATAGCATAGGAAATAAGAGTTCTGTAAGTAGAAGGTATAAATTTGCATAACCAGTGGGAAGAAAAGACAGTGCTTCTACTCTTATATATATGACTGCAGATAAAGTAGTCAGAATAATCTAGACAATTTCTCTTCTGATATATTCTAGTGGTACATTATTTTGTAAAAAAAATATTTTAAAGATTATAATAATGCAAATTTCAGTCTTTTCAGTCATATATTTACCTTTTTTCTATCTGTATATTATAGCCAAAATGTTTAGTCCACTTCATCATACATCGTTTGACTTGTTCTTCTGTTTCAGAAGTTTATGCCTTTTGGCAATTACATCACCATTTGCACCTAACTCTATTTCAAACTCAGTCTTCAGTACCATAAACTCTTTTGTCTACTTTAGAACTTTAAAATAACTGTAGATAAGAAAACCATTTGCAACCATGTCCCTCTGCCATCATTTCTTTTTGTCTTATTTTATATTCTCCTTGATAAAATTTTAATATCTCACAATAAGATAACAGTTAATCTTTTATTTCTCATCTATAAAATGATACTACTGAGAGCCACAAAGGTGTTTTCAGGCAGAAACTAGATTTGTATCCATTCTATATATTCAATATGGCACATCTAACATAATGATTTTTAAAATCCATCTTCTAACTCCAAAAACCTTCTCTTTCTCAGCAACACCCACTCTTTTATCAAACTAAACAGCAAGCTGCAAAATATAATTTCAGATCAGGTAAACATGGTCATCCTTTGCATCCTGTAACACCTTATATTTAATTCATATTTAGATATATCATTTTGCCACTATTTAAATGGTGCATTATCTGTCAAAACTGGATTCTCTGAAACAAAACCATCATTCTAAAATTGTTATCTATTTTTATCACAACCCCCCCTCGGTGACAATTCAGTTTCTCCTATTCTAAAATATCTTTTTTAATTTCATTTTATGTCTTAACATAGTTATTTTGAAATAACATATATATATTTGTCATAGTGATACTCAGATATTTTATTTACTTTTCTATCTTAAATAGATACGGATTCATAAGCATACAAATGGTGCTGCATATTTCTTTACATGACTTGCTGGCCTGATGTGAACCAAATTTAAATAAATTTCCAGGGCAATGCTCAAAATGAATAAGTGTCTTTATGTTACTTTTTCAGGAAGAATGTTTTCTGTAAGTGTGTTCTCTGTAAATTTATTCTAGAAAGTAAAAATAGAACCTTACTCATAATGAAGTACTATCATCATCATCATAATAGAGTTGGAAGGGACCTTGGAGGTCTTCTAGTCCAACATTTTGCTCAGGCAAGAAACCCTATACCATTTCAGACAAATGGTTGTCCAGTCTCTTCTTAAAAACTTCTAGTGTTGGGAGCATTCACAACTTCTGGAGGCAGGTTGTTCCACTGATTAATTGTTCTAACTGTCAGGAAATTTCTCCTTAGTTTTAGGTTGCTTCTCTCTTTGGTTAGTTTTCATTCGTTACTTCAGGTGCTTTGGAAAATAGCTTGACTCCCTCTTCTTTGTGGCAACCCCTGAGATATTGGAACACTGCTATCATGTTACCCCTAGCCCTTCTCTTCATTAAATTAGACATACCCAATTCCAGCAACCGTTCTTTATATGTTTTAGCCTCCAGTCCCCTAATAATCTTTGTTGCTCTTCTCTGTACTCTTTCTTACTCTTTCTCTGTTATCTTTTTTTCATAAGAGATCCATATAATAGATAGTTAGCATGACATATCTGGTGTTAACACTTAAAATGCTTAGTGAAGAGAAAGATTGAGAGCCACAATGAACATAATTGTCTTCAAATTTGCCTTCAAACTCCTTGAAGAGTCTATAACAAGACTAGGAAGATGGAAAATTATGTAAAAAGATGAACTCCAAATTTGCTAACATTTGGTAATAGCTCTTCTTTTCTTCTTAATGTGGAGTTACATTTTAAACAACAAATAGATAACTGGAGCTATATAATATATTCTTTTTAGTTATTTTGTCACTGTGTTTTGGAGAAATGTGGGATGTAGATTCCAGTTGTGTGTCTTTTGCTGTTTCTCTAGAAAATTATTAACCCAAAGATGTTTTATTTCCATACCAATACCTAATGTGTATGTGTGCACACCTCCAAATCAATGTTGATTTCTGGCAACTGCCTAGACTAGTCCTTGCAGTTTTCATGGCAAGATTGTGGGGAATGGTTTGCCATAGGGCTGAGTGAATGACTAGCCCAAGACCATCCAACTAGCTCTGGGCCTAAGGTAGGACTAGAATTCACAGTTGCCTGGTTTCTAGCCTGGTACCTTAACGGCTGTATAAAACTGTCTCTTGTACCTAATGTACAATAAGAAAACTTGTCTATACAAGTCATTGCTTTTTGTTTGTTTGTTTGCTGATTTCATTGGATTTTTTATTCATATGATTTCTCTTTTTCTTTCCAGGATGGGTTGCTTATACTTCACTATGGACTGATTCTTAGTGGAGATTCCACATTTTCAAAAATCTCTTAAATTTTCAGAAGATGTTTGAAAGAACAAAACCTCATATGAGAACTACAGCAAAAAAAAAAGCCATTTCATTTAAATGAATTTAAAGAGATGCACTGTTTTTGCTCTGCATAATAATTAAGGAAACAATTTAAAGCAGTGAGAAAAACTAACACTATACCAGTAAGTAAGCTATAAATACTTCAGTGGTCTTGTATCATCAGCGCCTAGCTCAGGGAAGAACAAACATATCAACATAACAAAATTCATTCTAAATATGTAGGTCTTGCAGCATTCATGACTAATCCATGGATGGTGTTGTATTTGAGATTACAGTTTATCCGAAAGTCTTTAAGTATATTTGCAGTACTGTTCTCAGGGATGATCTCTTGGACCACAATGTCTTATTGGGAAAACCATGCATTTATTCATAGGGACATTTGAATTCTATTTTAGTTGTCAGTTTAGAAATAAAATGATTTAGATTTTTCCCTACAGATAAAATGGGGCTAATCACCCTTTAAAAATTGCAAGCATTTATATCTCATGCCTTATATGAAAAATATTGAAATACATAATATACCAAATATTAGAACAGGAAAAGAAATAAATCTATGTTACCTATAGAGCATCACTGGTTGAATAACAATGTAAATGTAAAAGTAGATGAGGCAATGAATTGGGCTGCATTGGAACATGTATTCCCCCTGTTGTTTATACCTCCAATGTCAGTGGGAAAATAAATGGACCATATGCTTTCCAAATGTTTAAAACAGTATACTTGTTCTCTAGGTAATAAAAGTGCACTTGAATAATAAATTGGGAGCTGGCTGAATGGTAGCTATAAAACAGAGCCAGAATAATGGTCTTATTGAAAAATAAGAATTTGATTAGCTTATAGCTAAAAATATTAAAATTATAAAAAAAATGCATCAGATATCAGAAATAAGCAATAGACGCACTCAGCACAACAAGGGTATGATAGTATTATTGAAAAGCAGTGAAAATTGTTAACAATTATTTTGACTCTATTTGGCATGGGATTACATTGCCTGACTTTAAAAAAAAAAAATTAAAAACTAATCCCACAAGCGGTAACACAAGCTTGTTTGGACAAATGGGTGAATTACAACTATTAAATCGTTGGTTCCACCATAGAACAACCACAAATCCTTGAAGAATGAAATATTACAGTTCTTATTGCCATCAGTGTGGCAAAAGCGGTTACAAGCAAATTATTGAAATTGGAATTAACGCAGAGGAACAGGGTTTTCTGATAGAAAAATAGAAAAAAATAGCAACTTTTGTTACATTTTTAAATTTTTTCTAGCGTGTCAGGTAAAAATGCTCCCTTACATATATTTGAATATCTAAGTAGGCATGGAGTCAGGAAGTCTTCAATATGTGACCAGACTTTATATTTACTTTGTTGCAAAGATTAACATGATTTCTCCGATTGTTATGGACTCATGAGAGCATTGTCACAAATGAAGCATTAAGTTCATAGAGACAAATATGGAGTGCTTTTTTCTGAAAATCAACATATTTATTACCAATACGTAATGTACCTACAAATGTTCAAATTTTTGTTGAGCAGTATGGTGGCCAAGTTCTGGTCATCATCAAATTCAGTATGAGTTTCTGTATGTATTATTCATAGAGCTGAAATTTATACAGAACATGTTAACTATAAAAATCAAGAGCTGGTACACCAGTTCTGAACCAAAAAACTAATACATTGTAGGGGTATTTCATTTAAAGAAAACAAGTGAAGCATTTCAGAGGGAAGTGGTATGAAGAAAAAATTGAAGCCATTTTTTTCTTGTAAAGCTAGAGTTCATGACCATGCAGTTAGCTATAGCTAATAAAGAGTATCTTCAGGAAACAAGAGGCTTGCCTTTATATTGCACATGGTAAACTTTAAGAATTCACTACCTAAGAGATGCTTACCATTGGCATAGACGGGTTTCTGTTAGCCTTTTCGATATCTCCAGAATCAAAGAGAGCATGTTGCTGTGTACTGCAAGAAAGCAATCTTTCCAAAATCTGTATTTGGGCTTTATAGAGACCTTTAATCTTTCAGGACTTTTTCCTTCTTTATACTTGGAGCACTAAGCCAAAATGTTTTTCACGTTTTGCATTGATAGATTATTAGAATGGGATACCTAAGAACAACAATGATCGAGGTCTGTCTGTTTCAGTTTAGAGAGGCATTTTCAGAATTCAGAATGTATATTGCACAGGTCGGCAACCTGCGGCTCCGGAGCCGCATGCGGCTCTTTGAGCCTTCCCCTGTGGCTCCCAGCCTCCTCTGCCTTTGCAGAGAGAGACAGAGACAGAGAGAGGCACTTGCGCTTCCCTGAGAGACAGAGAGAGGCAATTGCGCTTCCCTGTCTCTCTCTCTCTCTCTCTCTCTCTCTCTCTCTCTCTCTCTCTCTCTCTCTCTCTCTGTGTGTGTGTGTGTGTGTGTGTAAAAGACAGTGCACTCACAGTGTTCTCCGAGGAGCTGAAAAGCTTAATGGGCGGAGCTCCTCCCTTTGCTGCGTCTCTGCAGGAAGCAGGAAGGGCAGGAGAGAGCTAGCTAGCCCAGCTAGGCTGACTCAGGAATTCTGGGAGTTGAAGTCCATGAGTCATAAAAGAGACGAGGTTGCTTACCCCTGAGCTTCTTGGAGAACAACTTGAAGCTTGCCAGGTGAGCAGCAGATAGGAGAGGGGGGGAGAAAGAGAGAGGGGGGGAGGGAGAGAGAGAGAGAGGAAAGAGAGAGAGAGAAAGAAAGAGAGCGGGGGAAGAGGAGTGGCAGACCAACGGCAGATAGAGAGGGAGAGAGAGAGACAGAGACCCTTTTGACATCTAAAATGAAGATAACATTGCATATATCCTTTTTTTACCTGTGTGTGTGTGTGTGTGTGTATATACATACATACATACATACATATACATATATATATACACACACATACACATACATACACACACACAAATACCCCCCCACACACAAACACACACACTTATAATAAAGATAAAAAAGGATATATGCAGTGTTATCTTCATTTTAGATATCAAAAGGGTTTTGCGGCTCCCAGTGTTTTGTTTTTGGTGGGAAACGAGTCCAAGTGGCTCTTTAAGTGTTTTGGGTTGCCTACCCCTGGTATATTGTATATGTAGATCACATAGTATTTTGGTAGGGTCTCTTATTTCTCTTTTGAAGAGACTACATTCCAAATTGATCTTTGAATAGGAAATGTCCTATTTGTTTCATTAAAAATGAAGCTCCACGATGGAATATGAAAAATATGTATGTTGTATTTTAGTTAATTAATTTGATTGCAAAGCATGTAGAAGTTCATTAGATCTGTAAATCATATGTGCAGTGTTGGAGGAGCTTATTTGTGTTGTTCTCTTTTGTTTATTTTTCCTTCATCTATATATTATTCTGCATGAAAAAAAATCTCCCCAAGGCATCATTCCAAATTTTGCCTTATCAAGTAAATATATAATATTTTATTAAATCTTGGTTGCTCAACCTTTGGAATTTATTACAATGTCGAAGCACATTATAATAATATATATTTTATGTGCTATTATCACAATTGTAACACATGTAGAGGATCATGTTGATAACAATTTTAAGACATACCACATTTCACATTAATGTTTCCCTCTAGTTATTCCATAAGACTGAGACAATCCCAACATATTATCACAAGAATTACCTTGAATCCTTTCATATATTGTGCTTTGCATATTCTTAAGAAACAACCATTTTGGGAAGTTTCTTCCAAGATCAAAATAATGATGGCTCTAGCTTATTCTGCCCCCACCCCCTTCTGTGCCATTCCTCTTCCAGTTGTAAGATTAAATACGTATATAAATTCATCTGAAAAATTTGCACATGGAAACCTTACAGTCATTATGAAAGCATTAGTGTGGAATGTGGAAATCTTACACATAGTTATTATAACTGAAAACATTTTATGGTTTCATTCTTTCACTTTTAGTCATTGGTCCTTTCCGCACAAATAAACTTAGATATTTATTGGCTGTAATGTAATTGTATTAATTCTTAATACCAAAGTTTTGGTTCACAATAGCACAAATGACAGACAGACTACCTAAAGTGGTACATTTTTTATTAATTTGTGCCTTACAGAGGAGAAAAGTGTGTAAGTTCAAGGGACACAAGATAGGACATGGGTTTGTATTATGAAACTTTGTGACAGGATGAATCAGTGCAAAGACATCAAATAATACAGTCTTGAATTTCTGCAGAAAGCAATTTTGCTGCTGGCAATTTTTAAGGCATTCAAAGAAAATCTAAAATAATATGCTTATATAAAACTTGGCACATGTTCAGATAGAGATACATAGTGAAGTTAAATTCTGGTAGGAGTTGGAAATCTGATTTATCAGAATTCCCAAATTTGTTTAGGAAATTTTATGTTGGTCTCTTCCAACCAAGTTTATTTTTTTGTGTTATTTGCCGCAGAAACATGGGCTGAATCTGCTATTTGTTGGAAATATAAGAATTTTTATTTATCAGATTTCAGCACCATTTGTTTATTAAAAAAATCAATTGTTTTTGTGTGTATTGTGCATGTATATGATTTTCAGTTGTGATTGGCAAGGCTGAACAATTACATTCACCTTAACCCGTCAGAGCAAAATTATAGAAGAATCATTAAAATTTACTAGTGTATTTTATTTGTGCAATAGTGAATGTATGTATAAGAAAATACATTTAGGAAAAGTCCCTTATTTAAGAAACCATATCTCAATAACTTACATAGAAGCCATATTGTTTTCCATAATACAGAAATAAGCAGCTGGCATAAATCTACATTCCTTTTCTAATGATCAACCAACATATATATATCCCTGTTTTAGGTTGCAGATTGTGCCTTATAGAAGCGGCAGCAATCGCTACTTTTGAATCAGGATTTGTACTGTGCTTCTAGACTATACAGGAGTGCATTTGTTTTATATAAAGTTAGCCTCTAAAACATGTTTCTTTTCATTTTTTAATAGCTGGCACTATTGATTCTAAGCAACAACTACTTTTAATATTGCTGACTATTAATATGGCACAAGGTAAAATGGACAGTGGAGTGACTTGTTAGATAATCACAGAGATGATCAGATGTGTATTCAATTAATAGTTAACCAGGATCCTAAGACTCATAGTTATTTGATTACAGCATGTAGAATTTTTTTTAAGACGGACATGTTGCAAATAGTTGTGAGTAGATATCAAAAATGTATTATGTGTCTCTTGCTAATGTAGAATGTGCTAATAGAATTTCTTTATACAGTGATGCACCAAGTTTATCATGGTGTTCATCTTCCTAAACCTTGTTAGTATTTTCTACCTAACATTCCTAGATATTTTGTATTTCCTTGTGACGTGTATAGACTACAAAGCAAAATAAATAAAATATTTATATTTTTTATCTCTGTGCTCCAGAAGGACTAAAATGGAGTAAAGTTCATTAGCTGGAAATTAAATAATTGAATTGTCAATTTCTTTATTTTATGAGGCAGACAAAGTTTAATCTTTATTCACTAATGTGATTGCTAGGTTTTGCCCAACTTGAAAGATGTACTCAGCAGAAATAAATGAGAAACATGATTTAATAAGTGTGTGTCTGTGTGTGTTTGCACATGCTTATTTTGTCTTTAATTCATCATTTGGGAGGTATGTCTGGCTTACAACAATGCAGTTGGTGAACAAAATTTACTAGAGTATTTCTAAATTAATCTTTCAGCCTCAGTGTTTCTGATAGTATTGAACATAATGCTCCTATTGAAATAATCTACTGTGAAACATTAGAAAGTTAAATCGATGTGAGCTATTAAGTACTTTAATTCAGGTATGGGCAATTTAAAGACTTAAGCTATATTATTATCCCTTGGGTGTATCTGTATTTAAGGTCAGTGATTACATTTTTTGATTGATAGCATTTCCTTCTTCCAAGTTTGTTCGTTCAGTTTTTTTAGCAGAAGTTAGGGTTTCATCTGTAATTTCAGCAAACGGGTCTCCTACCTGGCTTGATGAAATTTTTGAGGCTAATTTAGCATCCTCTTTCTCATCTTTCTTAAAATAGAAAGAGGATGACATTTTGGAGCTGCTGGCTACAGATGAACTAAAGAACCTGGGTTGGAAAGAGTAAGTAGGGTTGGAAAGGGGATTCAGAGATGAGATGCTCATGCTTGAAGTACTAAAACGTGTCTCTTCACCCTCCAACAGCTTCCTGCAAATACCACAAAAAAAGATTTTATTAATAATGGAAATTGAGGATTTTCAGGCACACTTACATACATAGACAAGGTAAACGATGTCTGTTTTATGTGATAAAAAGAAATCACCCTTAACAAAATAATAAAAGAGCTACATTTATTCACCCTGATTCTGAATGCAAAATTGTGGCAAAGCATTAAAGTAAACAGACCAAGTCATTTCTCATCAAGTTGTTAGGGCAACATAAATTTGATCACCTATTTTGGGCATTTACAAAATAGTAGGCAATTCTATGTAGATATTGAGAATCAAATCCCGGTTACCTGTATGCTGCTATCTCTATATCCAAGGCCATTTTGACATTCAGTAAATCTTGGTATTCTCTCAGATGCCGAGCCATTTCATTCTTTGTGTCTCTCAAATCACTTTCTAACTGGCTAATAGTATCCTGTAAATTCAGAAAGTTCAACATTAACATTTTAAGGCTAAAGACTCTGCTAAATAGTTTAATTCCTTTTTATCAGAAGCAAGAAAAAATGAAGTTTTGCTAATTTGTTACAACACATAACAATTGGAAAATGAATTAAATTACAACAGTATAATTAACAATTACGATCCTTTTTATTTGTGTCAGAAGCACCTTAAAATTATAGACATATAGCCTTCAATACTGAACAAATAAAATAGGTATAAAATAGACATATCTATAAGGTTTTTAGGATTGAAATGCCACTTTATTTTTTTTTAAACTAATGATAAGCAGCAGGAGTTTTCATAGTTTCTGAATAAAACCCCCAGAACTTCTAATTACTAGCTATGTTGGTTGGGGCTAATAAGAACATTCTTTCCAATTGCTTTATTATAATAAGATTGAATAAAAATAGATTATGGCAGCTCAATAGGAAATGGTCAGGCATTGTATTTGTTTCATTTGATAATATTTTTTAAAGACTAGATTAAATAGTAAAGAGAGTAATAAAATTTGATGAATTCAGTATGTTTCTAATTATGTTCTACTGATATAAAACCTATGAAATAGTGTTAATACAATATTGATTTCTGATGTGATTGTTTTTATTTGATGCAATTATTCCAATTTTTGTTTAATGCTTTTGAAATTATCTTTTATTGATAAAAATAGGCAAGTTACAGGTTTATGTAAATTGAGCAAAAGCGAAAACCTATTCTGCAAGCTCTGAACTGATGGGAAATTGAGACTGTGTATTAACATTTTTTGAATGGCATGCATAATCTTATTATACACACACACACACACACACACACACACACATGTAGGTCTTTGGTTATTCGGGTTTTCTCCCGCGTCAAATTGGAAGTATCTTGGCGACGTTTCAATGAAGTCCCATTCGTCATCTTCAGGCTGGTGTTTTCGGTTTCTTGCTTCTAGGAGCAATAAAAAACATTGCTCCTAGAAGCACAAAGCCGAAAACACCAGCCTGAAGATGATGAATGAGACTTCGTCGAAATGTCGCCAAGATACTTCCAATTTGACGCAGGAGAAAACCCGAATAACCAAAGACCTACATACAAACACCCGTGAAAACCTCAGAAAACAAATATATATATATATATATATATATATATATATATGTGTGTGTGTGTGTGTGTGTGTGTGTGTGTGTGTGTGTGTGTGTGTGTGTGTGTGTAATGGCTTCCTAAGATCTCTCTACACACATACTTATATATCCAATATAAATGAAACTTATATTCAGGCTTGAAACCAAGAAAGAAAACATAATGAAGTGTCATTGAAGTCAGCAATATTGTACATGAATGTATGTAAAAATGTCATGCAGCATGTTTTAATTCACCACTATAAAATGTATAAATTTGCATTTTTATATCCCATAAGTAAATAAGATGTTGTATCTTTATAATTAATACTTGATCTTGCAAAATCTTTTCATGGATCTTTAAGACCATTCTATTAACAATGACTACCACACTGAAATCTCTCTGGGTAGACTTGGCATAAACAGTGAATGCCACTGGAGAATGTATCTCCCTCCCTCCGTCCCTCCCTCTCTCTGTCAGGTTTTGAAGCTGTGGTACAAATAGAATATGATGAAACAGACTGACTCCAGGTTGGCAAAAGAGTGTGACAAGTTTGTATACTGTGACTCAATGTACAGTATAATGTGCATTAAGAGAAGCTGGATAAAGTGGAAAATTGGAGCAAGAAACGTCAGTAATCTGTTGAACAATAAAGGAAAAAGCACTCAAGAAATGCACTTTACACTAGCACTTGCTAGTATGCATAACATAAACTATAATGTATATTTTTCCCTAAACTACATAGGAGCAAATATTTTAAATTTTGTTGTTTAAGGCAGAAGGTTGATAATTTTGGTTTCTCCCTTTTTCATGTTCTTTATAATTATATCCTTTTGGGGTATGGTGAACTAAACAATATGAACCATATTCTAAGTACAGTCACAATACAAAATAGTATAAGATCAGTACAATATTGCAGATTTTTGTTCTCTAATTATTGATAACTTAGGATTTTTCTTTTTTATAGCAGAGGCACATTATTGTTCTTTGAGCTAATTACCACAAATCCATTTGTTCAGTTTTGCCAATATATAGTATATGTGAAATTATAAACATATTCCAAAGCATTTGCCAATTTAATGCCTATGCCCCCATTTTGAAGGATTCTTCTGGAATGCTGTATTTAGGTTTTTTATTTCATAATTGGCAACATCAATAAACCTGACCACTTTTCAGCCTACTTTTATATTCAGATTGTTTATGAACATATAAAAAAGCACCGCTCCCATTACAAATTTTAGTAATGGAGTATTGTTTTTCCTCTTTGCAAAACGTAATTTTTTATCCCTATTCTACATTTTCCATTTCTCGAACAGTTGAGATGACAAATCAATCTGATTTATTGCTATACTGCCATTATCAAGACTAATATATTTATTTATATAATAAATCACAACTTACAGTGAATAAGTGCTTTCTGATATCCAGAAGGAAACAATATTATTTTGACATTAACGACAGTTCAAATTATCCAGAAGTCATCACCTCTCTTAACATATTTTGAAAATGTGGTAACATGCAACTTCTTAAGTCTCTATGCAATTGTCCATCAGTACTATATTAGCAAAACTCTTAACTGCTGTTTGTAAACAATGCTAATTCAAAAAAGTCAACTATAGTATCTACATTTCAAAAAATTTAAAGGAAAGTCCATATTTTCTGATGTAAAAATTATTTGAATTCAATATGCTGCAATATGTCTGAAAAGCTTCATTACTCTCATTTTGTATGGAAAATGGAACCCCCTTCCACGTAAAGCAATGATTGTTTTAAACATGTTTCTGCAGTATTGGAAACAGTAAATATACAGCAGGAATGGACTTGTGTTTGGAATATTCTTTCAGAAAAGTCCAGCTGACACAAACACCTTTTTGCAGTAAATGAGCACTTCTGAATGTAATACCCATTTTATTTTGATTGTGTCTTTTACTATCCCTATTTTAGTTCTACCTTTTCTGATTTTATTGTTTACCATTTTTATAATTTTATCAATTTCACAGTAACTTACTGCGTAGCATATTTAATTTATATAAATATAGTAAAAATCAAAGCACAATTATCAACCGTGAAGAATTAGCCTAGGATTAATCAAGTAATGAGTAGATCTGTCCATTATAGAGAGATAAAAAACATTCTGGAAAATGAATGACTGATTTGCTGGAATTTTGAACAGGATCATTAAAAAGTAAACGTTTCATTCCTGCTAGTAAACGAGCACAATTCAAGAGATGCAGTAAAACAATTGTTGCCCATGTTCAGCACCACGGAGAGCAGCGTGACCGTCAAGAAACGTTGCGGTGTGCCTAGAGAGGAATGAGATGCCCACAGCAGACAGACATCCTGATGCAACCCTTCCTGTCATTTTGTCACTGAACATTGTGATTGTTTACAACAATCATTAAGCCAACTAGAACGGCCAATGAAAATGGATAAGGGGAATGGATAAATTTTATACAATATAAATTGGATATAAAAAAATATCATTTAGCTTTTTAATAACTTGTATATAAACTTTAATATTTTATAGATTGTACTTTTTTATATCTCTTTTCTTCTTTCTCTTTTTCTTTTTTTTATTATCTTTTTTAAGTACTTTTTTTTAATACTTATGCTTTTTTCTTACATATATTTTATTGTTAATTACTTTATAAGTTGTTTATGTAAGGTATTTAGATATATTTATGATTTATACTTTTTCAATTTTTTTAAGATTCTTAAAAATTTTAATTAAGCCTATATTCAGCTCTGGGAAGGTCGGGGGGGATGGAGAGGGAGGGTTGGGGTGGGTGGGTTAGGGTTGTTTTTTTGTAAAAATATTTAAAAATTTTCAATAAAAAAAATGGATAAGGGAAGGCATAACGCAAAACATCTAATAGGCATTAGGGAAGGCAAAAGCGATTTTGTTTTTCAGAGGACTGTCTGCTGTAAATTTACTACTGTTTTGTTGAATGTTTTAATCTATTGGATTTTTATCTGCTGAGAATATTTGGAAGACACAAATGCGGTAATTGTAGTAGGAATGGGAAGCTTGAAAAACTTAGCTGGCCCAAATCTGCGTTAGAGGCAGCACGATACCACCATGCGACACTTTGGGAGGCAAGAACAAGTAGCGCTCGCGCGGGTGGTCCTCACCTGTAAGCCGAGCGCATCGGCGTTATGCCGCTCCTCCATCTCATGTAGCTGCCGCTCCAGAGATTCATTCGCTCCGCGCAGGCTCTCTACCTCTAAAGTGCGGGCTTGCAGCTGGCGGCGGTACTCGCCGATCTCCTCGCGACTGGCTCGGATGGCCTCGTTGTTGCGCGCCGCCTGCTCGCTGAGATTGGCGAACTTGGCGCGGTACCACTCCTCGGCCGTCTGCAGGTTCTTGGCGGCCAACGCTTCGTACTGCGAGCGCAGCTCCTTCAGTGCCGCAGTCAGATCGGCCTTGGTGGCGTCCGGCTCGATGGCAGCCAGCGGGGTTGGCTGCAAGGAGGCGCTCAGCTCGGCCACCTCCTCGGCGTGGACCTTGCGCAGGAAGGCCAGTTCGTCGAGCAGCGCCTCCACCTTCTTCTCCAGAGCCAGGCGTGCCAAGGTGGCGCCATCCACCTCCCTCTGCTGCGCGCGCAACGCCTGCTCGGCCTCCGCCTTGGCTCGCGCCTCCTCCTCGCAGTGCGCCCGTAAACACTGCACTTCCTCGGCCAGCCGCTCCCTTTCGAGCACTCCCTGCGCCCGGGCGGCCTCCGTCTCGTCCAGTTGGGCCCTCAGCTCGCGGAGCTCGTTCTGGAAGAGCTCGGCCAGGCCGCTCGGCTCAGCGTGACGCTGCCGCAGGGCGCTCAGCTCAGCCTCCAGGAGGCGATTGTGCTGCTCCAGTTGCCTCACTTTCTCGATGTAGCCAGCGAACCGGTCGTTGAGTCCCTGGAGTTGCTCCTTCTCGTTGGTGCGGGTCAGCCGAAATTCGTCATTCAGCGCCGTTGCCTGGCTGAGATCCAAGGTGTCTGCCTGCGCCAGCCGATACGAGACGGCGCGGTTGCTACAGCGAGATACTGACTGAGACCGGTAACTGCTGGCTGTGGCCGAACTGCCAAGACGGGAGGAATAGCGGGGCGGCTCCCCGAATATCTTCCTGTAGGAAGAGGCCAAATAGTGGGAATCCGAAGAGAAATTCATCCTGGAGCTTGTGGAGGACTACACGCGACGCCCCTGTCTTATATAGAGAGAGGCGGATCGCCGGTTCCGCTGCAGAAAGGCGGGGGGCGTGCGCTTCCAGGGCGCGGCCAAGAGAAGGAGATTGGTTTGGGAGGAATGGGCGGGGACGATAATGAGGTGGCGACAGGATGTTGGGCGTCAATGACAATCTCGATCCTAAACACATTTTCTTTGACTGTAAACTCTAGGGATGCTAAAGTTTTGCCAGCTTTGGAATTGAGAAAGTGATTTGGGGTGCGACGGGAGAGATGCCGGGACAATAGTAAAGAATGTAGACTGGTAGTCATCGTGGGATTGTTGACTTAAGGTGGTGGATGCCTGTATCCTCTGGACACAGGGCCAGATAAGTATGAGGATTAGGCAGTCTTAGGCCAGGTAGGAGGCCGAAATGTTCTCAAGACTCTTCTCAGAATAAACGAGAGCAGCCTAATCGGCGTTTAGGATCCCATTAGATAAAATCCAAGAAGGCAGAACAGAAATCGACAACTGGAGAATAAAAGGCAGCTGGTTGCACAGTCAGTAAAAAGAACGTTAAAAAAACGTGTTTATGGACCTACTTTCACGCCCTACTCTTGCGGCACGTATTCCTAGTTGATTTTTAACCATTAAAATTTAACAGGATTAGGCTAGAAGAAATGCTGGTGGAGCTGTCCATTTTGCCGCAGTGCTGATGTCGTTCCCTCTCAGCTACCCCTGGCGGATGAAAAGAGCTACGCAGCCTCTTTTCCCTTTTATGTTCAGAATCCATAATAACACAAAGAAACTGTTCTTTTTAGAAGTCTGTGGCTACTTTATACTGAATTCCAGCAGCAATATTAGTGTTAGAAGAAAGTGCTTTGCTTTAGATTGCTTGAAGTACTAATAGTCCAATTCAAAGTGACACGAAAAATCCCATTTCTTGTGCCTCATATCAATAAACAAAACCTATGGTGTTTTTAATTGCAGATTAATATGATATCTACTTTATGTAAGTTGCCTACTTTTTTAAATGTTGCTGTTTGAAGAAAATTTATATTTATAGTAATTTCTAGCTCTTTTATTTCTCTTTATAGATTTTCTTAAAATCTCTGTGTGCGCAATCCATTACACTAGAATCCAATTATCTACAAACTGAATCTATTGCATTATCTCCCTTCTGCGCCATGGCCTCTTGATTTCTGGATCACATCCCTTGCTTCTAGCTGCTCATCATTCCATGATGATTTCTTACATTACTACTCTGTTTTCTATAACTATCTTTAAATCTTCCTTTATAAACTTGATTACTTTATCTAATAAAAGAGGGAGAAGAACAATGTTTTTCTAATTATACTGATCATACTTATCATTTGGTGGTTTACCTTCTTTCCAAAGACTTCTAGAAAGAAATATCTGCAAAAATTCTGTTTTGCCTTTAAATTAGATGAGTACTATCTGATCTGTATATGACCTCCAGAATTCCATTTCCAGTCACTCATTTTTTCCAGAACTGGCAGGATGGAAAATTACAGGGACTTTTTTTTATTCTAGAGAGTATTTCAGACAGAATGGATGCTCTTTTATAATTATGACTTTTTCCTTAATCATCTCCAAACCAGAAAATGACCAAAAATGTCAGCCTTATCCACTCCATGGATGTCACAACATCACTGGCTTATGAGCACCCCAGTCAGGGCATAACCAGAAAATTTGCTCTTAAGATGAGAGGTTGTCCAGCGCTGTCCTAAAGGGTTTAGTTCAACAAGAATTTCTTTAGACATTTCAGGAACAGTTTGACGTAGAGGAGGTGGCACTGATCTAAATTCACTGAGGCATAAATCACTATGGCCAGATTCAATTTCTCCAGGAAGAAATTTTTGCAACTGATGCAAAACCAACACTGAACAGGAACACCTTTTGTTTTTCCATAAGCAGTGCCAAAATTCAGAAGTATTCCAAAAATTCAGAAGCATTCCCAAAATATACTAAGTTATTTTTCCTTTATCATGATTTATTAAATAAACCACAATACTTCTGTTAACATAATACATTGCACCATGGTTTGCAACTTACAGTGATTATGTTCACACTATATATTAACATAAAGACAAGAAAATTATATTATGAAACAGTATTTCTGAACCCAATTTGACAACAGAATGGAGAATAGCCTCTTCAGAACAGATTCTGCTGCACTTGAAATCTCTTATCTCTCCTAATATCTCATTTGAATTCTGAAATTAGTCTTATTAACCACATCCAATCCATTTAGTTCAGGACTTCAAAAAGTTCCTTAATTGATATCACCCCTCCTGAAATTTTTTTTAATACAGTTGACTGTTGTAAACATAAAAGTCGAATCTTAAAACTCTACTAACTTCCAGAAGCCACCTATCAATAGTAAATAAAATTCCACAGATTGTAGCCAAGATGCTCGAATTATAATCTTCAGAGAATAGATAAAATAAAACTACAGCAAAACAATGTCCTCAAGTTCCATACTGATCAAATATTTCAATGGAATGGCCAGTAGTATCAAATACTAAATGATTCAACAAAACTAACAGCAAGAGTCTTCCTGACCAGTTCCTGGCATCATGGTTAGTAAAAACTGGGATTAAATAAATAGAAAATGAAACAATTATCTCTTTCCCAAAAATTTGCCTGGAGTTTCTATTATTTGTACTACATTTTACTACATAAAATTGATCAAACATGCAATACTGGAATCTTTTAGAAAATGGCAACAAGTCTCTCCTGGCTGAATTGGATATAAAAAGTATGGAACTTTTTTTAAAAAAAAATTAGCCCATAATATTAAATTATCCATATACATGGAAACAAAAATAAGATTGCATGTATATTTTTTAAAAAATTTTCTTTTACATTTACTGTACACTTCTAAGTCCTCTCCACTGTATAAGTAAAGCTGTCTGGGCTCCAAAGCAGTAGGATTCCTCAGTGAACTTCCCCAGTTTTTGTAGATCAAAGAAAGAGAGGGAAGAGGATCACATGTAGAAGCTGTTTCTCTGTAGCACCTGAACTTTCACAAACAGCTCAGTAAAACAGAAAGAGTGGCCAGCAGCAAACATTATAGCTACCGGGATATCCAATGACTCTTGGTCCACTGTGCAGTCCAGATCTTTCTCATGCTGCTTTCAGATATTCCACTTTAGCAAAGGTCATTCCACATTCATTCATTACTTCACTCCCTCACTTCTTTTTTTCCTTTGCACTAACTAGAATGCCTCTTGGGGGCTCAGTAGTGTGATCAACTTCGTTGTAAGTATTAGGAAGCAACAGACAAAGAAGGGATCCAAATTTTCTGTACCTGTGAACCCTAAGGAGAGTGATTCTCCTCAACTCCTTTGTTTATATCCTGGAAAATAGTCGTTCACAGGGACATACTATTTTCAGATCATATCACCAAGTTTCCTTATTTATTACTGCTCTCTTGTTAATGTTTATGTTATGAGTTTTAAATTTGTTTTCAAGTGGCTTGATTTCAAATTTCACTTCAATAAATCTTAGAATAAGCAGTATAATTAATTCATTTCTCTTTTCTCAATGTACCTTTTACATTGAACAAGGATGAGAATGTGGAAAAAAACAGTATTGCTGCCTTATATGGCCTGTATATAGCTAGAATTTGTATGCTGTATCTTTTACTTTCCTTCAATTAACTATTACAAATAATAACCCCGAGAAACCTATTTTTAGAATAACCGTTTTCAGTTCTTATTGTTAGGAGAAAAATTGAGAATTTGCTGTTTTCACCATCCAACAAGTTTCCCCCTCCCTGAAGCTCTTAACCAATTTAGATACATTTGCTTTACTTCTCCAAGTAGTGATTTCCAAGTGCTTTTCAAATCATTTCTAAAATAAAATGAGACTCATCCACAAAACCAAAGAAGCAGCTACTCCATTTATAATCCTTGAGCCTGCAAGTGAACAAGCATGTTAGCAACTGTACAGTTTTGAAGAGTCATTGTAATCGGCTACCAGAATGTTCCTTTTTGAGAGGCCTAAACTATTCTCTCTTTTACAGTGTGAAAATGTCTGTTGGAGAGCACTATGCTAATATAACATGAATAGAGAAAAATAACTTCTCTGTCATATCACAAAACAGACCTGAAATTAGCTCCGTTGCATGCTAACACATTCTGGGGAGCAAAGACCGAGAAAAAGACAATCAGTTGGCCCATAGACTATGGCCCAGAGATTACATAAAGAAAGGTGCTGTACCATCATTATTTCTCTGTCTGCTTGCCTTATCTGCCATTTGGAAGCAGCTTTCTCTAAGAATAGGATAAGCTAAAGTAAGAAGGACAGAAATACTCAAAAGAATATTTAAAACATGGAAAGGGGCAATTTTTTAGAGGAGAGTACAGGTGGTACAGGAATTATTAGCCTGGTTAATTCTTTGCACTAAATCATTGCTTAATTACTGTTTATTAAGTAAATCAACATTTGGGTTCACAGAAATTCTGAGCCATAACCAAAGTAAACCCCATCATCATGGCTTAATGGGAATCCAAATCCATCTAGCCATTATTTCTCAAGACTCTAGTCCAGAGGATAAAGTCTAATAAACTCTGGTGAAAAAAATCAACACCCAGATTAGTGACGAACCAACATCAGTGGCCCTGTGTGGGGAAAAATGCACGTGCAGCAAACTGCCGTACTTCCCCCCGACACACACACACAAACCTCATAACCTTTTGATACCCTTTGTCCCAATGAAGCAGCCAGAAGGTCATCCCCTTTTGACTTAATGCCTCACCTACCTAAACAGATAATATGCTTAAGTTCCTTCCTATCTCTTCCTGTCTTTGTTAGTTCCTTCTGTTTTCATCTCCCTGTATTTGTTCTTACCTGGTCTCTGACCACGTAATGTGTTACTAGAAAATAGTTGCTTACATGAAGACATTTTCCAATGAAGAAACCTTTGTCAGCATCTAATGGTTAAGCTGGTATATGTAATAAGTTTATAAGAAGCAATAAACTCAGAGTTTGTCAAGCTGTGTCCTGCAGCTTCAAACCTCTGCTCAAGACATGCCTGTGTCTTTTTCTTAGCGTTTTACAGCCCTGATATCATTTTGCTTTTGCTGAATTGAGGATTATCCCATTTACCAATTAAATTGATTAAAACTGTTAGCTTTTTACAGCCATGAGGCCACATCTGGTCCTTGGGTTGTTCCTGCCGGCACGTGTGAGGTCAATCAGAAATATGAAATCAAGTGTACATAACTGTCTGCCAATGCATGTTGTACAATAACATTGCTTTTATTTTGAAAGTGAATTCTTTTTCAATTTACGTACGTGTGTGCATGCATACCTATGTACCTTCAAAGGCCTATTAGTCTGGCCCTCATCAACAGTCTCGGTTTGTCATGTGGCCCTTTGGGAAAATTAATTGCCCAACTCTGCCCTGAACTGTCTTGATAACTTGAATCACTAAATAAGGTACAAATATTGGACTAAATAATGATGCAAAAGATTGGATTCAAAAGTGGCCTGGCTAAATGTAAGATATGTGATGTATCATCAAAGAAACATGAATCATCTTATCAAAATATTACAGGAGAGAATATTTGCCTCAGACAAGAAAAAAATGGGTTCACCTTTCTACTCAGCTCACTGTCTGGCTTCATACACAATATAATAGCTACTTTTCTACAAAGTCAAAATCATACAAACTGCCTTAGAGCTTCATATGATATAGGTATTTATCTGTTGCTGTCTGATTTGGGCTAATTCTCCCCAACAGCCCTTGTCTCTAAAAATAAATGGATAAATTCCCTTGAATCAACTCTGAGTCATGAACGTTATATGCCTATATATTTTTTTCCTGTTAGCAGTAATGAAGTTATTTCCTT